ACGATCCCAGGCTAGTCGAAGAGTAGGCGAGTGGCTTTCAGCCACAATTGAATATATCTTGAAAGTTAGTGGGAAAAGGCGGGAAAAAAAAAAAAGAGAGAGAGAGCGAGAGAGAGAGAGAGAAATATGACTGGAGACGGTGCAATAGCGGAGCCACGGAGTATCTGCGTTATTGATGAAAAATAGTTGCCATCATATTCGTAACCCATTGGGCTCCACGATATGGCATATAACAGGGACCAGTTGAGGGTCCATACTAGTTACTGTGCTCCGCAGGGGCAATCGTGAAAGTAGGTGAACAACCCCTAAACATCAACCGGGCATAAAGTTAGTTGGGATCAAAAATATCAGGTGCATATCTTGGGATATGTCGATCCTATGCAAGATGGCAGATCAAGGTTACAAATGCGGATGACGGCTCGAACGAACACAGGGGGTTGTTGATATGTGCAGTTTCAACCACAAATTTCAATAACTCGCATCGGGCCGCTCAGTATCCGCATTCTAACAAAACAGGATCACATTTATTGAAAGAATGCCATTCCAGTGCCCAGTGACAAATTGCAATCGCTCTTTTCTCCGCAAGGAGCATCTTAACCGCCACCAACGAAATCACGACCCTATCCGGGCTTATCCATGTTATTTGTGTCACCGTAGGTTTGCGAGGAGGTAAACTAAATCACCGTTCAGGCAGCAATTGAGAGGGAAGGATGATGGCTAAATTGATGACCGACAGAGACATTCTAGAGCGGCATCTACCAATCCACCATGCAGACCCCAAAGGCGCCCAGCGCACTCTTGTGGCATGTCAAACATGCCGGTATAGGAAATCCAAATGCAACTCTGAAGACCCTTGCTTAACGTGCTCCCATTTGAAGGTGCCTTGTATTCGGGTTCCATCGAGTCAACAAGTTACTCCCACTCGGGTCATCCGTTCCCAGGACCCAACTGAAGGGTCTCAGGATGAAAACACAAGCTGCATAGGATTCCACGTTGATACCATGTGGGACACGCCGTTGACTTCTAATAAAGTCTCTGGTGATACCCCTAGTTCATTGCAGAAGCACTCAACAATCAGCACCATAGCTGATGTCGAAGTACCGAGTAATCTTAGATTTGGCTGGCCATCTGCCAACGAGTGGATGTCAGAAGTCAGACCAGTCTCCTGTGATGTTGACTTGGTAGAGGCTTTGTTAGCTTTACCCTCGACAGAAGGCGACAATCAATGCCAGCCAGCGCTCCCAAATAAACCTGATTCCTTAAACAGCATGGGGCAGACTTGCCTACCCGAGACAGTGTTCCACGATGCATGGGCAATCATCCACCACTCTACTCTGGAACGAGCGGACAAACACCCATGGCTTTCACGGGCTTTGGGGTTAGTCAAGTGGCCATTATCAAGGGATGAAGAGCGGAATAGGCTAGCCACAGATTTGATGAGGCACTTGGTTGCCGGACCAGTATGTTGTACGCTGCTGCCACTTGGGTTATATGCCTGAATGTTAATATGCGGTATCACAGGAGAGTTTTGGTTCTAGGTTAACTGAAATATTCCGGGCGACCCAGGCTCTTGTGATAGTCTTGATATCATTTACAGCTGAGGATGTATGGCCATCTCGATATCTGCTAGATGTATGATCGAATGTTAACAATGATAGATTTTGTCAGAGTCGGCCCACTGGGCTGCTCAAGGCACCGATGTAGCTATCTCCGCAATGCGACGAATGGGGATGTTTTCTGGGAAATGGGTGCCACTGGATAATGTGGAAGAGGACAGATGGATATGTGAAGAAGAAGCCAAGAGGTACGTGCCACTATAAAAATGGCGCTGGTAAAGATTCTAACCCTCGCAGATTAGCTTATGCTGTTCTTCGGCTAGACGTATATTTCAGCATCACAATACATCGACCTCCATCTATACGTTTTCAAGAACTTCGTCTTGCCCTTCCAGTCACAGAAACACTTTGGAAAGCTTTGAAAGCAGACGAGAGATGTCGCATTCAGTGGTTCGAGCCAGCAGGGCGTGATAAGTGCATTTTCCAGTCAGCCGTCCAGGAAATTTTCCAGACTTCCAGTGAATTGTCTGATAATCAGCGGCATCCATTTGAAGAGCCGGATATTCATTTAGCCCTTTGTGCGATCCAAGTGGAATTATGGTCGGCCATCCAGACATTGCGCGGCGGCGCAGAGTTTTTGACGTCCTTAAGCCAGCAAAGTAGCGTCAGCTACCAAAGAAACCACTTGACATATTGCCAATCATACCTCGAAGGAGCTTATAAACGAGGCCACATATGTTGCACAGGACGCTCGGAATCACAACATTTTTGGCTCACTCTCAATCTGACTCTATTCCACTTGACACTTCTCAACATTCATGTGGATATTTCTCTTCTCGAAAACCAGCGTAGTGGTGATTATCGGCAAGAAATAGAGTCCCATAGAGCAATTCGAGCATGGGCAGATTCCACTGATGGCCGCAGAGCAGTATACCATGCAGTCCAGCTGCAAAATAAGCATGAATGCAAAACATGTGCTTCGTGGCCAGAGTATTACAAATATTGGAACCCTTTGAGACCCATAGCTTTGTTGTACAGCTGTATTGTCTTGCATGCCTACAGTGCCGAATGTACGGCATCTGTGGCCGAGGACAGTACGGTGGTAGAACTGTCGGGCGTTCGCGGCACTGATGAACCAGTTCAAAACTGGCTACGGGAAGGAGGCAATGCTTCTATTCGGGGTGTCATTCTAGGGAAATCGGCCCTTTCTCAGCTGGTCTCATGGTCTTATGAGCGACTGGCAATGTTCAACGCTAGCTGTCGCCGATTCGAAAGATTTGTGTCCAGAGTAACCAATTACCACTAGTTCTGGTGTTAGATGTTAGCTTGACATTAAGTTAGTTAATTCAACCAAACCGCGAAGTAAGTCACTTGTCGGTGAGAATTCATGGTATATCTAATGGTAATGTGTGTTGTTTGTCTGCGTGTTGTTGAGGCTTGAATGAAGTGAAGTGACGTTGACTTAAGCACGGACTCGTGGTAAGGTTCGACCGGGGGATCTCCCTTGCCGAAAGAAAACTTTATGTAGCTTACATAATTGCATTTTTAGTTTTTCCAGCGAAGAAGATTAGGTAAGTCCCACCTGCAACACCCGACCCGACCACGGGCTGCAGCAACAAAACGAAAACAACTACAACACTGTGGCGCAGGAGAATCCACCATCCACCATCCAAGCAGCACCGGTGACATAGCTCGCTCTCGGGCTGCAAAGGAACAGGATAACGTCTGCTACCTCCTCTGCCTCTGCAATCCGCCCCAGAGGCACAACATTCCCGACAACTTGATGAACTTCCGCAAGCACCTCATTGCTATTTATCATTGGTGTATTGACCCACGATGGGCAGGCAACATTCACGCGAATGCCTTCTTTAGCAAAATCTAGGGCTGTATATTGCTATTAGGACAAATATTCCAAACGATGAGATGTTAGCAAAGTCGAGGAGGATGGAGGCATCTTACCGCAAGACTTGGTCAGGCCAACCACCGCATGTTTGGAAGCTGTATACTGGGCAGTCCCAGGAGCCGACTGGAATGAGTGAATGGACCCCAGATTAACTATCGAACCCCGTTGTCCAACCCGTGGTCCATGAAGCCCAGAAGCTTTAAATGGCTCCTGGGTCCTCATCACTTTCCCGATCGCTTGCATGCAGTATAACACGCCTTGCACATTTACCTGGCTGACCCTTTCCCACTCTTGAATTGTCAAGTCCATGAAATGAGCTGGTTTGTGCATAGCAACCTGTATTTTTACGCAAGCTTAGTTTAGCTGTCAAGGCCTGCTGTCTTGAGAGTTGAGACTTATTGTGGTCATACCCCGGCGCAGTTGACGTTGTAGTCAATTCTATTGAAGGTCATGAGGGTTTGAGCTATCATATCTTCAACTTGGCACTTGTCAGTCACATCCACAGCAACTGCAAGTGGTTTATATGAAGGATTTGTAGCTATGCTCCTGCTTTTCTCCGCCTTATCCTGAACGATGGATAAGTCCAGGTCGGCGAATACAACTCCCGCCGCGCCGGCTGCTGCGAATGCAAGAGCACATTCAAGGCCAATCCCGCTCCCTATTTTATGTTAGACCATATTAAGATGGGCCTTTCTTTTTTGGTATGTTCTCACCTGCACCTGTAATTACTGCTATCCCTTCTAGATGAAACATTTTCGTATGGCAAAACCGCTTGCTTCAGATATCCTAATAATGGCTTAAGGGCTCGCGAATTTGTTACTTTATATACAAGTTTTCCAGCCCCTCATTCCCGCCAACATCCCATCGGATACATGTGAGAAAGGCTAAAGCAAAAGAAAAGTTAAAGGGAAAAAGAAAAAAAGAAAAAAAAGAAAAAAGAAAAAAAGGGAAATACTGCAAAACTGAAAATATACCCATTACATGTTTCTCCCATTGGTAGTGTCCTTCAGGCACCTGTGACTGTTGTTATCATTTACTGCTAAGGTACTCCGTAGGTATTCTATTAAATGTTTCCAGATATCCCCGGGGAGATATTTTCCAATTTCTCTAGCAGTTCCCCCCAAACTTTCTTCTGTGCCTGTGCCCCATTTGAACTCTTCACGAATTTGGATAAGGCGCCCCTAATTTTGTTAGCTTTATTTAACTACTGCAGAGACCAGTTTTGGGGAAACTTACTCGTCGATCTTGCAGTCATTAAGATATTTTCCATGCCCTTCCCACCCCAAGGTAGCGGCATGAACCAGTGTGCGGGATCCTTCCTGGGCTGATCGGGCTATCAATTTCATAATTTGAAGCTGGAGCCCCCAGAATCCTGTTACCCCATCAACTAGGCTGGTGAGACAATATCCTGGGGTAAAGGCGTTGACAACAACTCGGGGGGTTGTGGAAGCTATGTCTGCTGCCAGTGCCCTCATGCATAACACTTGGAGCAATTTCGAGGCATAATATCTATTTTATTCCCTGTTAGCTTGTTGTTCAGTTTAGTCATCTATGGGCAATGGTTTCTTCTGGTGATACCTATCGTCAGGCCCTGACTTCGTCTGCTTTCGCAAAGCAACAAAAGTGTTGGGAGTTTTCCATTCGGGCAAATTGGTCATGACATGTCGGTCTGATGCTACAATACAGAGTCGAGGGATTGGCCCTTTCTCGGTAGCCGAAGCGCGAAGTTTTGGTAATAGCAACAGGGCCAGCAGGAAAGTGCTAACAACGTTGACTGTGATTGTGCTCTCATCCTCCTCCGCCATGTAAAACTTTTGCTCCAGCTTCCCGGCGTTGAGCATAAGAACGTCAACCTTCGGTAGTTTGGAAATAGCGGCAGCAAACTCCTGAACGGAAGCATAACTTTCCATATCTATATGAAAGAGCCTGGTTTGGCCTGACCGCCCGGTAGAACTCTCCAAATCCTTAATTGCATTTTCACCCTTTGCAAGGCTTCGAACACCAAGGATGATCTCGGATGCATTCAGGTTGAGGAAGTACCGTGCAGCTTCCAGCCCAAGTCCTGCATTGCCGCCAGTGATGACAATGGTTTGCCCAGTGAAGTCATGCTTAGGGGCTGGGAGGCGAACAAATATTTGGGAGTACAGAAACGATAGAGCAGACATGGTAAAAAAGACGTGAGGAACTTTGTAATGAATGGGAGAAAGGGATAAGGGATAGTTCAAGACCAGTTAGCGAATTTGATATTCCCATGAATCTTGACCTTCAACTGTCTTCTTAAATAACCAGTACCTTGAGTTTTGCTTTGCTTGATATTGAGATTACAAAGCTTATATTCTCCGAGCCGTGTGGGATGAATTACTCGGTGAGTGGGATTAAGGCCGATCAATACCGTCATATATACATTGCTTAGTGATGGTGGTAATTGTTAGTTAAATACAGCTATCGACGGCTGACAGATAGGGTCAAAGTAAAGGATCAAGAAGGCACTTGACGAGGGAAAAAATGTTCCTGTATCTTCCATTCTCCAGCTCACCGACTATGGACTCTATCTGGATTTACGGTGCCATCGTTATTCTGCTCACCCTTTGGACCCTCTTTCGGGGGTATTTTCCTGGGCTTCGTAACCGAAAACTTCCACCGGGTATGTTTATATTGAGGAGAGAATATGACATAGATCTATCAGTGTTAATTATTGGCTTTCGCCAGGTCCCCCATGTCTCCCAATAATTGGTAACTTACATCAAATCCCAATAACCGGAGCGCATTTGAAGTATGTACTCGATTCTGAGTTTCTGTCCATCAGATCTAATATATCTTTGGCAGGTTTACCGAGTGGGCAGCCAAATATGGCCCTATTTTCTCGCTCAAAATCGGTCCAGGGACAGCTGTTGTTCTCAATTCCCCATATATGATCAAGCAGTTGATAGATAAGCAGTCTGCCATCTACAGCGAAAGACCCAAGTTTTATATTGCTGACCATCTGGTTATGCATGGTGACCACCTCATGTTCATGGGCCCGGACACTCGATGGCGACGCGGCCGAAGACTCTATCACCAATATTTTAACGAAACTGCTTGTGAGAGGAAACATGTATCTCTCCAAAATGCTGAGGCCGTCCAATTACTGCGAGATCTCTACCTTAAACCTGACAGCTTTATGGATCATTGCAAAAGATTCACGAACAGCACTACTATGAGCCTTGGTAAGTGCCTCGGAATATTTCCAATTTACTGTGAAAAACACCTACCTCCCCAATGTACATTCCTGCTGACTGGGGTCTTTAGTTACTGGCATTCGAACGCCAGCTGCTTCCGCTCCGCACATGCGCCACCTGTATGCTGTATTGGACGGTATCTCAGAAATTTTTGAGCCAGGAGCCACCCCACCTATCGATATTTTCCCCTTCCTTGCATGGCTCCCAGAGTCATTATTCAATAACTGGAAATCACGGGCACGAGAAGTTGCCCAAACTATGGACAAGGTATATGGGCCTCTTGTTGACCGTGTTCTGAAGCGCCGTGAATCGGGTTCAGAATTTCGTGAGAGTTACCTGGATATGGTTTTAGACCAGCAAGAGAAACTCCAACTTACGAGGCACGAAATTGATTTGATGGTTGGAAATCTTCTCGAAGGAGGCTCCGACACCACTTCCATTATGACAATCGTCTTCATCCAGGCCATGGCATTATATCCCGACGTGCAGAAGGAAGCACAGAAAGAGATTGACGCAATTATCGGTGAAGAACGATCCCCAGAATGGAAAGACTATGTAAATCTACCATACGTGGCTATGGTTGTGAAGGAGACGATGAGATGGCGCCCGGTCCTGCCAACAGCTTTTCCACACGCTACCAGTAAAGGTGAGTGATGATCCTGATAAGAATAATCCCATGTCACTTGTGCCCAAATAACACGCATACACTTTTCCTGTAGAAACCGTGATCGACGGAATGACCATCCCCGCTGGCTCGACCGTTATACCCAATATATGGGGGTTGCATCATGACAGCCGCAAACATTTCAACCCGAACCAGTTTAATCCACTGAGATATAAGGGGCGTGTTGATCTTGCACCGATATACGCCTCCTCAGCAGACTATGAAAACCGCGATCACTATGCGTATGGGTCCGGTCGGCGCATCTGCCCTGGCATTCACCTGGCTGAAAGAGGGCTCTTTCTCGCTATGGCGAAGATTCTTTGGGCCTTCGATATATCGCCTATGCGTGATGCCCAAGGCCATCCGCTTCACATAAACACCGATCCTGCCACTGGCTATACAGACGGTTTCCTGCGCTGTCCAAAGCCATTCCCTGTGAAGATCAACCTCCGCTCTGCCCGCCACCAGGAAACGATTGACGCAGAGTTTGCATGTGCAGAAAGAGACGTCTTCAGTAAATATGACGTATAGGCTTGTTTTACCATGGCACGCAGAGCTTAACTATTCGTTGCTGCCTGCTTCAAAAACCATTGCTTTTCATATTTTGGGTATTTAGCGAGCCAGGTCAACCAGAGTAGAGAGAATAAAAAAAAAAAAAAAAAAAACCATCTTGTAGCACTCACCCGCGCGTTGTCCACTTTAACTCAATCTTTGGTAGATTTTAGAGTTTCCGATACTCCACTTCAAAGCTGCGGCTAAATTTCGGCATATCACGTGACATTTCCATTATCTAAGCAATGTTTATGTTTCTGAAGACTTTGACACAGTAAGAGCAGCCTTTGGATGTGGAAGAAGCTCAGCAAAAAAATCGAGCAGATGACATCATACGACTGATATAATAACATATACCTATGGAGTACGTTCCCTAGATAAATAATGTGTCGTGCAGCATGACCTCTGATGCGGTGAGCCGCTCTGTCAGCGATGGCCACGATATCATCCCCACCGAGCTCTGTCCATTACGCCACAATATCTACGTGCATTACTTGTCCATCAAATAACTTTACTACTCAATTAACACCCTACGGGAGAAAGGCGCTGGATCGGGCCAAGAGAGCCGTAAATCTTATCCCATAGCCTCGGTGAAAGAGACACATCCAAACAGCTGCCAACATGGCACTGTGGCGATGTGATAGCAAGTACGGAGTGTGTCCTTCGTGTTGGACGACTGCACCAATCGGGAAAGAGTGGCATGAACTTGCATGGTTCGGGCATACCCCAGTGATCCGCATCGAACAAATGCGGGTAACCAATGCCTTCCACCCACCAGCCGCCCTTTTCTGCTTCCTTGTGTTCATAGGCTTGTGCCTATACGAAGGAGGATCACGGTCCGAAGGGGCGGCAGACGGTAATTTTTGCAATTGCGTATTCATAGACTCGGAGATTGGGAACAAAATATTCATCTCCATACTCCATAACAGAGCTGAGTTTGCCCGAGGATATAAAGTGAATTTGGAACCAGATATAATCCCAGTTGGCAAGGTGGATTTCTGTCTAAAACTCCTAAAGAATTCTTCTCCTTTTCATTGATAAGTGAATTTGATAAATTTATTAGCATTTGTTACCATACACACCTGAGGCTCCCACCAAGCAAGTAATTGACTACTTACTTTCGTGATACCCAAATATGACTGTTGAGAAAGCTGAACCAATTGGCCGAAGATTCATGGCCCAGGCCATTGATCATGTTGCTGAGTTGGATCCAAACAGACGCTTTTGCATTATACCAAAGGGATCCGACTATCCAGACGGCTTTTCCGACCTCACATTCGAACGGCTAGCCCATGCGGTAAATTACATGTGCTGGTGGATAGAGGAAACTTTTGGTAGAACGTCCTCGCCAGTGACATTGGCTTACCTTGGAGCACACGATATCCGCTACCTAATTATGGTTATGGCGTGCAATAAGACTGGGTACCAGGCAAGTGGGAACCGGCAATATTCATCCAATGGTATCAATAGTTCTAACATTATTCTAGCCGCAACTAACATCTGTTCGGAACTCTCATGCAGCTCAAGTTCGCCTTCTTGAAATGACAGGTTGCACGAAAGTTGCTTATAGTGTTGAGAGGAAACAGGCAGTGGACAAGATACAGGAGCTCTTCCCAGGATTGCAAAGCGTCCAGATTCCTTCTCTGTATGAGATGTTTGAAGGCAACCCCAGTCCATACCCATTCTCGAAACACTTCGACGATGTCAAAAACGAAGTAGCATTTATTGGACATAGTTCAGGTACAACTGGTAAGCATCGCTTATGACAATTTATCAACGGCCTCTAACGTACTAACAAATGTATATGAAGGTTTTCCGAAGCCAATTCGACTCACTTATGGTTTCTTTGCTGCTCTAGATCATGGTGCTTATGTACCTATACCGCCAGACAGGACAGCGGGTGTTCCAGATCGGCTTAACCCCAGTGATCTCATCTTGGCTACAACTCCTTTCTTCCACTTGATGGGCTTTACAGTATTTGTAATGGCTGCATTTCACAAAATACCATGTGTTATCTTACCTGACCGGCCCGTGTCCAACGAGTCTTTATCCTCGGTGATTGATTCTCTCAAGCCAACTGCTGCACTAGTTGCCCCTTGCATTCTCGAGGATATGTCTACGTCTCCCAAAGCCATGGAAGCGCTTTCAACTCTAAGACACGTATACTATGGGGGCGGCCCGCTTGCATCCGAGATTGGCAATAAGATCTGCCAGCGAACCAAACTAATCAACTTTATTGGGATGACCGAAGCTGGATATGTTTTGTCTTTGGTTCCCCAGGAAAAGGAAGACTGGTCTTACTTTGAGTGGAGCTCATCATTTGGGATTAAAATGGAGCCAATAGATGATGGCAGGTCTGAAATGGTCATACACAGAAATGAGAATCCGGACCTCCAGCCCATTTTCAATACTTTCCCTGAACTAGATGAATATCGCACAAAGGATGTTTACACTCCACATCCAACAAAACCGGGACTCTGGAAATTCCACGGCCGGATTGATGATGTGATCGTACTTAGCAATGGCCAGAAATTCAACCCTGTTACCATGGAGAAAGTCATCGAGGGCCATCCGTTAGTTTCACGCGCTGTTGTTGTTGGATTAGCAAGGTTCCAAACAGCGTTGATAGTGGAACCTAACTGGAACCTTTGGGATGAAAGCAGCCCCAGAAATCAATTTGTTGATGAAATCTGGCCTACAGTACGAGAAGCAAACACCATTAGTCCAGCTTATGGACGGGTTATGAAGAACAGGATAGGCCTAGCATCTCGCAGCAAACCTTTTAAAACCACGCCAAAGGGAAGTACGCAGAGGCGCCTTGTAACTGATAGCTACAAGGAAGAAATTGATAAGCTGTACACGAATCCGGCAGATCAAGCGTTTGACTATGCGTTCCCTGAGTCGGCTGATCTAGGCAGTGTCACGGAATCAGTGCGGGAGATTATATGCGACTCCATTGGCCTACCCACAATTGCGGATGAGACAGATCTTTACAGCGTGGGATTTGATTCTTTGCAAACCTTTCAGTTAAGTATCATTCTCAATAGAACGGGGTTCACTACCTTAACGCCTCAGATGATATATGCACACCCCACTGTTGGAAAGCTGTCCAACTTTTTATTTGCGCTTCTTAATGGCGTCGAAAGCAACGGCATTTGTCGCTTAGAGAATGTCAACTCGCTTCTTAGCAAGTATACAGCTGGTCTCCCAGACCTCGAAGCCACCAAGACCCATTCCGTGATATTGACTGGATCCACAGGCTCTCTTGGTACTTATCTACTACATCGTCTTCTAAGCGATAACAGGATTGCCAAAGTATACTGTTTGAACCGATCAGACGTAGGGGAACGGCAAACTGAGAGCTTTAAACATAAGGGACTAAAAACCGAGCTTCTGGAAAAGGCCGAATTTCTTACTGCTTCACTAAGCAAAGAGCGACTTGGTCTGGAAAAGGAGAAATACGACGAACTAATCTACACGGTAGATACGGTTATCCACAATTCTTGGAGAATGGACTTCAACATTTCCCTGTATTCGTTTGAGGATCAAATACAAAGTGTTCGCCGGCTCATTGACTTCAGCTTGCACAGCGTACGCCGCGCTCATTTCTACTTCAACTCCTCAATTGGAGCAATTGGAGGTTGGACACTTGCTAATGGGCCGTCGGTACCCGAGGAATTGTTTGAAAATTGCGAAGTAACGCTCAATCAAGGATACGGACAAGCTAAGCATGTTTGTGAACGTATCTGTCACGCAGCATCTCGAGCTGGTGTTCCAATAACTATTCTTCGCCTAGGCCAGATTGCAGGCCCAACTACTGAGGAAGGTGCCTGGAATTCAACAGAATGGCTACCATCCATTGTTGCAACATCGAAATCTATCGCAAAGATTCCCAAAACTTTGGGATCTATGCCTGTAGATTGGATCCCGGTGGTATGTATCACTATTTTTCCAGTTACTTACTTCATCAAAAATTAGCTAACCGTAAACTGGAATAGGATACTCTTGCTACTATCATAATAGAGATTGTTGAATCCCGTCGAATGACAGAGGCTGAGTCACGGTGCTCCGTCTTCCACTTGGTCAACCCCCTGACTACTCCATGGGAATCTTTATTGACACCTCTTCACGAACGTTATGCAGTTCAGCGAGTTTCTATGGAAGAGTGGATAGCAGAACTGGAGAAGATTCAGAATCCCTCAGATCAGGATATGTTGGAGAAACCCGCGTTAAAGCTACTCCCATTCTACAAAAGCTTGGTAGAGGGAGAGGGTGCTCTGTCTGTACCAATCTGTGTGAGGAGGGCCAGAGAGGCAAGCAAAACCATGCAATCGATGGGGCCGATTTCAGCAAACTTGATGGCCACATGGATAAATCAATGGCAGTTTTAGACCCCTTGGTTGTTGTATAGGAACCATATTATATTAGCAAGTCGCCCTAATATCTTCATGACTCCTCTTATTTTGCTATCTGATGCAGGAGATAATCAATCAAAAAATCTAGTTAACTAAACAACTAAATTACGATATCGCCCTAGGCTTATTTTATTTATTTTTGTAGTTCAGTCAAACTTTGCATCTATTCTAGTCTTGTTTATTGGTAGAACACCTAGTTACCAGTAGATAGACCGTAAACGGCATGTACAGGTCAGTAATGGAAGTCGTATTCTGCCCAATAAAACGATCAGGGGTTATTCAATCGTATAAGTACTCTTTATTTATTCATAGTAGTACTATTTGTGCTCTGATAATAGGCTAATGCACCATTTGAGCAGTAGAAAATTCCTTGAATGCAAGTCAACATCAGTCACTTAAAAGATATCAAGACATAACTTACTGGAAACTCATCCATAATAGCAGCTGCTACATTTTCCACATCCTGAGCAAGACGTTGAACTCCTGCATCCCAGTATCTCAGACTACGGCCAGTCCTCCCATCCCCATATATCTCGGAGTCGAAGCTGATTACACCCTCAATTTGGTCAATACTTCCCTTCAGACGGCCTTGTTCCAACATTCTGGCAGCGTAGGCCTCTGCCTTCTCGCCGGCAGTCATCTCGCCTGATGCTTTAAGGCCCAGAATCAAGCCTAGATCATCTACTCGGATGTTCTCGTAAAGCCTAGAGGCGGCTAGCAGGTTGTGTTCGATAACTGCCTTATCTAGCACAGTCAATCCGTCGGCTGTCTGTGCCAGTTGATGGGGAACTAAGCCAGAAGCAAAATTGGAAACTTCGTCTTCTGTCAACAACTGGTCACGGAATATCTTCTCTAAGATACTATATTCTTCTAGAGAAGAAGACCTGTCATCTTTATATAACCTGGACAATGCTCGTGATCTCTGGGGTCCGGCGGGAGCTAAAACCACGCATCTGATTGCCGCAGAAAGAGCTTGCAACCGATCTTCTTCATCTACACCGCTAGCTAAGCTAACAGCAAGATATTCCTGGCTGGCCTCAAGAAACCGTCGCCGTGCATCAAGAATTCTGGCCTGGGATAATTGGAAATGTAACTGTAGAGCCGGGTCCTCGGTTTTGGTTGGCAGATTTTTTATTTTGTTTAGAAACATTTCAGCACCACCCGCGTCATCGTCTTCTAAGTATAAACGTATTATCCTAATCCACATACGAATCTTTTCTTCATCGCTTATATGCCGCTGCGAGCTGTCCAGGTGAATTCCCTGCAGAACCCTTGCAGCGTCGGAGTATTCTTCCACTTCCTCGTATGCATCTGCAAGTGTCTCACGTAAAAGTGCATCTTGCTCTTCAACTGAAGTTGCGCGCGTCTGAAGGACAGTGATAGCGGGTAGCCCGACTTGTATCCTAATACTTGCGGGGAGAGGCTTGAGAGAGCTAATGAACCTATCAAGGAGAGGCCGGGTTGCAATGACACTTATTTCACTGCCAAAAATAGCCCCAAAAAAAAGGGTAAGGTCTCGTGCAAGAGAATTAGAAGGTTTGTTGATTATTTTGGAGAGAAGCTCGCTGTAGAGCTGTGCTTTGGCTCGCTGATCGTGTGTTGATTCGATTTCCGCAAATTCATTGGCAAACTCCGAGTCAACCGTGGGGTCGCGGTTGAGGGATTCCATCTTTATTGCTGGCTAAAATGACCTAGAAGCGAACAAGTCAAAGAAACGGGGGGAGCATGGGTTTATAGGATGGAAGGTGTTGGGTATAAACTCCAGGTCGAAATAAAGATGAGAGCGAAGCTCTGAGATAAGTAACTAACTATAACTAACCAATGAAGATTGGCGCTCGCTTAGTCATCAAGTCTCTGACCTCATACATCGTAAGTGAACGAAAGCTTCACAAACTGAGCAACACTTCATTCAGCTATTTATTCGTTCATTCATTCCACTTTCTATTACAAGCGCTACAACAACACAGCCAAAACCGCACTTGTAGAATATGGCCAACTTGAACGCGGGGCAGATCAAGGCTGAACCTCTTGCCAATCCAGGGATCAAGGAAGAGCCTGACACGAAGGACACAAACATGTCGGACGAGGATATCTATGAAGATACCGGAGACCTGGATTTCACAAATGCTTTCCAGAATGTCTGGTTGACGCGGATACCTCGGACTTTGTGGGAGCAGTGGTCCAAACTCGATGATGATGAGGAAATCCAGATCGGCACAGTCAGGGTTGAAGGAGACCCGACAGATATCAAAAGAGTATTTCCACCAGTCGCCTCTTCATATGCGATAGTCTACATACACAGTGACACTGACATACTGCATTTAGATAAGTTTGCGATTACTTGATATACCTCAGAATAAAGGAGTGCCGAAAGACTACAACCTAAGACGACAGAATGTGAACGCGGATCGAACAGCATACGCGGTGCAGAACACATTTGTCTTTACGGAGAAGGATCTCCCAGGATATAAGGATAAGATGAATCGATTTTACAATGAAAACCAGCCGTACGGCCGGTCTTATCTTTACGAGCAGACAAAACGTGATGCAAAGAAGAAAGAGCGGAAAAAGAAGTGGGAGCCCTATGTCAGGAAGACGGTACCGAGTATGTCCCAAACATACCGGATATTTACCATGAAATGAAGCTTATTCTTTCTCTCAGGACAAACGGCTATCACTGCTCGGGTTCACGATGAATTCAACTGTCTTCCTGTTGAAAATGAAGAATACCAAAGACTCGCAGAAGAGCGAGCATTGGAATCCCTCAAACCCAAACGAGAAACCAAGTTTATCGAAAAAGTACCTGGAAAGATGCTTCAACCGAAGACAGTTGCTGCTGCCGACAAGTCCAATTTTATTGTAAGTCCAGTTATGTCCTTTACAGTGGCTGGGTTTTGTCTAACTTTCTACAGCAAATTGCGAAGCCGGCAAAAGTGCGCGCTCAGGAAAACAAAACTGCCCGTATGCCCCAGAACGAACTTCTGGACCTTATCTATGCCTGTTTCCGGAGACACAAGTATTGGCCCTTTAAGGCGCTTAAGGCTGAACTGCAGCAACCGGAAGTGTATCTCAAACAAACCCTAGAGATAGTGGCACATCTGGTTAAAAGCGGCGACTTCGCCATGACTTGGGAGTTGAAGCCCGAGGCAAGGGAAAGTAATTATGCAGACGCCATCGCATATAGGGACGCGAAGGAAGAATTACCCCCAACGGCTGGGTACAGCTTTGATGAAGGGTCAGAAGGAGAACCCACTGCATCTGGCAGAGGGACTGATGCGGATGAGGATGACAATGTTAAATTTGAAAATGTGTGAGGTATCACAGTCTTACTATTAGCTGTGCTTCCACCAACAGGCTGATAGACCTCTCACATTATCCTACCATTTCTGTATTATAAATGACAATACATGAAGAATATTAATGATAACGAAATGGCTAAGAACCATGTCCTTTGAATTTTGCCTAAAGGCCCTGTTCATCTCCACCTGGATTGGCAGCAATGGAATTAAACTTTTGTAAAGGAATAAGTAAAATCCGATGATTAGATAATTGGAAAGGCCCGGCGGTGCATTCGAAAGAGCTTCACAACATCACACTACTTAACCCCTATATCTTTCTCACTGCTTTTTTCTAGAATAGAGCATAGCTTCACATCTAATTTAGTTATCTATCTTGTTGGTCATATTCCCATGACTGAAGAAGAGGAGCTTCTGGCCAAGATCGGCCAGTTAGCTGGTAGGTTTTTTCTAGCTCTATTTGTCTCAGTGTCTGAACAGAAAGTAACTAAGGTCAACTAGGCCAAATCAACCAACACAAAAACCAGTCTCACCCAGCGATGCATAGTGGGTATTCAGGTTCACAGTACACTCGACATTCGCGCGGTGGTTGGAGGCCATATCGTGGAAGAGGAAGAGGCACATCAAGGGCTTCGGCCGGCCCGCATAGAAACCGGACACTTGTGCTGAACAATCAAAGCTTTCCGGTAGAGGCGGCGAGCACAGCGACTTCATCGTCCACACCAAGCAATGAAGCCCCGGACTCCAAACCTGGCATAAAGAACTCGTGGATAGCGAAGAGAGATCGCCACATGCAACTAATAAACTCATCAATATTTGATCAGGAGACGCAGGCTAGAAACAAGGCGATTGCAGAGACTCGGAGATTAAAGGCTCAAAAGAAAGCTGCGCGAGAAGAGTCGATGGTTTTACGGCATGCTCAGTCTGCTTCACGTTTCTCCGAGAACAACAGAAGTGAAGCGCAGCCTGACGGAAGGGCTTATACCATATATGTCGGAGATATACCATTCCAAGTTGCCCAAGGTGGCAGCAAACTTATCTCTCTTTCAAGTGAGGATATGCTTTTGATAACTATTAGAAGTTCGAGGATCAGCTTATGGTTTATAGATGACCCTTTGAAGGCGAATGTTACCCCCAAACGAGTGAAGGTCGGAGGTGTTACGTTTGTTAGAAGCAAACGGGGAAATCTCCACCGCTTAGGTGCTGTTGTTTCGAAGAAGTACGCAATCTCTTGCCCCCTTTCCCTTCACAGGTTATCTTAAGGAGTTATCTGTTTTTAATTCATATCTCGACCATTTTGACTTACAATATCAAAGAAAACCGGGAAAAGTGAAAAAGAGAAACGAGCTATGCAAGAGGTTTACATCGACGGGTACCAGTCTCTCCTTCCGCAGAACTTATTCCATCGGCATCGACGGCACCCAAGCCGATTAGATATGAGCGCATCTTTGTTGGGTAGACGAGCATATCGTTTGTTAGTACTGACAACTTCTTCGCCTGAATTATAGGTACTTGTTTCAAGGGCCCAACTTGCCCTTATGTCCATGACCCGAACAAAGTCGCCATCTGCAAAGACTTCCTCCAGACAGGTAATTGTGATGCAGGTGTGGCCTGTGATCTTTCACATGATCCATGCCCTGAAAGGTCCCCAGCTTGTCTTCATTTCCTTCGTGGTCGATGCACGAATCCATCTTGCCGATATACCCATGTTCATATAACGCCAGGAGCTCCAGTCTGTCGTGATTTTGCTATTTTAGGATATTGCAGTAAAGGAGCCAGTTGTGAAGGGCGACATGTCCATGAATGCCCTGACTATGCTAACACTGGGAATTGTGGCAATAAGAAATGTCCGCTTCCTCATGTTGACAGGGCTGGTCAAATTCGCAAGTTTACCGCTAACAAGGTAGATCCATCTGCTGAAGGAGACTCTGAAGAGGATGTCTCAAGCGATGACGAGGTGTTTGAAGAGATTGACTCTGATGATGTCGATTCCGATGACTTGGAGGAACCAGAAGAGATTGTTCAAGGCACCGATGGTGGGGATGCTTCCCAACAGCTAGATTTCATTGGATTCTCTTAGTTCGAGTAAGAGTCAATTGTTCTCTTAATCCCAATGCCGGCCAGTAATTGGGCAACAAGCTTCAACTTGTTTCATAACGAGGGTATCTTTACCCCTCTCGAGTCCAAAATTCCTCTTGTACCTGAGATATTAGTCCATCTTCGATGGAGAACCTCTTACTTTTTTTTGGGCCTCAAAGGTCAACAGTGAACTAAAATAGCTTCTATGATACCTTTTTGTATTGTTACTCATTTGTACTAAAAAAAAAATTACTGGGTGGATAAGTTGCTTTCGGGCGTTTGGGCGTCAACAGTTTGCTTTTTTAATTATTTTATACCCTTAATAGGAAATCAACCATGCAGTTCACACTCTGTGATATCCACGTCTTTCTTCTAGCTCGTAACCCAGCATATGTTTTCATGAGCTGGCGGGGCTCTACCAATACTTCCAGAAATATACCCAGCGGACAACTCACCAAGCATATGTTCCAAGTTCATACTCACACCTCGGGGTTCGCTAGATGGAGCAATTCCCCCATGTTTTTTTTTTTTTTTTTACCCCTTTGTTAAAACAGGCGCGCTGCATGGATAAGATGTTGAAGACGAATACCGAAGTGGGTTGGCGAATCTTGTGCGTCGGGTACCCAGGCTTATCGGACGGGGTTATCTGCCAACACGCTTAGACAGTTCATATGTTAATATATTCTAAGTATCATACATTGCAAGGAATCGTGGTCGTCGAGGTGAATTCAGCAGAGACAGAATCATTGGACTCATCGTTAAGAATTCACATGGCACATCCACCAAACAGGGCTGCCATGCATCATAGAAACCCTTATATGCAGAATTTCCTCCGCGGAAGGAGAGGGATTCTAAAACGCACCATGACGTTTCCTGGTCCCTCAAGTCAATATATCACCGGTATTGCATATTTGCCGGGGCGTATGGGGAAATATTTCATTTTTTGTACTCCAGTGGATAATGCAGATTAAACCGAAGTCGGGCGCATTCTGGTGTAAAATTACTCATTCTCAGGTCAAGGGAGCCGGACACAACTCTCTCCCCAAGAATACACGTATCCGGTATCAAAAGTTTCTGTTTGACTTTGAACATTCAGTATTTTCTTCCTTCTAATGTGGAGGAGCCAATGATATGTTGGGCTCAATGAAGTAATAAATGAACTTGATGATTGAACAAGTTTCCATGGGTAATTGAAGAAAAGATGCAGAAAAGGAGCAGTGACGGGAAGCAGTCGCCCTGAAAATGCTTGCTCCAAGTGTTGAATCCGCACGATATAAGGCAAACACATATTACAGGGATGAAGGCTTCATAAAACCGAGCATAAATGGGGTAATACATTCGAACTCCTCAGTTATTACTGGTTCAAATTATGAGTCATTAAGTGAATCTCCTCGTTGGATCCAGGTCAAAATGCAAGGCTGGAGCTAGGCAAGCGGAAGCGTAACCGTGTCTGGATTACATATTCCGGTAGAAGAGATGAGCTCCACATATCACGGCCGATAAGTGCCTTATAGGGGTTAGGATAAGGGAAATTCCATTTCCGTCATAGCCCAGGATATGCCTCAAGGAGATTACCATATTTTGGGAGGATGGCAGGGCGACTATCAAGCTAGATAACCTTTTAAAGTTTGATATGTGAAATGTCTTAGGAGGATCTTTCTGGATGATTTGATATCCCCTTTCAAGATGGATTTGGTAGAGGTTCGGGACGGCCGTATAGCGTCACTATTGAAGAGCAAGACAATAATAATGCTTTAAGCCAATCATCCAGAGTGTAGGCGAGGGGTATTGCCTTGAAAAATGAGTGGACCTTCGGCCAACCCACGCGTAGCTTGAAGAGCATCACCGAAGCCAAGTCTATTAAGTTTTCCGGGCTGAGGTTCGCAAGAATCAGAGGTGAGGGGATGGTGGTTGATCTGTAATTGGATAGGCTGAGCGGCCCGTTTCGATCAGGTGGATGGCAAGGGGCGCATCTCGATACGAGCAAAACAGTCTCAGTTTGAGCACAAGTGGCCTGAGATCGAGTTTCGGCTTCTCATTTGCCAGCTGCTGTTGTGCCTGAAATGTGATGCATGAAAGATGCAGGCTCTGGCGGTTAGTTCAAGAACAAACTGGCTACAGCCATCGTTTTCATCGAAGTTGTGCTTCGAATTATTTCATTGGTTGACACTAAACCCTTAGCATATTATGTAATTGTATTTCTATTTATAACTACTGGCCTGTATACTATTGATTATGTAATCAGTGGTATTTTGACCGCGTCCAGTCATCTTTTTTCTTCCGGATATCAGATATCCCAACGTCTACCGTACACCTGCTCGGTGGACCTCGTCCCTTCACGCCCGTGTTTGCAGACACGGAGATGACAGTTGCAATTTAATTAAAGAGCTGCTGGCTAGTTCCGCCCTGCATGCACTTTTCTTTTGACGATTTCCTCGTCGCAACGGAATCATATATGATCATTGCATAAACATGTCCGGATTCGCCACTAAACACCGCTTCAACAGCAACGGATGTGGTTACGTACCTGAAGCGACGCGAAGCGTGGCGCAATTTCAGGATGAGCCACTTAACCATATTTTGTATATCCTTGTCTCGCACCACCGCTACTCCGGAATTTCCTCTCCCATGAAAATTCTGGGGCAGTTTTCATGGAAGATCGATAAACTTCAGCCACAAACGTGTTGATCTGAGACAAATCGGGATCCCTTTGAGATTTCATTTAAAATCACTGAACAGTTAATCGACAAGAGGGGCAGTTCCAGCTTAACCCATACTCAGTATTCAGCCCTTCTTCATCGCAGAAGCACGTTTAATAGCAAGAAGCATATGCCCCGTAATATTTACTGAGGTTTTATCTCAGCTTACTACTATCATCACTGACTTCCGATACCATATACCTCAAGTCCCCCGCCTGGTTCTATTCATTACTACACTTCCAATATTCTCAGGATTTACTACGAAAAAAAATGCACAACTAGGTTCATCCCGCTTTGCCCAGGAATCATGTGAGAAGACCCTCAGATAACGCCTATACACTAATTCCACCATGGAGCAGCGGAAAACTTCTTCCTACAATGCTTGCTGCGCAAGGCACTAGCATATAACCTTAGAGACAACCTAATCTAAGGATTTATTTTGATGGCTTATCGATTTCGATCTCGGTGGCCATCACCCACCCTTATTTTATGGCAATGCAGACCTGGAAATCTCAAGCCTCCATGCTGTCCCCGTCAAACCTCAATAATATTCCAGATACCTTGTATACGATGGAATAAAAAACATTTAATTACGAGTACACGCATGCTGTGTATAGCCTCGTGTTAGCTCGCTCAGAGAACCTTATGAACTGACGACATATAATTTCAGCTGTCAATCAAAGAGCAGCTCACCTTGGGTCCTGGGGCTAAGCTGGTTCGAATATACCAGGTTAAGGAAAGCCGAAGGTCACGTTCACGTATATCTGGTATATGTATATGCAGGGCATGAGAACCACCGGCACCAGTAAAAGCCCAGGGAGCGCAAGCAAGGCTTTCGGCCGCACGCTTTAACCTATTAATGTCCGAAGTGTGAGGCGCTCAGGCTGCAACCTACAAGTGGTGCTCGATCAGAGAAAGGAACATCCGGCAGGAGAAAAAGGGGATATCCATCCTCCTGGTACAGGAATACAGACTTGCCTGCTTTTCCACCCTTTACCCGTTTTAGGCGGTGAGAGTGGATGATACGATTGGCTCAGAGTTAGTGGCATAAGATGAAAATGGGCTTCACTATTGCTTGTCCCGCCAATCCGCCATTTTGTTACGGGTTGCTTGAGGAATAATGTGACGAGGGGCACAAAACCGATTTAAACACACCTTTAAATAGGCCGCGCGCATCCTGGCAGATCAAGATCAGGGCAATCTCAACCATGAAAATGCACCGGCCGATATAGATGGTTCCAGCCCTCCTTGTTCACTCTTCATTTTATAACCGCCCCTTAATTCTTGGGACTCGAGCGAAATTGATCGTATGATACTAGCGTTTTCAGTTCCTGGAAGAATGGTCCTCCTCTCTCACATTTATAACAAGAAGGAAGGGTGAGGAACTTAAAAGCAGTGACCATATATTCCCATAACGTGCAGACTTGTGGAGCACAGATCTTCAGAACACGCAGAAGCAATGACTGTCCTGTCTGCCCGTCTTTGTGGATATGTATGTACGCGGGAAGGGCGGATGCCCATTGCAATGCCGCCGCAAGCTTCACAGCATGTGGGATGGTTTTGTGCAGTCGTACAGGAGTATCCGTACCCAGAACTCGATAAACAATGCTAACCGTGACCCTAGGGATGTGCGGCGTAGCTCACTTGGTCAGTCAATGCAAGGGCCTTACGACGTAAAGTAACCCAAGGCGGCGGTAAATGAAGAAGTCAACGTAGCGACGAGGCGAAACGCCACTGTCCATACGCTGAACGTGAGGTGAACAAGTTATCGCGAAAAGAAGAAACCTCCTGGGCTCAAATGTATCAACCGAGTGTGCACAAGGTTCTGTGCCCACATTTCCCCCGGCCCCGATCCATGGTAGAAGAGTGGTCTGTGGCTGTACGGAGTAGCTTGTAGGGCATTCCTTCTGAGAAGAAAGTAATTATGAGCAGGAACAGCGGCCCAAGGAGTACCAAAAAAACAGAAGCTCTCAACCAGTCGATATAATTTTACTCTCCCGCTGAGAGAAGCGGCTTGAGAGGTTGTTTGAGAGCTGCAGTCGTTTGGCTGAGAGTGTCCGCTGAGTCCAGGCGGAGTAAGTATACTCGGCCCCCTGTTCTCTGAGACAGGAGCCGTGTGTCAGAAGGGGCTTATGCTCTCGAGGGGCTTGACGAGAAGACACCAAAGCTGTCCAAGATGAGCGGTACCGGGCAACATCAGATCCCTCCCCCATCCCCCAGCTCCGAGTTGACTCAGTCGATTGGACCGAGTTCTTCGCAGATATCGAACGAATATCTCCAGACATGATCGGTAACTATGTCGCCTGTTTTTTAAACAGCACAAGCCAGGCGACTATCTCGGAATTCCACCTGTGTGGTTCGACTTCCTCCCAGACAGAGCAGAAACGTCGAAGTTTAAAAAATATTCAAAATTCAGAGGCGCAAGAAAAATGAAAAAAGGTCAAATATGTCCACTCCATACAGGGAACATTAAAAAAATAAAAGAGGACAGGAGCTAGAGCTGCAAGTATGCCCAAAACCCCAAAAGACAACCCCAATAAGAGGCATCCAATGACAGTCGCTCGCAGAGCTCAACGCAGGCCGCTGTTTCGTCGCCTTACTTTTTAGACTTCCGGCGAGGGAACGATGGCTGGTCGATCTGGAACCAGGATGGATTCGCAACGGACTGCCGGTGAGGGTGCATCCCCGTACAGTTTAGGCGTCAGTCGACAATCCCCAAGCGTGCCCCGTCGCCGCCAGAGCCAGAGAGAGATGACGATGGATGAGATCGAGGTACATGCTTGAGCTCTTTCTTTCCTTTTTCTGTCTTGTCCATGTATTTTGCATTCCTCAATCGAGAGATGGCATCTTTGGCCTGACAAGAAAAGGGAATATACGCTTGTCCAGTGGACGGGGAACCGTACATCGAGCTCCAGGCACCCGCAAGGGACATGGGAAGCAGCGCAGTGACTGGACCAAACCGCCCATCCGACACACGGACGCACCGCACCCTCCGGCTTGATGTTGCTGTAACTTACCAGAGGGTAACGGATTCAAACAGCCAGATTATTATCATTACCGCTGGGCAACATTTTTTTTCGATCTGCTCCTGTTGTCGACGGGTACGAAGGTGGCTCTCTTGCACGAAACCTTTTCCCCCGTTCACCACCACCTTACCTAGTTACCTCAGTCAAGGGTCGGGTTATCATTGCTCGAACGCCTCGATCGCATCTCCATCGCCAGGGAGAGGTCGACAGTTGATAGGGCAGCCCAGACGGCTTGCGCAGCACCACGAGTGACCGCGACGGCCGTATTAAAGAACGACGGCCTTCGTCTGACCCTTCACACTCACAAGATACCGACAGAGTCGGATCAAAAGATATATTTTAGCTGCCCCCGCTGCCCTGAGCAGATGATCTCTACTAGATATCAAGCCATCACTAAAAAAGCACCACCCACCCGCCGTCACCATAGTGTCTCTTGACCTCAACACGAGCAGGAGAACAGCAGCAGAAGCAACGAGATCCCCGTCTAACGCTTCTTTACTTACTCTTCCATCCCCCCCCCGCATCAACGACCCTCTCGTCCCTCCCCCCCCTCTCTCCCAGGCACGTTGCACAGTGTTCTATCGTTGCTTCTTCTCTTCTTCTTCTTCTTCTCTTCCCTTGCCCACTTCTTGCGCGCGCCATCTTTTTTTTTTCTTTGGCCCGTCCGCAGAGGAGAAAAAAAAAAGACGGAAGGGAGCCAACCGTAACCATCGCACACACCGCTTCTTCCCGCAACCAAGGCAGGAGGATATCTTCTTCCGCTTCTGCTTCTTCCTCCTCCTCCTACAACGAACGCTGCCAACCATAACGCTGAACACTTTATTCTACGACGAGACGATTTAACGACCACGACCCCCTTGATTCTTGCATAGTGTGCCTTTTTTGTTTTTTTTTTTTTTTTTTTTTTTCCAAAATTTGATTTTATTGTACGGCGGGACTTGACGATATTCCCGCCTCCAGTGCGTCTTTTTTTATAACACCAACCGATATATACACACACCCCAAGATGGCGAGATTTTCTCTTCCGTCGCCGGCCTTTGACTTCTTCCAGCCCCCTCCAAACCTCGACACAAAACCCATGTTCGCCAGAGATGAGGAGATGAGCGTACTGGACGACAAGATCCTAGACACCAGCGCTCAAGATATGTCGATGGACAGCTCACGGCGGACGTCCTTTGACCAAGCCACCGACGAGTTCTCGCGGAGGGAGTCGGTATGGTCGGATATGGCTCAGCACCAGACCGACGCACAGTCACGGCATCCATCACAACTGTCGACACCACTCTTCGAGCCTGTCAGCAATCCCTTTGTGCGACTAGATGCACCCACAGGAGCCTTCGCCCAGCAACAACATCCACACCACCAGCACCACCAGCAGCAACAACCGCTTTGGCCGGTATCTAATGAATCCGGCTCCTGTACCCCTACACCAATCTACGAAAACTTCCCCCAAGAGTTCGATGGCGCCGTTGCCAACCCATTTACCGGTGGCGCCGTTGGCCAGGTACAGCCAATGTCGTATCAGCAGATGCAATTCAGAGCCTCTCCGCCCTTCGCGGCGCCTAATTCTATTCCCATGTCTCCGCAATCTAGCCAAGGCTGGGTATCAGGCTCATCTGAAGTGCCCGAAGTCCAGTCACGACCTGTCAGAACATCCGGTGGATATCGAAACAGCGCAGCCAGTCTTACCATCCGACGAGATGGAATTCGCAAGAAGAACGCCCGTTTCGATATCCCTGCCGAGCGGACGCTGAGTAACATTGATCTCCTGATCAGCCAGTCAAACGATGAAGACGAGATCAAGGAACTCAAGCAGCAGAAACGTCTTCTTAGGAACAGGCAGGCAGCGTAAGTGCTATCCACTCTATAGGTGCATGAATCACTCTCTTACTGACATTTTCTAGCCTTGACTCTCGCCAGCGAAAGAAGGTTCACACCGAACAGCTGGAGGAGGACAAACGAAGATCTTCAACTCACATTAATGAGCTCCAGGAGGCACTCCAGGAGATGAAGCTTCGAGAGGCAGAACTCATCAGGGAAAAGAACGAAATGCTTGAACGCCAGCAACAGTTGCACCAGTTTGTTGAACAGCTCCACATGGAAAAGGAAGAGTTGATCCGCACCCACACCCTTGAGACAGGCGAGCTCCGAAAGAAGAATACTATTCTTCGAGAACACTTGGAGCGGATGGAGATGAACTCTAGTAATCCCTCTGACTCTGGCTCCACGGTTCGCAACGACTTTTCCGACTATGGCGGCCTCAACATGGACAACCCTTCATGGGAGTCATTCTCCCTATCGGATGAGTTCAGTCTCGACACAGAACAGCGCCCGCAGCCCCGCAGCCCCACGCCTACGCCTGCTCGACATCCATTCACTCTAGACTTCAGCTCCAAGAAGACGGAGAAACAAGCAGAGAAGCCGTTGACCCAGTCCGACTCTGCTTTCAGTTGGAATGCTTTCTACATGTGCCTGCTTTTCGGTGCCTTTATTGCCTCCAACAGCACCTCCACTTCGCAGCCCGCCATTCCCGCTCTGTCCGAAGAATATCGCGCAGAGTCAGCAAACGTCTTGCGTGCAGTCCTCGCCTCTGGCTCTCCTGATGGGAACTCGGCTAGCATTGTTGGTCCATCGCCCAGCTCCAGTGCCTTGTTGCCCACCACCATTAGCAACAGTGAAATGGCCCAGATCACCTCTGGCCCTACTGGCGGTGCTGCTACAAATCTTGATGTTTTGCATAATAACCTCGTTGCACCGTCAAAAGAACAGGAAGATGCCCAGGCCTTTGCCATGACTACTAAGCAATACCAAGCACTAACTACTCTGGGTGATGACGAAATGGGCGAGGACCACGTTGCTCCTCCATCGAACCTGCAGCAGGCCTACGCTGCTATGCGCAATAATGGACTTCAGAACCGTGCCGCTTTCAAGGGAAATGGAAACCCAGACATCTACTCGCGATCACTAATGTGGGACCGCGTCCCCCAGAAGGTACTACAGGACTTCAACAACATGGTGAGAGAGTGTGCTGGAAAGACTGTCAAGGCCGAGGAGCCTGGCAGGGAGTCTGCCACCTGTTGATTTCTCTTCAGCACTACCTCTTTCAGCCGACAAATACTTGAACAAGCCTTCGGTATACAATACGGAATATCAACGTTACCAGTGCAATGAATCATCGGCCAGTAGGTGATACTTCCTCATCGCAGTGCTGGCCTTATCGCTCTACGCGGCCCAGAATGGATTTATCCACCGCCTATTTCGTTTGTTCTCTCCAATCGCATCTACGTCTTGCATTGTTTTTTGGATGAAGGTTCTATACGCCATATTTTATTTCTTCCCTCGCGGGTTATGCATCTTTTCTCATTCTTATGGGCCGTCTGTGGATCGGACGGATGGCAGAAAATATTCCTACCATTATTACCTTGTCGAGGGGGACCAGAGTCTCTCCCTCCAGAGACCAGCCGCGAGGCATTCACCGTTTCATACCCGCATTCACCGTTTCATACCCGCATTCACCGTTTCATACCCGCATTCACACATAGCTAATTGTTTTCGCAGCTTGTTTTTCTTTTTTTTTTTTTTTTTTTTTTTTTCCGCATTTTTGAGAGGAGGGGTTTTCTTACGGGTTCTTGTTAATGCTGTTTGATGGCTCTTATGCTTTCTCCTTTACTTTTGTTCATTTACTCTTTTCACTTTTATTTCTTTTATTCTTCCTTTTTTTTGACCCTTTTGATATTTCGCTCCGTTTGCGCGAACAAGCTCCCCAGAGATTTATCCAAACTTACTTTTTATATACAGACCACGAACGTCGTCTAGCTACTTCCCTTTGTCCACTCACTTTCAAACCACAGCTTCGGCAGCAACATATCTTTCATTTGTTTGAACCCTACCCCTTCCCCATCCCACCTCATCTCCCTCGAGTCTCTCTCCCCCCATTTCGGTGTATTAACTTGAGCAACTCCACTCCTCTTCCTGCGCGTTGCTGTCTGTTCATTCTAGCCTTGTCTCTCCATCCTTGTTTCGCGCATCGGCAGCTTCAAGCTCTCTATTTCACTCTTAACTCTTCCCAGCTTTCTTCTACTTCCTCTCCCCTTCTTCCCTTTTTTGGCTTCTTGGGAAATGTTGAAAATACTCCTTTTTTATTTGTCCATCTTCACCCCCTTTATCTTCGATGTACGAACCCGAGGACACGACGTGACATGACCTTAACGATATGATGTATGAGAGCGAAGAATGATTATCATGAAATATGCTTGGTTACTAGCAATGGAAAAAAAGCCACGCGTTCGAAATCTAAGTCGCTACGTCCCTCCTGGTTCCAACTCTCCGTTCAAAAAGTATCTGTTTTCTGTAAAAAAAAAAAAAAAAAAAAAAAGGTCTAGCCGGTAAATGAGGGGAACTCTTCTCCTCCTGGCTAATTATTATAGCAATTTATGTAATGAAAACAGCCGACCGATGGAGCAGGTATGCCAAATACCTAGTCATCCATAACTAGCTACTAGTTTCCAGGTTCAGGCCTGCTTTCAAGGTGTTGGTTTGACTCTTCCTCTCATAGCCGTGGGTAACATGCTCTTGTGACAGTTCGGCGGACGAAGCCGTCGCATGCGGTATGGGTTAACGACAGTTCGCAGCCGGCAGGAGTCCTCTGTAGCGAGCTTGAGTTGGGTTAATAAACCCCTGTCCTAAACCCGGCCGCAAGCCAGCAGTGAGTGGGATGAGATTCAGCCACAAGTCATGAGACCAAGGCAGCGACCGGAGACACCGAAGACGAAAGCTGGGTATCATATAGCTATGCAAGGATGATGTCGAGTTGAGTATGAGTACATCGAAAGGACCCGATCGAGCCACGAGATGATGGCCTTGCAGTTGTTACTGCAGTTGTTGTTAGGACCATTAAGGGGAGTAATACATACAAAACGAAGACACAAGCTGGCCGCCCCCTCCTTATGGCTCGGCATTTGCTAAAGTGTTAGTCAAATACATATTCCATGTTTCCCACCCCGGTAGGTAGAAAGCCAGAAGTGACTCCCGGAGAGATGTCATGCATGTAGTTAAGAGGAAATATTTGGTTGGGGGCCAATAGTTACTTGATGCGGTTGTTGTCACCATTTTGACCACTGAAGGGACAATTCATTGACAGTAGCGAAGCCAGACACTCCCCTTGTAACTTCTCTACAGCCCCTGAGGTTTCTGTGAGCGCGAACAAAGCACTTTTCGGCTTCATGGAGTCCACCATTGATACACCGTAAAGAGTCGAAATGACGGTCCTGGGGTTATCTATGGTGTTCTGAATGTGTCGATAGAAGAAGCCCTGATATTCAAATATTCAAAGCAGTGTCTCCCAGGTGGCGTAACATGCCTTCTTGTTTAACACAGCAGGCGTTATTTGACTCTTACGAGATATAGCCGAATGGTACGATACGTGTCTCTATAAAAACGGCTAACTTGGGGGCCTCCAACTTTTTTTTTTTTTTTTTTTTTGGAGGCTGCAGGTTCGATTCTTGCAAAACGTTTTTTCACTCCTCTCTTTTTTTTTATTTATTGATGACTAATCAACGACTAATGACTAGTTAGTTTAGCGCCTGCCTGGTTTTGTATCCTGAACCGTTCTTCTTGCTCTTTGGCCCTTCGCAGGTCAATCTATCGTCCTACAAAGTACACTTATGCCGTCAATACGCCGTCAAGGGCTCTTCTATGCTGCCTCTCTCTTCTCTACAAAATTCACAATAGGACTACCAAACCAATGTCTCAGCACCCAGATTATAGGAGAGACAAATAGATACACGGATAGGTGAAAGATATATTGTCAGAAGGAGGATGATAAGATTGAGGTCTATCGAACGTGCGAGGCTTTAACCAAGCAAAGTGTAGCGAGATAAGATGGCTAATACAAAAACTGACATCATATACATGAGGCCAGAATCTGACAGGTAGTGAGTGCAAAAAAGTCGGGGTAGAACCGACTTGCACTGCAGTAATGGTCTCGACCTTGTCCCCTTTCCTCTGCCGGGATCCTGATCCCGCTGAATACACATGGTTTTTGTCAGACACTAGGCCTTTCTCGTTTGTCTGCACCAGTGGTCAGTATCTGACGCTTATTGCGTGGAGCGGGGCTCCTTGACTAACTAGTTCGAACCTACCACCAAATCCATTATACCAAGGTCAATACAAATTTGCTTCCCGGCTTCGTTTGATGTTTTCAACAGCAATCCTTAACAGACTCAAGATCCGGATAGATCTTGTGTTCGCGTATGCCGTTGCACCTACATGAGTATTATCTTGGTTAGCTTTCGTTGCCCTCGGCTATGCAAATTGGAGAAACCAGGAATATACCCCTTCTAACCAAGAGATCAGCATCTCATAGTCATTGAATAGTCTTCTCCGTGGAAACAAACTCCCACAGGATAGTAATATGTGTTGCTTTATCACTGATCACTGGGGAATACTTGCCTTTAAAGTTTTATCATACCCCTTAACTGTTCATACCTGGAGAAGAGAGATTTTTTTTTGTTAGCCGGGGCGAAGGTCACCCTTGACTATGCAAGCTGGTAAAAAAACGAGAAAAAACCACTCCTCTCTCTCAGAAGATTAGCGATGTCATCATACGCGTCTCCATCACTGTTCATTGAGAAGTCATACTTGCCTTTTTATTTGGCATTCAGGAATAAAAATTCCCTTGTTCCAGCGCTTCTGAGCATTCTGTCATGCTTCCTATGACAGGTCATCATTAGCAGTGAAAAGAAACGGTCAAGGATACGGTACTAGCAAGGATTTCTCTGCCAGGCCATACCTCGGACTCGGATGATAGAAGTTGACGATGAGACGAGATGGTTTAGAGGAGGGAAAATAAAATAAAATAAACAGAGAAGAGGAAAAGAAGAGGGTTGCGAAGACGGAGGGAACTCGCGGCCAGCTGTTCGTCCTGGTTGGGAAAGGGCGATATACAACTCGGGACTTTTGTTGACATCGGACGTTGCTTGCACCTTCCATGCTGAGACACCGTTGCGCCTCTCTATGTGAGGCTTTGAATACTTGCCACAGGCCACAACAACGTCTGGCTATACCCAATGTTATGGCTAATACTCTATAATTCCGGAATACTATTAAGGAGCTCTCTAAGGATGGTTGTCACGGATTGTCGTCGTGAGAGTTGGCGGGAAATCTGGATACGGCAGCACATCGGTTGAAACAACTCTACATATGGTCTAATAGCTATCTCATGCGTCTATTCCTTCACTTTATCCTTAAAGGCCGATTTAGCACTAAGGCAGGGGCAGGCCACCGTTGTTATAAACTAGCTACGGGGCGATTGATGAAATACGGAGATGTAACCTATATAGCGGCATATATCTTCGAGTATAAGGCGATAGATAAGTAGATATGATACAGATGCAGGACTTTACAGCCATCATTTTCTACTCCTCGATTTATTTCTTGTTCTTATCAATTTTCCTATGCCTACGACTCCCTTGCTGCGCGCACCTGCAGTTGTATAGTCACGTGATATTTTTTTTTTTCTTGGCTGCCCTCCATCCGTCAAGGGAAACACTACTGATGAGCTCTGACAACGACAGAAGCCGGAAAAGAGCTTTTTGCGCTCCCTCTGCGAGGTGTTCCAATTGATGACGGAGCTCGTGGTAGCTTCAGCACCTTGACGTTCCCGGTATATCATAGGGAAGTCCTGCTCTTTATGTCGACTAATGCATATTCAGAGCAAGCTGCATCATATTTTGCCCTCCCACTGCCGTTGTGGCAGCAGCCTGTGAGCTACCGGACAGCCAAGTACGAACACCTGAGGCAGCGAGGAAGACTTCAAAAGGAGCATGACCACGACAACGAAGATTCGAACCAAGAGGGCAGTGATGGATATGGAACAGACAGCGCGATACAAAGCGAGCCTGAGTTGAAGAATAAACAACGGGAGAAACGCCAGACAAGCCCTAGAATACCACTAGTCTTATCTCCTGGAGAGGCACATCAATATAGGATCTCAGGGCTTCCAACGTATCGCGAGTTGCCAGGTGGTAAATTTCCCCATAAAGCTGATTTGGACGACCATGATTTCCTTGATAGTGATCATGAATCCGACGGTAACCAAGATGGGGGAAGCACTTTGACCACAAAACGGAAGAGCGCCAAATCTCTAAATAACAGACAACGAATAGAGGCTAAGCTATCTCAATTGAATCCGCCAATATACTTAGCAGGTGGTAACCCTGCAAAGAAAAATACACTACGACTTCATCATTTGAGCGTTGTGACAACCATCTTACATCGTTGTCTAATGGAAGGAGAATATCTCCGTGCTGGGAGGGCGCTGGGCCTGATTCTTCGAGATAACTTTGGTGGACACCCTGTAGACGTGAGGAACTCAGGGAGGTGGGCCACTGGAGCAGAGATACTACTACAGACTGGCTCGAATGCCAGTAAACCCGCAGATACGAGCAACAGGAACCCTGAAATTGACGGTGATAGGGTATGGTTTACAAGGGAAGGGTTTCAGCGAGCAAAGGAATACTACGAAAGACTGATTATCCAATATCAGTATCGTAAGGCAGCGCCGAACGCGCTAAGCCCATTACATTTCTATCCAGCCATGTTTGGGTTGTGGATATCAGTGTCCCAAGAAGAGAGCCGCCTGGCTAGGGAAGCTGGGGACCTAGCTCATAGCCCTGGTGCGTCTGCTGCTGACAGCAATGATTACACAGATCCTGATACAAAAATGGAGGAATACATGGAGAGGGATGAGGAGCCGTCGGATGATAAAAAAGCCACCATTGACGCTCGTGTTAAAGAACTCAAAGATGCTCACCAGATTGCAAGACAGATGGATGATTTGCTCGTTTCTCCTCCTTTCTCGGATAGCCACGAATTGCTTAGGCTGCGTGGAATGGTATCTCAGTGGATAGGTGATCTTTACCTATCTTCAGTCTTACCTAGTGACGAGGAGCCAGGCTTTGCTGGTATGAAGGATAACGAGGAAGACGTAGACAGTCTTCAAGTTGATGATGGTGGTGGTGATAACGCACATCTGGACGCCAAGATACTGAGGATCGAAATCGATGCAGCAAAGGAGAAAAGACTTGCGGAGTTCGAGAAAGCAAAGTCATTCTTCAATAAAGCGCAGGCTAGATTCGAACGGAACCAAAGCTCTGTCGTTACCCCCTTGTAAACGCACCGGATATGAAGATTGAATCATGCGCTGACACGCCGTATCAGCGCCCCAAATAATCAAAATACTTCCTTTCCAGTAGATATGTATGTTCGTGCAATCCTCAAGATGTAGCTGAAAAATAAAGACCATCATGTGACAAACCTAAAATGTACCTCATTTTGAGCTTAATTTCAACATCACGGGTACATCAATAATCAATAACACACCACCCAGGGTTTATATTGAAGCTTGATGTCGAAGGGTATTAAGGCACTGAGACGCTACCTTTAAATATAAAACACTTTAGCCCAAAATCATGAGAGTCAGTGATTTTGTCCAAGGGGGCAGGGATTCAAATGGGATAGAGAAGAGGCTCCCTAAGCCAGTTCAAAATTCCAGAGAGCGCCAAGTTGAGCTGGCCAAAATAAAGCTACCGCCCGCTCCGTTGGGTGGATTACATGGGTTCAACCGTCCTTTTATTAACAAGGAGCACAGAAATTCACTTCCAGAAAACACAACGTCCAATGGACTGCCTGGCAAGCCACCACAAGACGTTAATACTGCAAATCAAAATGAAGGACCCGGGGACATTTTCGATACCGACCTTGAGGGCGTTGATGATTCTACTACCACTTTTAGCGTCTTGCGAGACACAGAAGGAGGATCTGTTGTGGGGAATCCTTATTATGCACATGAAGATACCAGTCGCCCAGGCACAGCTGTGGCCCAAAACAACGGCGGCTATAAGTCTATTGCTGAGAGAATCAAGGAACTTGACTCTGATGAAGAGGGGAATATGCAAGGGACAAATGACTATGACCAAGCACATCAGGGGCGAGAAGGATTTAGAGAACAGGCAGGAGATGACCATCGAGAGCATGATTCCGGCTGGGAGGCCAACAATGCCCATTCCACAAAAGAAACCCTAAGCTGGCAAAAGATTGAGGCAATCCTAAGAGAAGATACTTCTTCACCAAACAGAAATGTGGATGGAGAAGGCACTTCTCACCCAAACTCTCAAAATCTGTACCAAGCTCCCATTGGCAGGGACAGCCATCCAAATGGAGCGTCGTCGACAACCCAACCTCCGCAGAACAACCACTTCGAAGTCCCTAAAATCACCCCCAGGCCCGTAGCCCAAAGATTGTCAACAAGAAATAGGTTTGCGGCAAGGCCTCATTTTGCTGCGCCCGACCCATATTCTGGCCATGCTGAGGAGCCAAATCAAGAAGTGTGAGTGTAATATTTGCTTCTTATTTTTGACTTTTATGTAATAGTCACAACATCTAATATCAGCCTATCTAGTGAGGAAAATTTGGTTGACCAAGAGCTACATCATTCTGTTGACGATCAGTCCTCAGCTCATAACCGGGGAGCCTTTGATACAGCAACCGATCTCAGCGCCGTGGACTACTCCGATGATGACGGATTTGAAGAAATGGCCCGTCATGAAGAACATGTCTCCCTACACTCACCTCATCTCTCTACGGTGTCAGCTATTTCATCCAAGCGCCCTTACTCAAACTTTATATCCGACTACCCACCTAACATCCTGGAAACGAAAGCATTTTCAGATCTCCAAGCGGAGAGCTTTGACTTTAACCCAACTCCTGTCCAACCCCTCTTCCAGCATGATGCACAGCTATCACTAAAAGACAAACTCCTCCGCCTGAAAAATTTGACAGATGATCAGCGTCGTGTATTCTTTTCGTCCGTGACTATATCGGAGTGGGAAGAATGTGGAGATCTGCTGGTTGACGAATTTTGTCAAATGCTACAGAAATCCAAAGAGGTTCGCCAAGCTAGACGGGACGTGGCCGCTATTTTCGAAGCAGAAATCAAGAGACGTCATGATGCCGTTGAAGCAGAGGGGAATGCCATTAAGAACCGCCTTGAAGATATGAAAGCTGGAGGATTGGGTGTTCTAAAGCGGCAAATACCTTAATGTCGTCGGGGCTCGTAAGTTTAACGCTTTCGTATGCAGCATGCCAATTCGTTACGATATACCAGGAGTTTTATTTTGCAGAGTTAGGAGTTCCGTATTATCCGCACAGTTGACTATTTCCTAATGCTTTCAATCACACCGGTGGGCGGTCATATTGCATTATTGAAAATTTTCTATCATATTATATACCCACTCAACGCTTGTCAAGTACGGAAACTTGAAACATGTCATTTCTTTTCACTATACTCCACGAATATGTTAGCTCCTCTAGCTAGATAGTAACTCGTTACAGGACTTATGACTTATGTATTATTCTAAACAATGTGGAAAACAATATATACCGGTTTCTCATGAGCCTAGGCCCGGAGATATACTGGTCGAATTCAAGAAGTATGTCAAGTAATTTGTGATTTCATAAGTAAATAGGTATAAATATAGGTATGAAAGAGTTCATAAAGGAGCTGAAAAGGATAAACGCATTAAGAAATGAGCCCACCAGTCCATCCATCCTTTCCCAACCATGATCCGATTTATTATTATGAGCTCCATCCCATATCCCCACGATCCCTTTTGCTGTATGATCATCCCTCAGATAAACGCCGGATAAAGCTTGCTGTAGGGCAAAGAGACAAGAAAGCAAAAAAGGAGCAAGTTTTAGACGTATGCGATAAACGAGATAATTGAATGGGCAGAAACGGGCTTCGAGGCTGAAGAAGTATCACATTCACATATTAAGAAAGGGGAAAGGGGCGCCGCGAAGGAATAATATGCAAGAAGTAGAGGAGAAACAATAATAAAGAAATAAAGCAAGGGGTGAAATAGATACAGACCAACGGTAAAAGGTTGGCGCCGAAAAGTATCTTCTGCGGGCAAGGCATAAAAGAATACAAAGGGGAATAGAATTATGACGTGTTCATGACCCCAGGCCATGATATTAGAGATGGACTTCCTTGCAAGAACGCAGGACGTCGCCATTGATGGGAGAAACCGCTCTGCGAGTAGTATGGGTAAAGTATCTCGATAGCGAGGACATGGTTAGGATGTCGACACCGCCTCACTACCAGTATCATTGCTGGAGTTAGAGACACCCTCACCTCGGCACAAAGGACAGGAATTTCGCCCCGTTGTTAACCACTAGTTAGATTAGCATATGATTCTATAGCATTAGTAAATGAGAACGTACCTCATCAATGCACTCGCGGTGGTAAACATGTTTGCATTTATTCAATATTCTCACTTCCTCGGCAGCCTCATAGTCACATAAACATATGAGACAACGATCATTCTCAGCTATTGGAATGTTCTCCCGAGTTTCTTCGCCGATTATTTCTGCAACCAGAGCCCCAGAGTACTCTACAAGACGATATAGGCCGCCTGCGGAAGCTATTTCGTCTTGTGTTGCAACAGGAGGCTTGGCTGGGCCCAGTAAGGATGACAAGAGTATCATGTCCTCATATGTCGGGTTCTAGAATTGTGCATTAGTCCACGCTCATTTACAGAAAACAGGTAGGGGTACGGGTGAACATACATCTGTAAACAGGCTGGGCGCAGCAAATGCCGGGTGATTCTCAGCCAGATTGGTTCCAACAACATAAATTAGCCAGCTTCGGCCTCCAGATGGAGAAGGGTCATCAGGTTCTACTACTCCATTTCTTCGCGCAGCACCGGAGCCCAGCCCACGATGACGAGCAGCCTCTGAATCGCTCCTACGGCGCTGTCTTGCAGGGTTAAAGCCCATTGGGTGTTCTTCCAATGGGTCAACTGACTCTCCAGTCCCATCCTCATTGAGCTGGGGAAGAATAGCTGATGCAGATGAGGGCCGCCTGCTTGGGGTGTTGACGGCGGACGACACCCTCGATAACCCCGCTTCTGCTGGCGTGGATGGAGGCGGGTTTGGGCCTTGGGGGCTGTCAGAGAGAATAGTCGGAAGCGAGCTGGCTAAATCACTCGAGGATCCAACATCAGAGGGTCGCCTGGAAGAGTTCTGAGATCTGAAATGACGCTGGCTATCGTAGTTTGCTGGGAAAGTGCTGCCTCCAACTGAATAACGTCGCGGGGAGAATCTTGAACGGCCATCTGAGCGTCGTAAAAAGTTACTGCCATTTCTATCATTGCGGAGGAAGTTACCTGGGGCAAGAAGCGGTAATCGGAGGAGGGATTCTACATTTAGGCGGTTGTTGGTGGCAGCGTCTCCCGCGGCTCCGTTTGCGGGTGGTGCAGCTCTCACACCAACAACGACTAAAGTGAGCAAACGTCGTTCTTGATGCCCGTCTGTTGAGCCTTGCCCGTCAATATCCATCTGGTCGGTATTGCCCTCACTTCCTTCACCTGAGTTTTGCTGAGGAGAAGGGCTGTCCTGATTTACGAATCTGAACACCCTTAAGAAGTTCACATGGGGAACGTTTGGATCGTGGGGAGCATCAAGGTTACTTATAGTCTCCTGGTTAGCTGAGACCTGCTGTAAGCCGCTCATGAGTGATTCTAAGGGACCATCAAAGCCGTCTGCGCCAACGGATTGGATGCTAGGTACCGCTGGACTTGTATTCCCGGAAAGCTGGGCAGCGATTGCCGTTGCAGCAAGTTGTAGGACGCGAGAGAGTGGCGTTTGTTCCTCTCGCCTTAGTAACCTTGTTGCTCGAGATCGGATAGTCGAATGTCTTTGGTTGGAGGCGTTGTGGTAGCCAGGGGTCGAACTTGGGTCAGATCTGGGCCTCGAGTCCGAATCATCAGGTCCATGAGCCTCGTCAACATCCATATCAACATCCATATTTGGCTCGGTGATGCTGGAAAGGTCTAGTGGGCTGTCTGAATCGTCAGAGAGCCCAGCACGGGAGGGTCGTGTTGGCGCGGGTGAGGTTGCCTGGCTTGGATAAGCCGGAGTCGAGTGCTGATTAAACATGTGTGATATTGGGGCCGATATTGAATGTCGGACGTGGCTCAACCTTGTTCGATACCTCCAAGAAAGACGGGAAGAATCTGCAATTCGGGCATTGGACGGGCTCTCTAGGAAAGTCGGGTTGGGCGGAGAATCAGGTAACAAGGCCGATTCCCCTCTTGGGAGGGCGTATGGCCCGCGAATCGATCTCCTCCGCGCTATTCCCCGGGTGCTAAGGGTTCTAAATGATGGAAGATGTGGCGTGGGTTGCGGTGAGTCTGATCGTGCCGAGCTCCTGGACAAGAGTCCGTCTCGGTGCGCTCTTCCTTCTGCTGGAGTCTCCTCGCCGCTGTTGAGTAGGTTTCTCAAGACGGAGTTTGGAAGTATTCTCGTACCCAGACGAGACATCCGAGACTGCCTGCTGTTGCCTGAGGCGCTGCTGCTTCGAGTAACAGACCCGGCTGGTGCTGGGAATTCCTCCAAGGAGCCATCCGGAACCCACGAGGAAGTGTTGCTCCGAGATTCATGTCGACTGTTGTCTGGGGAGCGTGCCCAGGAAGGGACATGTGTGCTATTTCTCATTCTCTCGCGCGTAGAAGTCGGTGGAGTTGGAAAGCCATTACTACTACTATTATTATTGTTGCTGGTGCTGCCGAGGCTGCCGTAACTGTATCGTGGTTGGTCTCCGTCGTTCGTAGTTCCTGGCGATGTTCTTTGAGAAGAGCCGGCCTGCCCCATATCGGCTGGAGGGTGGTTTTATGGAGTTGAAAGCAGGTCAGAGAAGCATGTCTAGGGTGCCTAGATGCCTCCTCTTAGCAAGCGGTCCAACCTAGCAGGAGAGTCAGCGATACAATTAACCATCAAGCCGGCCTATTTATCACGTATACCAAAGTGAGAGTCCCTAGACTGACTGTCAAGCCGCTGGAGAGCTGATGATCTCCAAGACTGCAGCAGACAGGGCCCCGGGAGGGGATATGGAGAGCTGAACCTGGGCTTAACTTACTTGAAACAACGCACTGAATGAAGCGGTAAAGCCCCTTCTGGCCGTGTCCAGACAGCACTTCCAAGGGTCCCCGCTAACGAACCGTCACCCAGAGTCCTCTGTTGCGTGTGATGAAAGGGACAGCAACGCCGTCTAGCTGTACGTTGGGCAAGGTGAGGGCTAGAGAAAGCGTGTGTATGCAAGAGGCTGAGCGAGCATGAAAAAGAGAAGAAGCTGAAGTTGTCGCCGAAAGCAAAAAAAGCGTCATAACCCGCCCGTCGGACGACAGCGACCACTTGCGCAGCTTTTCTTCTTTCTTTTCCTCGCAGCCTCAACAACAACCGCAAACAACGACAACAACAACCGCAACAACCATCAACTGCTGCTAGTCAACTGCTACGGTTACAACTACTGCTATCACGAGATGGAGACGGCCGCATTCAGCATATCCATGTACCAGGACCCTCCAGAGAGCCGCGGCATTTGCAGGTTTGGTGCTCGCTCGCTAGCCAGACCTTGACCAAGCCACTGACAGAGTACAGGCCAGCTTGAGCGCATAGGAAGCCGGCCAGCATCACATACAGAGAAGCCAAGTGTTAATTCAGATGTTACTACTGGTCCTCGGATAAATGGCCTCCTTTCCATTACACCGAGCTTCAAGCGAGGCTGCCGTAGCAGAAGTTTAGACAGCTATCTGCTGACGTTGATTGGTCTTGAAGGTTGCGCCTCTTGCACACATAACCAAACTCCGGCGGCTACCGAAACTTGTTTTAAGGGGACACTCAGATATGAGCTCGAGCTACTAGATCGCATGCTCAAAACCCTACTACTTAGTCGGCCTATGGCTATCGTGAAATACACCAACCTTTCGGCTGAAAGGTGCCAATAAAGTGACGAGTCAATTCACAATGCCCTTTCCGCACCCCAGTAGATTATTCTACTTCTCGACTTTTATGTCGTCCATTCCATGCTTCTATATTCCGGGAAATAAGTTGGAGTAAATTTTACTCTATCCCTTAACTCTTCTTCCTTAAATAAATGTCAGATTTGTTCAGCTTATTCCCATTCTAAATCTCAAGTTATATTACAATATTTACTTATATACATATACCCCTTTTTCCGCCTGATTAAATATGCTACAATACTGCTTAAATTATGGTAGGTGAAAGGAATGCCCTACCCGTGAATCCATGAAGGGTTCGGCAGGCCAGCCCTGAACCGTACAACCATCATCTATATGGTCTCCTGACAGAACCAGGGTATGTTCCAGCAAGCACGCATCATCCCCCACCGATGCTCCCGATAACAGTCTTGACTTGGTTCTGAGAACACTTCGGCTTCCCACCTGCAACGGGTGAAGCTCAAAATCTCCCCTGGTGTTTAAATGGCCCACTAAACTGGCATGGTCAATAGTAACTCGGTTTCCTAAAGTCACCAGGTCAGGCTCCGTCATCAGTAAGTCTGCCTCACCGCTGGCTGCTAATGCGCAGTCAGCACCTATTGTGGCCCCAAGCGCTCGATAGTATTGAACCATATATGCCGTCCCAGTCAGTAAAACCATCGCATTCATACGTCCAGAATACCCGGTGAAAATTCTCTCGATAGTGAGAAGAATTTGCCAGCGCTGGCAGTAGCTGCTTCGGTCCCATGGATAAAATCCTTCCCGTCGCCGTCCAAGGATCATCCATTTGGCAGCTATTTTGATTCCCATGGCTATAGCCGCCTGCACTAGAGTCACCACTCCCACAACCGCGGTGAACGCTGCATAAAATATGAAAGGCCTCCACCAGTGTCGTCCAGCCATCATATGATCCATCCTTACCAACCGAGAGACAACCAGTAAACCTGTAAGGATACTGGAAGCGGAGTACACTGCCCCGATAGCTGCAGCCAGGGTAGAGTATGCGACAATCGGTCCGATCCCGAGCACATAGTAACTTGCCTGTCCCTTGTAAAAGGCTCGTCCAAACGGCGATATCGTATCGTTGTCGTCATTTTTTAGGTCCATTTTATCCAAACTTTCTTGGCTTTGGTTTCGAGGAGAATTATTCTGGGGAAATTGTATCGCATCCCCATGCTTGCTTCCAGTCCAGGTTGTATTGTCTGGGTATGAACCGTTTCGACGTAGCAGCGCCCCTGACCCAATTGTTGTGCGTTTTCCAACCGTAACTCCAGGAAGAGCAACAACGTGGTCTCCCACAAACGCCCCATCCCCAATGACTATACGGTCCCTCCCTATCCCGTCAGAGGTAACAAAAGTAGATCGGGATCCAAATACGACATCGTTTCCAATCTCCAGGAGATCGTAATCCTGGACCATTGCAATTCCAGTGCCTGGCCAGTAAACTCGTTTACCGACACGTCCACCGAGCATTCTAACTGCAATAGAGACGAGTTCATAGTGTGTCCCTATAATACGAGTCAAACGAGATATATCTCCTCGTGGGATAATGGAATCCAACACGGCGCTTCGGACCATCTGTCTCTGGGAATGCAGATTGTATGGACCAGGCCGTGGTCGACCACAGACCAAGTCCAATCCCAGCTTAACAAGGTATACAGCAAGGAACCAAGAGAATGGACCGACAACGGCCCCTGCGAGTACCACTAGAGCATAATACCCAATACGTGATGGACTCACAAACCAGAGTACCTGTTGACGGAGCATGTCATTTTCAACTTGTCGGTATTTCATAACCACGGGGAAGAAGGCTACTATAGCTGGTAATCGAGAGACGAATGATACTAGCAAAGACAGCGGTCCCACGACTAGTACATACCAAATCCAGTGTGGTTGTGGGATCTGTGCAGAAGCTAGCTCGCGATTTGACTCTTGTGCATCCTCCATTTCCCAGCTAGATGTATTTGGCCCTAAACAAGTTCCCTGGGGAAGGTTTGTGCCAGAGGCAATGACTGCCTTGAGGCCCACGGTACAGTCCGCGCCGATAAGAATTGGCTGTAGTAGCATAGACGTATTCCGCTCTGCGGAAAAGGGGCGGCATGAGCAGTCATCGAGCACAACATTATCACCGATTTCAATTAGGTCGTACTCCCCAAGGGAAGCCTGCGGATGAATGCGAACATTACGGCCAATACGAGCCCCAAGAGCGCGGTAGTATAAGACTCGAGTGAAGCCGAAGTGGCCAAAGATACCCTATTCATAGTTAGACAGTCTGCATATGCCCGCAGATCTCTTAACATAGTAGAATTAGTATCATAAAGAGCAGCTTACCTTTCCACACACTTGTAGAACCTTTTGTGTCAACCACCACCGAGAATGATATGGTCCCCACATGGGATATATACCAGCCCGGTATCGACCAATGAGTAGCCATTTGAATGCAATACCCAGAAGAGGAGAGAAAACATGCATCACTTGTCGAGATACCACCCCGGATAAAAGAATGGGGAAAAGCCGACCAATAACAGTGTCACGGATCTGCCAGCGGAAGGTTTGAATTAGAATATACACAAACATGGACCATCGTAGCGTTTGTAATATTGGGGAGAAAACACCCAGGGGTATCAAGTTGAGTAGAAGGATGGCTGGGTTTGTGGACCTGTATGTCTCTACGCAACCAGGGAGGTCTTCCGACTTCTTCTCTTCAGCTTTCGGCTGGGCCATAGCCTCCTCGACGACAATGCTTACTTCAGAAACTGTACTGTGCCGAAATAGTACGTCACTAGCAAGTCGAACACTGAATTCTTGACGAATTCGAGAAACAAGGCGTCCAGCCGTTAAGCTATCCCCACCAGCTAGAAAGAAGTCCGTAGTAGGAGTCACGTCTCCTGGTGTTAATCGTAGAGCATCGGCAAAGAGACCGCAAACCCTTTGTTCAGTAGGTGAAGTGGAATATTGTGCCTGAGAGAGAATTATGGCATCTACGGCAGCTTCATCAATGTTGTCTGCGGAGTCTACCGGTGCAGGCCCGTCAACGATCCGGATACTACTCGGAACAAGGTATCCATCAACGAGAATGCGAAGATGTCTAGATATCTCATGAGGGAGTAGTTGACTCGGAATGTCATTAAACAAGACAGCTGTAAGGTACCCGTCTATTGGGTTTGTCCGGATCAAAACATCTGATATCCCAGAGATCTCGGAAAGATGTGCCTTCGTCACTTCAGGCTGTATAACACATCTCCTTTGATCAATTAAGACATCTAACGAAGTTTCCGGTGGAGGGCAGATTGCTTCGTAGTGACAATCGGATGGCAAGGTATCGTCTGTAAGTATCTCTAGGCCTAATCGGCGACTGAGTTGTATGCGGCGGAGTTTGTTGTGAGCTTTCGGGATATTATCCATATATACCAGGACTGTGGGCCATTTGGGTTGGTCCAGGCGGTCTTTCAACGCTTCATGTATTTGCCGGAGATCGGGTCTTTTGCGTCCAGCGGGAGTCACAATAACAGCACCGACAACCTCTTGTAATACACCATGGGGTGTAGAAAACACCATGGTTTCTGTCACGCGGCCAAAGATAGCAGATGAGGGATCCTTTGACGCTGAAATGATAGCATCCTCTACTTCCAGGGGAGAAATTATTTCCCCGCCGCGATTAATGACTTCTTTGCTTCTCCCAGTGATGTAGAGGTATCCTGCCTCATCAATGCGGCCAAGGTCTCCTGTATCAAACCATCCCGCTGCATCGAAAGCGCTTCTATCAATACCAGTGGGCGTTAGATACCCATTGAAAACAGGAAGTCCTCTCACACAAATCCTTCCTGTTGCACCAGTAGGAACGCGAGACGGTCGTGATATATCCAGGATGGCAAGGTCAGGGCCTGCTGGGAGGCCAGATGCCCCAACTCGAGTGAGGTCGTAGTCCAGAGGTGGCGCCGCAATAGGAGCACATTCTGTCATTCCATAACTCGGCAAAACAACACAACCGAAGGTAGAATGGAGCTGCTCCGCAAGGGTTGGAGGAAGGCCCCCACCTGCATTGCAGATGAATTTGATAGAGCTTTTGTGAATAGACTCCTGGCAGTTCTCTGCTTCAGCCAATATCATATGGTGCATGGTTGGTGTTGCATAGTACCACGTTGGGCACCACTTCTCAACAGCGTCCCAAAAGAAACTGGGATCGAATGTAGGGCAGCATATTGTAGTGCCACCTGCAAATACCGGAGCCCACAAGCTCCGTACCATTCCACCTCTAGAAAGTGTTAGTGGTTCATTCTGGCTGTTTTACAATTGCATAATCATTAACTCACACATGGTGTAAAGGCATCATGTTAAGGCAAGATGAGGTATCCCGTAAACCCAGGCTGTCCGTCGTGAAAATAATACTAGCCAGTAGGTTGAATGTGGTGATTGGCACTAGTTTTTTGGTGCCACTCGTTCCGCTGGTAAAGAGAATCACAGCGAAATCATCTGGCCCATTAGGCCTCACACGAGCAATGGTTGAAGAGCCAGCATCGTTCCAACGGGATACTCGAAAGGTCAGGTTGTCTTCGGGTTTGACGATGAAGATAGTAATTTCAGACTCAATTTGAAACTTTTGAACATCTTCTTCAAGCATGAGAACCGCATCGGCCTCTACAGCCTTAATATCCATCTTCAGCTGTTCAGCTGTCACAGCTCTTGCCATTGGCACCAGTGTATAGCGATTTGCTACCGCAAGGACCGCAAGAGCCAACAAAGGACCGTTGGGCAAGATAACCATGACTCGAGGTTTTCTACTAGCAGAGCAGGCAAGTCCCAGGTCGAATTGTTTGACGAATCCATGAAGTACGGCATGGGATATCTCTTGGTTAGCTTCGGTGTCGATTAGTGCCGGCCGTAGAGACTTATGGTGTAGGAGATCTTCCATATTTGGTGCGAAGTGCTTTAATCTAAGCTTTAGCAGGTCTATTGTGGTGTTCCATTTTGAGTCACTGCCATCCCGAACAGCCTCCGGCAAGGCCTTCCAGAGATCTTGGTAACTGCGAATGAGGTCTCGAAAAGGCCATGGTCCATTCTCTTTATTTAACAAAGCCAGGAGATGACTGATAGCGTCCTCTGGTGCTAGTGTACAAAGGTCCTGCAGCAGGCGCTGCAGTCTTAACCTATAAGAAATGTTAGAATGACATCGCTCTAAAGATGTAGGATAACATACCGGTTATCCATGGCCTCACGGAAGTTGAGAATACGGAAAATCGATCTGGAACCTTGGAAGAATATGGCCCATTTTTATAAGAGGGTTGGGGAGAATATATGCTAGCCCATGTTCTCATATCCTCAAACCTCTGGCAAGGAAGCAACAACCCCAGGGTCGGCACACAGTGGCTGAAGGTCTGAATCATACGAGACTCAATTTGATCGCCCCGATCCCACTTTTAAGGAGTCCTTACTTTTCTGATTTTATTCAGGTTAGCTCCCTAACAGGGATCTAGCATAACGCCTTCGACTAGGCTTCAACAGGGTTTGATTTTGATTGTGTCTCCAGGGCTCAGAACATGGTATGCTTCCTGAGTGGCAGTCAATAGGTTAACTAGGCGGAGTGATGAGAATGATATCACCATTATTAGCAGTATTTATCTTGTAGGTAAAGAGCTGTTTTAGCAGACTTTCAGCCAGTCGTTGCATGTGGAATTCTTCCAGAGGTATGTAGAGTGCATGAGTACTGGAAACAGGGGCAATACAAACATAGGAAACTACTGAGGCCAAGGGGCATGTATTCGGACCCCTATTCGGCACATCAGCAGCTTCATGATTCCAAGTGAAGGGCAGATTGCTCTAAGGTGATACATGGACGCGGAAAGCTTCGAAATCACATAAAGATTCCGCCAACATGATACTCCGGACATGCTTGGCAAGCGGCGCCACTAACTAGTCTAATACAAGGTACTAGTTATAACAACGTTGCAATCGTAAGGCTGGACTCATTCTTAAACCGCATTTAGATCCATTATGAGTTGTCCGTCGTCGCTCCTTTTCCGCGTTCCAATGACATCGGCGGGGGGCTGCTTGTTGGTGGTATCATAAATTTACCCCTGCTTGACACTTAGCTCAAACACCCAGGGTTCTAGTTTAGAAAACCAAACTAGTTTACTCGTTATTTATATCCCACGTGCTTGGCAGATTTTTCTTCCCACTATGTAGTTAGGCGGAACGTTGTGAGGAAGTGAAGGAAAATGTGCTCATGTCCAACATTGGTGGTGACATATGGTCACAATGGAGATGAGCTAGATAATCCGTAAACAGTGCACTCTGGAGCTTATTGGGGGGAGAAGAGAAATATCATTAAGGTGGAAGAGCCAAGCCTCGGGTGATATCAAGCTTCTGCTAAGCTCATGAAGCGAAGCTGATCAAGAGTCTGGCAGCTGGGGTTGTGACGCATTGAGCACCATTTCTCCCGAATTTCTTCCGCCTCGATGCTAGGAAAGAGAGCAGTGCATTTATGTTTCCGCGACTAAGGAGTTAAGGAGAAGGCCTCGCGCCACCTTATAGGATCCCAAGACAAGGCTTTCGGCACTGGGGGCATCTGAGGCGATGTATCCTGTAAGGCCTAATGGACGCTAACTAGGTATCGTATCCCGGTGATAGCGGGCTGATTGGCCTCAGCCTATGCCCCATCTTCTGACTTCAACTTCTCTCTTTTCGCCGCCGACGGGTCATGTCCCTGTGGTAGTTTGGGTAGCAGCATGATTCGTTTCATCTAAACCCGTATTTCCTTTCAAGTTGTCTCTGTTTTTCTTATGCCATGTCTGGCCACACCCCGGCTGCAGCGCCCGGAGAACGGGGAAGCAGAGAGTATGCATTCCGTGGTTCCTGAGGTTTGATGTTGAGTGTTGTTGTTTAGCGCGACGTTGAAACTGGGTTCAAGAGCCCCTTTTTTTTTAGTGCGGCGGCTATTAGCTAAGAAAGGCGTGGCTCTCTACCGCGGCTGTTCCCGAACGTTCAAACCACAAAGATGTCGTAGCAGGAGACGTTCGGAGTGCGAATTGGTAGTAGCAGGAGATGCAGGAGATACCCAGAGCCTTCTGAGAGAAAGGCCTGTCTATGACCGGATGATATTTGCTACCTTTACTACATCTTAGTTAGTTATATGAATCATGTGCCCAAATGCAGAGCCGGAATCATCCACTGAAGCCATGCCCTTAGGTGGGCTGGGGAAGAGTCGCAGCCGCCTCAGAGTGGCTGCAGTTCTAGTCTCTCTCTTTGTGAGTATCTGACCGTCTCTCCCTTATAATAACCCCCGGTGACTTTCTGTCCTGAGTGAATTTGTATCGAGAATGATACTAGCTAACTCGTGAAATACCAAGTCGACGCTTTTCATCTCAGCCCTAAATGTCACTATTGTTGCTACTACTATACCCACAATTACTGCCGATCTCCATTCTGCAGCCGGATATTCTTGGATAGGCGGTGCATTTACCCTGGGAAACACGGCCTTCTTGGCTGTGTGGGCCAAGCTATCAGATATCTGGGGCCGGAAGCCTATCCTTCTCACGCTCGTCGCGCTCTACTTCTGCAGTTCCATCATCTGTGCGACCTCCAGATCTATAGGAATGCTTATTGCAGGTCGTGCATTGCAAGGCATGACCTGTGGAGGCATAACGCCGCTGGTCATGATAACCATCTCAGATATATTCAGTATGAGGTACGTTTACCTACTTTTCACGGGATCAACGGCTCACTGTCGTCTAAGTCAATGCTGGCTCAGCTAATACTAGTTACAGGCAAAGAGCACTATACCTTGGATTTTTACAGGCAATTTGGGCAGTTGCTGGAGGCGTTGGCCCTGTCCTTGGCGGTGCATTGACCCAGTACGTTTCGTGGAGATGGATATTCTGGATCAATCTTCCAGTTGCTGGGACAGCTTTCACCCTGCTGTTACTCTTTTTGGATGTCCATAACCCCCGAACTCCATTTATGGAAGGTATTAAAGCGGTTGATTGGTTTGGAAGTATCGCCATTATCGGGGCCCTTTCAATGCCATTACTGGGATTAAACTTTGGGGGAGAGTTATTTCCCTGGAACTCACCTAGAGTTATATGTCTGATTGTCTCCGGATGCACAATGCTTGGAATCTTTGTTTTTAGCCAGGCACGACTGTCAAAGTACCCTCTGATGCCGTTGAAACTATTTCAACGCAAGTCCAATGTTGCCTGTGTCGTTATTGGGTTTACACAGTTATTTGTAGGACACACCCTAAGCATCAATCTTACGTTCAAAACTTATTCAACTAACTACCTTTGCATATTAGGGAGTCCAAGCGGCTGAATTTTATCTTCCTCTCTTTTTCCAGTCTATATGGGAAGCTTCCCCCACTCGATCTGGTGTGCTTATACTTCCCATGACAATTACAGAGAGTGTTACCGGAATCATATGCGGTTTAATAATTCATCGTACTGGTCGATATATCGAAATTATTCGAACCGGCACCGTTCTGTTTGCTCTTGGTATTGGACTACATATCCATTTCAGTGAGACATCATCCCTTGCCGAAATTGCTGGTATAGAAACTATCGCGGGCTTTAGCGCAGGGATGCTCTTTGATCCCCCATTACTGGCATTGCAAGCTATGGTATCTCAAGACGACACAGCAACTGCGACTGCAACGTTTAACCTTCACCAGAACATCGGCTCTTTCATGGCTTCTGTTCTAGGCGGTGTTCTTTTCCAGAATGGCATGCGAATGAGAACTCAAGCTCTGAAAGACGGAGGCTTGCCTGAAACTGTTGTTGAGCAGCTCTCTGGTGATGCTGCGGCTGCCAATGTGGACGTTATTAGGAAGCTTTCGGACCTGACTCAGAAGCTTGTGGTAAAAAGGGCTTTCGCATCCAGCCTCCGATATATCTGGATTCTAGCCGCATGTTTAGCTGCATGCGGTGCTCTTGCGAGTCTCTTAATCTCGAAGCAAGTTCTTAATACAGAACATGTTGAGACAGAAACAGGTATTAAGAAAAATGTGCCGGTAACAGCCGAATTATCTAGGCTCCAAGCTACCAATTGACTAGTTGGCTATACCCTAAATTAATGCAAACCCCGAAGATACTCAGCGAAAGAACTAATTTCCGCCAGTTGGGAACTATACGTGACTTATGAATAATGAATATTTCTCTTCATCCAAGACCTAATTCTCACCTGAGAAACCCACAGAAACCGATGATAAGTATACTCGCTAGTTTACTACATCGGTTTTCTCATTTTATATATATTCGAGGCAACAAATACAAGACTATAGCCTACAGGGAGAGTTTAGGCAGTCCATTATTGCAATAATAGCTTATCACTCATTCACTGCGTATATTGCTATATGAGCCAGGCCGATTATTCACTTCTCCCCTACTCCCGGCTGTTGTCATTATGACTCTGAATCCTTTTAGGGTCTGCACACATGCCACCCTCCCGCCCCCTCCTTCCTTTTTTTTTTTTTTTTTTTTTACCAGAGCGGGTCAATATTTGCTTGTTGTAATGCAATTTTGCAAGCTCGGTCTTTGTTTCGGACTTTCCGGAAGAACACTAACTAACCGTTACTATATACGATGATCTGACTAGGCTGTGGGTATCGAAATTTATCTCTAGACCTGTCATCAATTGTCGATATTGAATCCGACCGGTGATTGTACTGCACTCTACCAAAACTAGACATGGAAGAGAAAACAATTGCGTGCTACACAGAACAGCCGGCTCCCAGGTTAAAATCCTTCACTGGTTTTGGTTGTTTATCTTTTGATCATGCTATACAGACGATAAAAAAATGTAACTTGTGTAACCAAAAATAGTTAAATTAAGTGGACCTTGAGCCATATGTCCTTTTCTACGTAGTATCCTTAACTCTTTGAGAGAAATATACTCCGTATGGAGACACGCAATGAAAGGCATCCATTCCCAGTCTCAAGTGTTTATATGCTTGCTATACCTAATAGTTCATGATCTATTTTGAGCTGAGACCGAAACACCGTCTTCCCGAGTCTCCAGAGATCCATCCACAGTCAACCCAATAAATTGTCTATATAACAAGCCTTTTGCCTCCAATCCTTCAAAGCTCGGCCGAAACGCAGTGTGGCATCCGCCATCGAGAATTATATTTGATTGGTAAAATTTTGGTCAGCAAATAGCTAACTAGCTACTCCGTGTAGAAGTGCGTATTTTTAGCTACCAGTAAGAATTCCAACGCCAGAATTCTCCGGAGATAGCAGCTAGAAACGACAGCGTGGGTGTCCTAGTGCAAGCCACCATGAGCTAGGGGTGAGTTATTCACTCTTGAGAGCGGCCTCTATATAGACAGATCACTCCCCAGCCCAATGCTGATCCCGCTCAACTGGCGGACGGACTCGCTCAAATTCCGAAAGATACTTTACTTGAGCTTTGTCACTGTCCAGAATCCGGGGCAAAAAGGAACGAGTTGCTTATCCTCCACGCTATCTTGGCAATAACTAACTATAAACTATACCATTAACTCTGCCTTCTATATGCTACTACCAGAGATGATCAGATCCCTTTTGGATTACTAAATGCCGTATGCACAGCGATGCCAATAAAGCATTGAGAGACAGGCCGAGAAAAGGAGATACGAGCCAGCCAGGCACTGATTGCTGCACCACGCGCGAACGTGAAGACCGTGACCTAAAGTCCTAACCGCCCGAGCGACTCCCAGATCTAGAAGTTTTAGGAGAAAATGATATCAAACTTTCAACCATTCTCTTAGGGAGTACGAAACTGTCCGAATGACTCCCTCGAGAATTCTGTTGAGGACAGTCAATCCGGTATCTGCGCGAGAAAGTTCTTCGTCTCAGTGTGATGGCAACCTGTAGGATCAAGTCTGCAGCTCTTACAGGTTGGGAAACGTTGGACAGTCTTGTTTCTTTTGCTTCGTACAGAGTACGTAAGTAATATGCTAATCGACAATCAGCGCAGGGTAAGAGAGCGCTTGCATATCTTGTCCACCGGAGATTTCTTATTAGTTGAACTCTGGCAAGTCGTCCGTACTCGAAGCTAGGCTGTGAATACCACGTTCTTTGGCCGCTCTTCCGCTTTGAGAATTTCTTTTTCATTCGTGTAGTTAACTATTTCTTCTCTCAGAAGTTTGGAGTGAGGTACTCCGTATATGGAAGCATATTCCATCCATGGACTCCGTGTGGGAGACGCTAAGCAGAGGCTATATAACCATGGGGTCCCCAAAGCCGACTTCTACTCGCAATTCTTAGTTACTTTGATATCTCGGCTTTGAGGAATTTGCTCACCTGGATCTTGGAGTTGTCCAGCTTAATCAAGGTACTCCGTACGGAGTAGGAGGTAGATAGATATACATCACCTCTTCGGAAAACCTGCATAATTATCTTTGTCTTTTCGTTTCCTTTTTTTTTTTTTTTTTTTTTTTTTTTTTTTTTTTTCCCTCTTTCTTGACCTTTCTTTTCTTTTCTTTTCTTTCTTTCTTTCTTCCTTTTTTTCTTTTACAAAAAAAAGAATGGAAGTCCGCTGTTCCGTGATCCGTAGGTAGTGCATGGCATAAGTTAACTCCACGGAACGTTCGGTGGATATGAAGCCGGTTACACAGAATTTTTGGTAACGACTCACTCCAGCTTATGTTTCCCCCTCCTTTGGATGCAGGAGACAAAGACGCTTCTGGTAATCTCGGCATCTGTGGACTGTGTAGCACAAGCACTTCATCGGTATGAAGCCAGTTCGGCTGCTCCTTCGTCAAACATAACTGTTGTATCATACGAGGCTATCGCATAATCGCACGGGAGCGAAATTCCTGGGCCTGCCTTGTAACTACCGTATATCTACAAACTGTACTCTGTACGGGGCCTGGCATTCCATGCTGGGATGGCTCCCCATCAGAGGGGAGGTGTTGGTCCGCATATATAAGCTGGAGCGGGAAAACGTCGGTAGTTGACACCTTAACTAGTCAAATGTTGGTTGATTCGCGGGCAAAAATAATTATTAAAGCTTCCTGTACGGAGTAGTCGGTGTTTTCCCTAGTTTTCCTTTTTATTATTTCTTCCTTCGCCCAAAGCTTATTGAGGTTTCATTTACCTATTATGGTCACTGTAGGGCAGCAGCTAGAGATAGCTTTTCTGAAAGTTCATTTCATTTCGTTAAGTTGGTGGTTATCCTCACGCTGGTTGAACGTTGTTAATGAAAGTTCAATGGTGCCTGAGTTAGTTCCTGAGTTTAACTATCAGGTCACAAAAGGTGAAAAGGAACGAAGAGGCACATACGCCCTTTCGCTCAGTGCATATTCAGACTTAGCGTATGTAACGACAGTACTCCGTACACAGACAGACCTCTCGAATCTGATACGGAGTACGTGATATGTTATTATTATTGAGTTCTGATGACGATCAAAGGTTAGCCGCTAGAATGAGCCATCGTTGGGGACGGGAACTTGTCTGTCACAAGCTTCGAGATCTGGATGGGAGAATCGACTATATATCATAGTAATTAATACTCTGGCAATATCTGCATGGTATAAGGTCTAGATCGAGAGGGGCGACGCCACGAATAGGTCTGTAGCCCAAAGTTCTTCTTACAAGGTCATCCGAACGCCGGCGTTCGAGAGGCCGCCCATATACAATCTGTTCCTGTTTCGGTACAAGTGGCTACCTGAGGGGTGCTGAGGCCTCATTTTGAGAGATGACACAAGGCCTAGGAGCAAGCCATTATCTTATTATTGTCGCTTGGGTTTGAATAGCTAGCCATGGTTGGTTGGTCAACCGGGCCATGGATTTGGCTTCCCTGGCTGGCGTTTCTGGGCAGCAACAAACCCGAATGCAACAATGAAGAACGCACAGTGGCTTTGCCGATGTTGCTATAAACGTTCGATGGCGACAAAAGGAAGAAGAGAGCTGGTGCCTGGATCTGCCCAGCCCGGCCCCCCCCCCCCCCCCCCCCCTGAGATACGAGATCGTGGTCGATGAATCCTTTCGAGATCTGCGCCAACCCGGAGGCACTACCTCTTTCTGGTATCGCCGGGCATGAGACGTGTGGGCACAGTGGAGGATTGACGCCTGAAGATGAAGCAGGAAAAGACACAGAACTGGACGAAACGAAGCCGACGTTGGCGGTTCTTCTTCTTCTTCTTCTTCTTCTTCTTTTTGATAATGGCAGAATAAAAGGGCGGTGGCTGGAGCTTCCGGTCTGGGGAAAGGCGCGCTTCGCCCGTTTTGGGTCTTTTGACGTCCCCGAGAATGTGACGGCAGCGCCAGCTCAAAACACACCAAGCACACGCACAACGGCGACGGCGCAGGAGAAGAAACAAGCTAGCGGCGAGAAGAGAGCGGGAATACGAGTGTCAACCCAGTGTCATATCACTCCGTCATCGCCTGGGAGAAGCAAATAAAAGGCGCAGAAGCAGAGGAGGGGGAAAAGAAACGTGAGAGCCAGCAGCTCCTTTGCTGTCTTCAAACAGGTCAAGATGAGCTCCCGGCTGTGGATAAACAATAAAATAATAGCTATTGCCCCGGCGAACAGGTTGATTCCCCGTCCCGATCTTCCGGCAACGCTCTTACAGGAATATAAAATGGGCCTTGCTTGCAAAGGAACCCGTGGAACAAGGTATTTGATAGGAGCCCGATTGCTCGACCGAGAGACAAGCAGAAACAATCCTAGCAAGGAGATGCACGAAATGTTTTCTCAGGGATATGGAAAAGCATATCCAGCAATAAGATGGGTCCTTGAATCATGTTTAAGCTGTCTCGCTGGCCGAGCTCTGTGGGGTGCTTCTCACACGACAAAGCCTGCAGGAAATTCACATCCACAAGACACTGAGTACTCATCAGTCATAAAAGGATAACCAGCTAATTACTATGAAGAAAACTACACCACACACCAACAGGGTCTCGTGTATTAGAAATCTCGGGCCCGAAGCTCCCCAGCCAGTTAGGGGCCAGTAACGCCCCTTTTCCCACATGGCCTAACTTTTTCAACATGAACTCTTTCAACTTTCAGCACTACCGTTGGTCTCGAAGCCATAAATAAGTATGATGGCGCCGAAGATCGTGAAAAAAGAATGAGCGAAAGGAAGTGGAGGAAGAAAAAGAAAGAAATTAAAAAACGGCAACTCCAATCGTCGCCCTTTCTCGCCCGTGGAGATGATCTCCCCGTCGAGAGGACCTGGGACAGGGATTCTTGATCTGGCTTGTTAATAATAATACTTTCCCTGGGCTATATGTGGCATACGGTCGTTCCCAGTCTCCACCTCTGTGGAACGACCTTTTTCGTCGTTGTGATGGAGAGGGATGGATAATTGCTTCTTTTCTTTTCTTTTCTCGTTTCTCTCCTTTTTCTCCTTTCCTTTTATTTGGGCCATCATCTCTCCCGCACGGAGTACTCCAGGCCTTCTCTCACCCAGTGACGGTGGGTGCCTCTTCCTGCTTCGGAGTGAGTATCAGAAAGGCATGATGTGACAATCCTGGCTAATATACGCCCACCCAGCCACACTACTTATGTTATGGCCTGCCACTCCTGCTGAAACTCCTATCTCTTGAAGTCATATCCAGAGAGACATTCGACAAGGAACAAGAGGAGATCGCGGCTCGTTTTACTTCACTTCTCTGATTCGTTGACAGGTGCTCCCCTCCCAGTCTCTCGCCTCAAAGCGGCGTGCGGCGTTTCTTACTGTGCACCAGACTCCGCATTCATGTCTCTTGACATGGACCCTCTGTGTTTGCGATCCCCGGCATGAACCTAGGTATAAGCAACTCATTCTGCTCTGCCAATATCGTCGCCATTATTATTATTATTCTTCCTATCGGCCTTCCGTCCTCCGTCCCCTCCTTGATTACCAGTTCCGCCGCCATCATCGGTCGTGCAACCCGCATTGCCTCTACCCCTTGTGGCTGTCCATACTTTCTTTTTTGTCTTTGCAAGTAATGGTAAGCCTGTCGTTCTTCTTACGACCGTGACTCTCTTCATCGTCATACATTCAATACCTCTCAAAGGTTCTTTTTCCAAGCTTGATCTGTTTCGTATAACCCGGACCTCAGGGCTTTTCTTTTTCTTCTTTCCCCTCCCGCTGTGCAGTCTTCACCAGGCTGCTGAAAAAGAGACAGCTGTGCGAAGCTGCTTCCGTGACCCATCATTCATTCCTCCTTGCTTTTCCTCCAGTTTCTTCCCTTTCGTTGCCCCGTCATCCCATGTGTGCATCCTGGCAGGTGGAAGCCATGTGCTTCCTGCACCACTAGTCATCTAGCCATACGAAATTCCGTATCGTCTTTGCCTCGTGGTGTACAAGGTTACCAACAATTGGCATATACACAATTTGCATCTTGTCTCAGAATTACGCCAGGAAAAGGCCACATCCTTTTAGCTCCTTCTCTCTCTTTCTTTTTTTTATAACGAGCTCCCCCTACCTTGACTTTTCATCTTCAGTGATTCTTGGTTGATCTTTGTGTGGGGTCCAGGGAAGTACTCGCAATTACGATCTTGATCTCTAGGCTCGGGTAAAGGGTTCGTTCCTTTTTCTTCACTTCCTGGTGTTATATTATTATATCAACAGCTACGAAGGACAAAGCCGCATGATAAGGTTGTGGAATTGAGCCCTCTTCCCCCATCCCAGCTGATCTTTATATATTCACATGCTCCTCTTGACCTTGCTCTCAACAATCCCTCCGTTGCTCTCATATTAACACTCATTATTCATTCCAGGCCCAGAGCTCCTCAACCCCAGAATAGTTTCTGCGGACAGTATCCATTGACGTATGCATTTGACTCTGGTTGCGTGGTATCTTGTATAGGCTCGATATCTTATCCTAGAGGTCTATACAACTTTGTTTACAATCAAGAACCCTATCGAAATGGATTCCAATTCAATAGATGGCCACCCTACAAACCCCAATGTTGTCCTGCAACCCTTGCAACCATTGGGGCTTGGGAGCATGAGGCTTACACCGAACTATTGGTACAGAGGGTCGGACGTACAGAATCACCAACAATACCAACATCCACTGAGATACTGGCACCACCCAAATTCCCTACCAAACCAGCCAATCTCCCCTCAAGAAGCCTTTCATGGACAGTCTACGCCTGCTTCCCCCGCAGCTCCTGAGCATAAGAAGCACAAACGTACGAGAAGTGGCTGCTTTACTTGCCGTGCCCGTCGAGTTAAGGTAATTCCAGTCTGATCCCTGAAATTGCCCTGAGATCTGCTAACAGTAATGCCGCAAAGTGTGATGAGAAGCGTCCTACCTGTGACCGTACGTTTTGCACCCCAACTCCTCGCCGTTGCCCCGTTTTCTCTGCCCAATTTATCCCAGGTCGTACTGTTGTGTAGAGATGGTTACCGAATACTTATTGACACTCTTATATCTAGGTTGTGGAAAAGGAAAACGGGAGTGTATCTATCCGCCTCCGCCGGTTCCAAAATCAACAAAAAAACATAGTGTGAAGGTTGAAGAGTCCTGCCCAGTGATTGCTGAAAGCGGGCTTGAAGGTGGATCCGAGAAGGGTCAAAGTACTGGGCAAGGTACACTAAGCAGCTCCCAAGGAGCAAAATCGCCGGACAACACAGGAGTGCGGCACACAGGTAAAACTAAGACGAAAAGCACCGGAACTCGCCGATCTACCAATACCAGCCATAAACAGAAATCGGTTAATTCAGAGGTCTGGACTACCTCTCAAGATACCAGTGCATCCCCCGCCAGTGATATGACGGTACATTCCACAGGGTCCCACAGCCCTCCAGCCCATGCCGATATTTACTGGGATCAATTCGATGATACCCTTGACTTGGCGTCTAGCATTGCAGATACCCCTGGCCTTAGTGACGATATAAAATTCTTCCTAAGGTATCATACGCAGCATATTACGCACTCACACTACATGATGAAATCTGTTGCTGCTAAATTTATTAGTGAAGACCTGGTGAAATACGCCTTAGAATATGAACCTCTCCTGTATGCCTTGGTTGCATTTTCTGCCTATCATTATTCTATTAAACATCCTAATGGCCGACTCTATACCTTTCTCCAATACTACAACAAATCCGTTTCATCCCTCCTCAGTTCTTTAAAAAGTCGCCAGCCGCACAGAGATGCCACGGTTCTCACTATACTTCAGCTAACCACTTTCGAGGTACATATAACACCACTTTTTATTAAATCGGTTAGTTATCAAGCTGCTAAGTGTTTGCTTTTAGGAATACGTTGGAGACTGGGTCAATCTGATCGATCATCATCATGCAGCTCATCAGATGATTCTTGAAATGTACTCACCGGACACAATCTTGGACGACAGGTTCCGCACGCACATTATCCACTGGAATATGCGGTACGATGTCATGGCTGGTTTAATGGCTGGTAATGCCACAATCCTAGGTCAAGAATGGTATATACTAGCGGAGAAGCAGGCCTACCAGGAAGCGGCAGATGATCCCGACTCTCTGAGCAAACAGCTCTTTGCCTTTTGTGCAAGTAACAAGCGATGTGCGGTGGAGATGGCCTCTCTTCTAGCCAATGTTTCTCAGAATATCATCTCGCGAGAAGAATTCCTCGCCGAATCAAGAATGCTCACAGAGACAATGAGAGAAATGATCCACAAGGTTAGCGAATTCAATGATCCAAAGTATCTTGTCATGGACTATCCAGAGAAGATGCCATTGGAGGCGGACGATATTGTCGATCCCTACGTTCCAGGATTGGTCCATACCGGTCCATTCAGTGAAGTGGATTTAGTTAAACTGGAGCTCCGAAGCAGTCTTCTTATGTACAACTGCCAGATCGATCTGATCACACAAACACTGGAACCCGCCGAGATGTCGAAATTTGCATTGGAGCAATGCCAGCTGGTTGAGACGATAAACAGGCTGCCTAACAAGGATCCAATGTTCCCCCTAATGTTTCACAACGTCCTGGGGTTGATTTGCTTATACATTCCGCCTGATGACCGCTATAGAATGTGGTGTCGGAAAAGGCTTGCTGAAATAGAGCAACACGGGTAAGTTGGAGCAAACCCCCCCCCCCCCCCCCCCTTTTTTTTTTTGAATAATAAGTTTCCTGTGATTTGGGCCATTATTAACGACCTTTTTACATAGATATATATTTCCTCCTGCAGTCCGAACAAGGGTAGCTGACATCTGGAAGCTCCCCGAGGTTGCAGATTGGTGGCTGCCAAATGGCGAAGGATGCCCCAAATTAGTTCGAGAAATTCGAGACTGGACGTCTGAACGTACTACGAATCCCAGAGACAATTTCAGGGAAGCAGTGAGAGATATCCGGTCTCTCTTCGGTAGAATGACTTGTTCCGACGATAGCAGCCAGGCCAGCACACCAAGTGCGCATAGCGGAGCCTATCAAGGGCTATCACCTCCGCAATCTTCCCCTTGAACTGCAGAGTACGCCCTATCCCTAAATTTAGCTGCAGGCTTTCTCCTGAGCTAACCATCTTTCTAACGAGCGCAATTTCGCGGGTTGCGAAATATGCGACTCTTTTATGAGCCTCTACCGTATTTCCCCGGTAAAAATTTTCTGTTTCAATAGGTGTGAAAGATATGATTGTGATTGGATATTCCATGCATTTGTGTTCTTCGCATCGTGCACTGCATCTGGACACTACGTTGCGCTTGGAAGCGTTGGAAAGTTTACATGACAAGCAGCTTTCTATATTTGGCGTTGGGTGATCTTGTGAAGAAGCATAGTGCTCATGTAGCGACGTGACTTCGAGGACACTATTTGTAAAATAGCTTCAGAATTTAGGGAGATATATTGATAGACACACCTCTGATGTTTAGTCTATCTAGGTCAAATAATTGATGTGAATTCCACAACTTTTTTTAAACTCAATTTGAGGCTCGGGGTTGGCATCCGGTCTGGTTGGTCTTCAAGCTTTGTTCTATAATCGTACGTCATATTTGCTATGTGGGATATTGAGTGCCAAAGTAACCACAATACTAGGTTATCATCCGCATGGCAAGCTCAGAAATAAAGCAACACTGCTACAATTTTCCATTCACACAATTAACTTCACCAAAATCGTGAATGGTACCAATATTAAGTGTCAAGGTCATAGACCCTAATTTCCTTCCCAGAAGCTCCAGCAACCTCGACAGCTTCAATGATGGTTTCTAGACCTTGAGCCAACTCACTCCAGGGGCCAGGTTCGTACCCTCGATCAAGTTCCGTACCCCATGGTAGAGAATCAACGTCAACTTTTAAACCAAGGAGGCATTTCAATATCACAGAAGCACCAGCCTTGCTTATAACAAGGTTCATTTCAGGGCAAAGTTCGTTGCAAACACATTCTACACAGCCTTGAGCAGCCGTGCAACTACACGTATCAATGCGCGAGTTAGCACGAACAAGAAGACTGTCTATAAACTCGAAGGCTTTAGAGGTGATTCCAGAGCCGGATGAGCCTCCCTTTGCATCGTAAAAAACAAGTCGTGCCTGTCTCTGGCGACGTGGTGTGGGAGGTGCAAGTGGATGAAAGAAATGATTTCGTGTCCTTGGGTCTTGATCGCGGTTAGAACCCCTTGCCTGCTGGTGTTTTGGCCCTAGTTCTTTCTTTGCGACTTTGCATTCTGTTCGAATGTCTCCTGGTGAGGATATCAGGAAAGTCGGAAGTAGAGACATGATTGCATGCTCTGCTGCATGGATAGCAGCTGCGGCATTCAAATTATGAGATGAAAGGATTTCTAATGCCGTTTTTGGCACATCTAACCAGAAGCCCTTGCTCATCTTGTCAATAGGAGGAGTATCAAGGGCCACGGCATCAAGTATTCTGCCCTTCTTATCCTTTTTGAAATATCCGTATACCAATGTGTGAATGGCAATTTTTCCAAAGAATGCCCTATAGTCAGATAATCTGCTGATACGTCTGATTGCTTCGGTTTCAATCGGATCAACATTTGTAAAGTCTCGTTGTTCGGTGATCCAATCAACATGCGCGCGAACCACTCTTGCAAAGCGTTTAGTTGTATTAAGCTCCTTCACAAGATAGGTGTTTCCCTGGTGGAAATATATAGCTCCCTCATATACGGTGAAGAAGACGCGAGCATCATCAATCTCTTCAATGACAACATTTCTGTTGTTCGTGGTATCTATGATAGCGTAGTTACCTTCATCAATGCTTCTAATCGAAACAAATTTCGAGGGGTTGGGTCTGAATCTTTCATGGCAATGATAGAATCCCATGTCGTCCCTTATTAGACGAGTATCTGCAAGGTGCACCAACTGCGGCCCGAAATATGCAGAGTCGTTCTCTGGGCGAATTGGCATTTCGAAGGCAGCACATTGAACATGGCCTTCAAGAACAAGCTCATTCTCTAGATCAACGAGTAGTCCGCAATTGGGTTTCGTGAAGAGGTCGTCGGGGTTATTTATATAGTGTTGGTCCGCTGCGCTCTGGCTAGCAACCAAGATCGAGAGAGAGTCTTTGTTTCTTCTTCCTGCCCGTCCACTTTGCTGTCTAAAATTGGATATCGAATGTGGGAATTCATGCGTGATTACAGCATCCAATGTCCCAATGTCAACACCAAGCTCCAGTGCATTTGTTGCCACAATTCCGAGCAACTTGCCCTCAAACATTTCGCGTTCAATCTTCCGTCTATCTTGTGGACTGTAGCCTCCTCGATATCCCATAACGAAGCGAGACACGTCTGACCTATTGAGTGTACGAAATTCATCTTTGACGGCATTCAAGAGATATTCGCATTGCTTGCGGATACGACAAAATGCGATCACTCGTACTCCCCGTAAGATAAGCTGGCAAAATAACTTGGCTGATTCATCGATGCCACTCCCACGACCAGAGCTAGCATCATTAGGGTCCTTATACGGCGTCTGCCAGCAAAGAAACTCCTTTCGTCCTGAGGGTGATCCGTCAATATCTGTCAATTTCACTTCGTCAATTCCAAAAATAGCCTTCATATGCTCCTCTGGATTCGCCACGGTTGCAGAACATGATATAAATTTGACATCAGAATTCCCTATTGAAGCGCATATTCTTCTCAAGCGACGCATGATGAGAGCAACATGAGTCCCAAAAAGTCCATTGTAGACATGAAGCTCGTCAACAACAACGTACTTTAAATGTTTCAAGAACTTCCTCCACAATGATTCATTGGGCAAGATAGTGACATGGAGTATGTCAGGGTTTGTGAAGATAATTCTCGCTTCCTCACGGATTGCATTTCGACTTGCCATTGGTGTATCGCCATCAAATGTTTCTACCATGATATGTTCCAGCCCTTCCATATACTTCAGCATGTCAAGCATACTTCGGCGCTGGTCTTGCGCCAGTGCCTTTGTTGGGAAAATATACATCCCTCTGCTGTGAGGGTTTTTCTCAAGTTCGTGAAGCATAGGCACTTGATATATGAGGGACTTACCCGAACTAGTGGATGTCGAAACAATGACGTTGTGGCCGTCATGAAGATCATTGATGGCTTTTGCCTGATGGGAGTAGAACTGTGTAATCCCCCGGGTGTTATAGAGTGCATTGACCAAGTTTTGAGAGAGAAGGAAATCCAAATCGCCAAAAGCTGGCTTCTTAGCATCGAATATGCGATATCCGCCTTTTACTATCTGGTTATGATACCAGCTCTGTTCTTTTATTTCCGAAATGATTTCCGCAATGCTTCGTCTTATCTTGGGTATCTGTGCTGGAAGTTTCACAGCTGCTGGCGTGTTGCATCCACTGTCGGGGGAGAGAGGCATATATATATCCTTTCCGGCTTCAAGACGTTGTACTGGATTGACATTTTCTTGTCGGCAGCTAGCTAAAAAGGTATCAATAGCGGTGGTAAATTTTTTGTTCCTCTTCTCAATCAGTGAAACCATTTTCTTCTGGCTGTAGACGGGCGTCCTGATATCCTCATAACCGCCCAGACCTACACCTGGCTGCGACTCGGGCTTGAGGTCTCCGTCGACAAATTCAAAGAGAAGCTCAGCATCGGGAGACTTTTTTCCGCCATCACTACCATTTGAACCCATTCCCTCTGCCTCCCAGTCATTCCATATCTCAGGGACTTTCTTTTTTCTGGCCTCAGCCACTCCCATGATACTGATCACACCTGTATCTGAAAGCTCAAACCTGACAGACTGCGGAATGAGAAATTTTACTTTGGCAACATCTTCAATAGTAAGTGGCCGACCGCCAGTCTGGGACTCAACCGAACTCCTTATTTTCTCGAACGTCGTGGTGTAATGCTGACGAGTGCAGCAGAACGTATATACCACATTTAGTGCCCGATGAATCCTGCTCAGAGCTTTAAACTCCTCCGGCCACGGTATTGCAGAGGAAGGCTCTGAGTGTGAAGACGTATTCGACGTTCCTCTCTTCGCTAGGGTCCCATTATCAGTGCCGCCATGGTCCTTGACGAGGGGAGTTGAATCCTGCCCGTCTGCATCATCTCGCTTTCTCTTTCCCCGATTTTCCATGGTACTTAGAAGAAAGGGACACGCAGGCACAATCCCATGAGCTTGAGTCATTCAAGCCACTCATACCCCCATCATCGGCAGTTACCCCCATCTTCCAGTGAGATATCGACTATTCCAAACTGCCTCGTTCTTGTGACGTGGTCGCGATAAAAACACGTCGTCACGTGACTCATATACGAGAAAAAAGACCGCAGCGCTGGCCAGCGAACACGCCAGGATCAGCCAGTATTTTGGTACAGAATATCATTATGATAGATCAAATATTGTTTTTGAAGACACAAAATACGATGGATCATGTACCGTGCAAGAGGGCAAAAAAATGACAAAATTGAAAATTGGACAATGTGATAATCGAAATCACGACCTTCCGTATGCAAAACGGACGTTATACCACTAAACTAATTGCCCATGTACACTACTTTTTTTTCCTCATCCAATGAAATTATCCACTTATTTTAGGTGCAGGGATTCTTATAAATTCCCCTATTTCTCACACCGTGAGAATTCACGCACACGAAACCAAAATGCATTAATCCATGTAAGCGCTTCAACTACTATCAAGTCTACACGATGGAACAGCCATCCAGTATACCCTCTACCCCAGGGATGGGAAGCGCTTCTTCTTTTCCTTCTAATTCTATCGGCTTCGCGTTCTTACTATTTATTTTTTTTTTTTTCCCCTATTCTTTCGCTCTTTGTTTTACGCTCTCCTACATGGCCATATTTACTATCTACCTAGCTCTCCTTGATACTTTTTATATCCCATAAATACCCATAGTTGGAATTCTAGATACATAACGCAAGAAGATAAGCCCTAAAGAGAGGGCCCGAAGGCTTCAGAAAAAGGGATTTAACCCTAATAAAAGCTCTCTTGGTCAAGAAAGGGTATACACCCCTCCTCCCTTAACTCCAGCCGTGGAAACACAAGCAACTTCTCATCTACCCCCTCCCTATCTGTGAAAATAAGTCCTTGATTTCAGCTAGGTACAGATCTTCCTATGCGCGCCTTCCTCTCCGCCTTGTCCCCTTCGTTGCGAAGATGAATTTACACATCTATACACTTTTCTGCTCTCTAACAAATCACCTTCCGCTGCTGTCATTTGACAGTATGTTTAATCCTAAATCTAGATTGGGGGTAAATTCTAATTTTAGATCAATTTATGCGAATTGCTCTTGGTTAACTATTTACTTAAACTGATTTTCTCAGAGTATCATGGTTAACTACTTGAACTCAATACCCATTGTCTGCTGATGGCCCCAGTACACACTTCTCTGTGATTCCCACGGTACAGGGCATGCACTTAGAGCTTCGTCAGTTAGGATCAGAAGTATGGACAATGGTAGAAACGAAGACATACAAGACTGAAGAGTGAGTATTTCCACGTTTGCAAGGACAATCACAATCCTTGATACCCCATTGAAGCGACAGGCTAGAGACAAGGCGGTGCCGCTTTTTTCCCCTGTTTTTCACTATGACTGGCTTGGGGGCTGTTTCGGCACATAGAGGTAAAGCAGAGAGCTCTGGAATATAGTCGTCAGAGCATATTAAGTTGCTAGTCTGGGAAGTGAAAAATAAGAACTTTGCAGGCACTTCCGCGAGGGTATATACCTTTTTCAGCTTTAAGAAGATGTTCTTGGTAATACTTCAGACTATGGCTGTAAATCAGCCGCCTCGCCTGATTCTATTACTCGAGTCAGTCTAAATATCCTTTGAATTACACTCGTATGTGCAGCATACCCTGATTGTATCAAACCGGGTGATGAATTCCTTTTTTGTTTTATCAAGCTTGATTTTAGCCTTCCAAACCTGCAATGTATCCTCAAGGACCATATCTCGTTCTTCACTCCCAACTTCCCCAGACATAATCTGGATAATACCATCATCGGGAGGGCTATCTGGGGCAAAATTGGCATTAATCTGACATACAATTACCTGAAGACAGGCATCCGCTCCTTCAGGAAGTTGATGTAGGATCTCTTTTAGCTCGTCCCGCGGGATGTCGAGATTATAACAGGCCGCAATTGCTTGTAGTCCGGTGATAGCTAAATAGTACAGAATCCCAGGGCTGGAAACTGATAGTTTTCTGGGGAGCTGGGAGGACATGTTTGCGACTAAAGGAAACAAATATATGGGGAGTGTATCTCATACTAAAAACAAGTATTTGGTATGATGTAGCAATTTACCATCAAGGCATAGAGACATCACGTCTTTATATACAGCAAGTTTCAAGCCACATGTTTCTAGAATTTGATTCATGATGCAGAGCTCATAGATCCAAGGCAGCTACAGATGTAACTCGGTCCGTCTGAGCATTCAATGTCGTATTTATGACACATAAATGTGATTTCAAATTTCATCCACAATATTTACCCTATCGGAATAATATTGTCAACCAGTATGAGCGCTTCAGACGCCATGCGGTGTGTATCATCGGGACTTAGCCTGTGGCGGAAATTCGTATTAGGTGCTGGCTGCCCGGCATAATCTAGTGGTTATTATCAGGGCTCGGAAAGCAATACCAAATATGAACGAGTCCGTGGCTGAATCGCGAATTGAATAATGAAAAATTACATTAATATTGGGCCCTTCCCCGTTATATCAACTCTTCGTCAAACTCAGGATATGAAAAGGTCATATTAGAAAGATTAGGTAGGTGATTGGTACATTCTTATCCGTCAAACTCAAGTGGTATCAAAGATTCCACCTCTCGAATTAGGAAGGAGGAATTCCAACCAAAGCAGCGAATCAGCCTTCACTATTAATCTCAAGTGTGTATTCTTCCTCGAAATAGTAATATTCCTCTAGTAATATCCTCTAGTATTAATGATTTGGAACGGCTAAGGTGATTTTTAGCCGTTACTTTTAAGGAATTAAGAATTATAAGGGGGATTATAATAGAGAATATTTTTCTAATTATAGGTTTTCTCGGAAACTAGACTAGAATTTCCTATAGGTAGTCCTATATAAAAAAAATATTAGCTAGATAACTATATAGAAAAAGATATCTTACCTCCTAAATCTCCCTAATAACTTAGGTAGCTACTTTTCCGAAGGTAAATATTATATTAAAAGGTCTTATTAGGCTCCCGAGAAGGTATATTTTTATATTATTTAATACTTCTACTTTAATATCTTATATATACTCTTTGTAGCTAGTACTTAGCGTAAAACTTCGTACCTGCAGATAGTGGTCGTTCTCTATAGATATCTGTAAAAATGTCCTAGGCTAGTAGCGAGGGGTTATTGTACTCTAAACAATAGTGTAGAGCTGACGTGCTAAGGCGGCTTTAAATAATGAAAAGTAGAAGGTTAATAAATTCGCGAGGCGGCGCGAAACGCCCGAGGTTGTATGGCTTCCTCTCACTAACTGGTTAATGTAAACGAAGTTACTCGGTATTGATATTTATAATACCATCTGGCTTGTTGGTTAACTAGCGCCCACAAGCTTAAATAGAAGCTTGTATACAGTACCTAGTTAGCTTATTCGCGGTCATGCAGAACAAAACGCCATATATGCTATTTATTGATTTGGAGTTAGCGTCATTCTTAATTCATTCGTCTCCACGAGTTAAATCCGGGGCGGCCCGCTTCGGCACAGAACCTTATCCTTCTTGAGGCGTGAGAAAGTGTGGGACAACTCTCAAATCTTTAAGGGCCAACGCTGAGCGTTTAGAGGGTACATTTAGACATAAAAAGCTGAGGTAAAAGCTGGAAAATCCATGGCTTCAGGCCCTCATCATGTAGTCTACCTAGGATTACATATAAGAAAGCTGCTCACCGCTTCTCAGCTTGGACAGTATTAATCCTACCATGTGTCGACTCTGTTTCCTTACAACTTTCTTCCGAAATTTGGAAAGCTGCTTTCCCAGTTCTTCTCCTGTCTTTCCTTCCGCCAGCCAATATCACAGGAGAAGTTGACCGACAAGGATCTTACATTGGAAAGAGTTAACGGAGGTATGTAGTATATCGGATTCCTTTCAGACTTACATTTGGGAAACTAACTAATAAATGAAGACGCTCCTACCCAGGATAGCAAACTAAGTAAGATGCATTCAACAAGCAATGCATTCTCTCCGACCGTTGTATCCTGTTTCTGTCCATGTCCACCCGGTTTACATGGATGGAGGTTACAACTGGACGCGTCCTATGTCAAATCTCGTATTTATGCAGACCGATCACTAAGCCATTGAAAGAGGGGGCGGGGGAAGCATGTAAACCAACAACCAACTCAAGAGTAGTATTAGTCAAGATTGCACTTGTTAGAGCCGAATGTTTGCATATGGACGCCTATAAAGGCGTGAAAGTACTCCGTACACATAGCCGGTTTAATATCCTCACCCAATTCTAGGGATCAACTAATACTGAACTTCTTTCCACATTACCTTCAGGAAATCCTCAGTCCAGGTTAGATACCTCATAAAAACTTGTGTTAGATCCTATAATTAACCGATATACCTAGCAATTCACCCAACATTAACCTAACATTAAGAGATAAAGAGAGGAAAATGGCTGACAAGCCTGAGAAAAAGAACAACACGACAAAGAGCGAGGAAGCCAAGGTTGAAACGGCATCCTATGGGATTATAGCATCGCCAACTGAATTACAGACCGTTATATCCTCCGGACAACGAGCAAGGGATGTGCGGACTGAAATACACCATGCAAAGACATTGGATATACTTACACGGAACCAAGGGAGTGCTGAAAGCTCTAAGGATCAGAACCAGAACTAAGGGTCTGAGGTTTCTGATGGAAGAAAAGCTCGCCGAAGATCAGCATCATAGGCCTCCCTATCCTTTATCTTTTGAGCGAGAATATTCCCGATACCCGATCTCCACTGGAACGCCATTACAAGGCCATATTCCTCATTGCTATAATTATCCTTTCCAAGTTTTGTTTGGATTCGATCAAGGAATAAGCGGAAGATAGCAGCAGGACTTCGGAGAGCAAGTGAATACCATAATGTACCCATTTCCCATGTTTTCGTCATTATTGTTGACAGTCGAGTGTTATTCATGCTATAATTATGCTGTTGTTTCGTAGCAGACTCTTCCTCTTGAGCTAAGATACGGACAAACTCTGTCCACATCTTCTTATACTCGTCCTCATCGATAGCATCGGCAAACTCACTTGTAAGCCAATACGGCGGATGAATCATTTCAACAGGCAGTGAGCATCCCCATTCAAGATCAACAAGAGAGGTGATATTCCACTGCTGATCAACAAATATATTACTCTGATGGAGGTCAGTCAGAGAAAATATAAATGGTCCTCGGCGTAATTCTCGACTAAAGAAGAAAGGGATAGAAATGCGTATTCCTGATAGTGTTGCTATCTGTTGAATATAGTCCGAACCGTTATTAATAGCATTTGGCTGATAAAGAAGGCGGTTATCATGAAGGCTCACAATATCAGTGATATATGAGTCTGAAGTCTGATAGGTATAATCACGGGGTATATCAATAGGGATCCGCTCATTCTCGAGTTCTTGGATTTCGAGGGTTAAAGGTCGATTTGATAATGAGATAAATCCATTATTATCGATGGTAAATGAGCCAATACATGGTAAAGGAACTCGAGCAAAACTTAGTAAGATATGGGCAAGACTTCGAAAAAGTGTAGTTCGCAAAGCCACATTATTCGAGTGTGTTTGCCAGGTATTTGATAGCATTGTCCCTTGATTCGGCTCAATATATTCTATCAGAAGGTATGCCAGATCGGATGAAGGACTAATAGCGGGAGGCTGATGGCGAATATAGGCGGATGGAATAATAGATATTGACCCAATAAATTTGCTTGCCCACAGGTATAACTGGCGACGTATATATTGGTAGTATCTCAAGAAGAATGGCAAGTTTTTTCTAGTAGTAAACTAGAATTATTAGCTAGTACTAATATTATAGATAATAAGTACTGCACACTTACTGATTCACCTGATGATAGTGAAAATCCATAAAGTCTCGGAATAGGGATGTGTGGATGGTTCTCTTCTAGCCATGCATATGTGCTTGCCTCACATCGTATTTTTTCATCCATATTACCAGGCCGAAATGATTCGCCGACTTTGTATGGAAGTGGTAGTCGGAGAAGTACTCGATTCCCTGGTTGCTCCCTTATCCAATTATGGATAGTAACTGGGATACACAGATTGAAGCTGCCCCAGAGCCATCCATGTGGATCTGCGACATGACATTTCGCAGAAGTAATATTCAGATGGTGAGCAACGACCCCCTTTATCCATTGCTCTCTGTTGACAAGATCTGTAATGAACTGATTCTGCTTCTCTGGGTATTCAAGTCTGTGAAGAATATTGACCTCCTTATCTTTGGCCGAAGAATAGGAGATCTCTCCACGGAGGAGTGTCCGCTTCATAGTAACGAAAAGAGGAGCTTGGTTTTCAGCATAGAATGAACTTTTCAGAACACGGAGTTTAAGAAATCCATTCGATGTAAGGAGAAAAACCGACCTCGCCCGGACCCGACGCTAAAAATATTCGGATAATCATTACTCCCGCAGCTAACCAACCTTCTTGAAAACCGGCAGGTATTAGTCAGATAAGTCCCCAGGCCTCCAACCAGCGTACCGCTAGGCACGATAAGCCACTGCCGCCACCTCCTGTTCGGTTAACGAAGTACAATCCAGCATCGATCATTGCTTCTACGCTTATTTATCGCGTTTCCTGTGTAGCCGATAGCCACGTGCTCCGTCATTAGCTTTAAGTGGAGACTTGGTACACTTTAACTTTAACTTCTGGACCTGTTCAGCAGCCGTCTCCAGATTCCAAGCATCAGCGACTTTACCATGAGTTAAAACTTTAACCAGTTGCTGCCTTGAAATCTTATCTTAACGTCGAAGATAGAGTGCAGAGTGCTCCTAGAAAGCAGATTTGCTAGTCGAAAGATAGATAGAGTGCTGCTATCCTCTTACCGAGGGCCTTCTAGGTGCCTATGCGTAGATACGGCAACACTCCGGTATCGAGTAATCCACCCCCACCCAAGGTAAATAATAGCCAAAGCAGTGCTATCCACTTAAAAAATGTATTCAACTTTTCAGATTTCGTGCCTTAATTGTCTGATTAGCACGAGCGTGATCAAGTGGCGGTATAATAACCATAGTGTTGTTTTTAGGGGGCCTGTTCAAGCTCGATTTTTGGTATTAGGCGGCTAACGGTATCGCGAATAACGTTTGTTTCATCGCCTAACTAGTTAATTAAAGTTCATAAAAGAAACGAAAATACCGCGCTAAGCAACCAACCTTATCCTAAGCGCTTCTCAACTTGCGCAATGTGATTAGTCATCCGTTTGTGTTCTGCTCGGCCCGAGAATAACTCCGGGGTCGACCGGCCGGGGGCCACCTCCTGCCCGGCAGTTCCAATCCAACCTCCAACTTCCATCCTGCCCGTCAGTATCTAATTCCCTAGACTCTGCATAACTCCGCCTATTCAAGCAACTATCTATGTCATCACACAGACGTCAGCCATCCCTTGAAGGGATCCTGGATTTTTCGGAACCCTTTTCGCTTACTCTATAGCAGTCTAGCTCAGCAAGGAGCCTCCTTGATATGCTCGTCAAGGACTACGGCCTCGAACGAGAAATAGAAAAGAGATAGAAGCCTGCTAAATTAATACATGCCGCACTAGAGCATATCTTTTCAAAGGACTCATTTTTAGCGCTTTTCTTCACATTCCTGCATGAGAATCTGACTAGCGCTACGTCTAATATTACGTCGGCACTATCATACTTCGAGGACATCAGTTTATGGGAGCTAACCGCGCGAAACGATGTGATGAGTGCTCTCGAGGAGTTTGCACACTACATGGTTACCCAGTTCTTTCTTCCACGTGCGTTCAATTTGCCTCCTACTTGCGATTGCTCTCTAACTCAAGCAATATACAGCGAGAGCATCATCCGTCAAGACACGCAACTGGCGCCCACCTCATTGTCCACGATACAAGAATCGACCACTACTGGCACAAAACAGCGCTTATCTATCTTGAGGTATAACTGCCTCGTCCGTAATCATCATCGATGTATTGTGACTCGAAAAGTTGACATTACAGAAGCTAGACGACGAGTAGCAATTGGCAAAAACTGTACAGATAATGATTGCAGACTCCTTAAAACAGAGCAACGTGATACCTTCTAGTATCTAGAAGTTGCTCATATACTGCCACATTACCTAACAAAGGTTGCTTCTGAGGATGGAGATCTAGTACAAATGATCCCCGCTATGTCTAGCATCTCACTAACTAGATATAAGACCAAATCGAAGAAGAATATACTCCGGATTATGGATATGTTCGATCCCGGCATTACTCACTTCATCGATGGTCCAAAGATCGACAACCCATCAAACGCTCTTACACTAACCCTTGATAACCACCGACTCTTTGGTGAATTTAAGATATACTTCGAGGCTACAGGTAGGGCACATGAATATAGGATTCATTCTACTGAGAATGATTTTCTAAGCGATCCCTTTTTCCACGTTATTCGCACCCTGATGCTCAGTCCCAACCGTACAATAGACCTCCTGTCTCCTCGGCTTCTCGCCATTCATCGTGCCATCTGTCTTATCCTAAAACTAAGCGGCGCTGCTGAATATATAGAGCACGTCCTCGGGACTTGGAACTGGTGACAGTGGAAGCAGATGGGTCTACACATCTAGGGGATTTAATGAGATTACGAATTGATGGCTGGGTACCCGCATTTTAGTCAGGTAAAGTCATTTTACTCCTTTTTTGCCGGCTTTTTTCAAACACGAACGATACACTAGCTAAGGCGAAGGTTCCACGGGGTATCGCTGCAGCTATATATAATCCACCAAGCCACAGCTAATCCAAAGGATATTAGACATTGCCCGCTGAGATTGTTGGTGGCGCCGAATAACTTTTCCTTTGTCTCTCCTGATGAATACTCCTGATGAATACTTAGGAGAGTTCGGTTGCGACTCTCCCGGCCTTCTCGCCGGAATTCTAGAAAATTGTATCAAAAGAGTCGCATATATATACATCTTTGACAATTCGAGCAGGGTACATCTAAAAATATTCGGATAAATACTTTGTTATTTGTTAACTAAAATCTTATCCCAACATCAAGGGTCTCTAGGAAGTGTGCGTGATGCTCCTACATGCCAGACTCGCTGCTCAAAGGACAGAATGCTGAGGTCCTTAAAGTGGGTTTCCAGGCATCCAGCTGCGGATGCAGTAACTCAGGATGTTTTCCTGTGTCCGCGGTTCATCACTCCGCGCTTATACCTTATACCCTCGGTCAGCCATATTCTATATGCAACATGTCAACTGCTACAGCTTGGTCGTATGAATGCGCTATTGGTGTCGAGTATCCAAACGGGTATCACACGGGACACTTCTTTCCAGTGATGCTGGGGAATGAGTTCAAGGGCGGCAGATATAAACTTGGCTGGGTGGATTCACAACTGTTTGGCTGGCAAGTGATACCATGTAGCAATTGCCATCGCCCGCAGCGCGGGGCCCCCTTTTCCAAGGCCTTAATCACGGCCTTAGAATTGGTCTAGCAAATGGTCTAGTTGGTCCACTCTTCCCAGTGCAATTTGAGGCTCTTCGAATATACTGCTCCCACTGATAGCTTCCTCTTCATTCGCATTGCTATAATGATAGGCTGGATGTGCCCTCTCGTTGTTAATTTTGGATGTTGATTTCCGTCTTTCGAAGCACTGTGGTAATTATGTCATCGGTAGGGCAGGACACAGGTCAGCGGGAGAAACATGAATATAGACTGATTGATCATTGATTATATCCTTTTTATCCGTTTAATTTTGCATTAAGGAGAGAAAAAAAGAGAGAGAGAAGGACTCTGTTACATGACAAACAAGGAAAATAAAGAGAGTGATTGAGAACCAGCCATGCACTCTATCTTGTTTCTCACTTTCGCTGATCACATTTGATGGAGTATCTCCTGGGCGGCAGCATGGAGATCCTTAGCAGCGTCGGCATTGGATGTCTGGTTAGCGTAGAGATGTCAGCTCATTGCTCAAAGTAATAGCCTAATAGGTAGTGGGGAGAAGGGGATAGTTGCTTTTACACACCCGTAGCAAGAGGGGCACTGTTCGTCCGTCCTCGACTCCGGCAATTTGTACGTGTTTTCCAGTCGGCTCCTTGCCCTCTGCATCTCCTACTTTCATCCCTTTGTATAGTGGAATGTTGAGGATGAGTCGGAACACGCCGTCAGTGCGCATGATAAACCGGGCAGATCTCTTCGTTGGCTTTGTAGCAGCAGCGCCGCCCTCTTCTTCGTCCCCTGCAGCAGACTCGGGCAATTTCTTCACGTTAAGCTTGAAAGTGCCGATGCCACGTTCTTTCCATTCGCTACCAGTAAAGTGGAAGAGCTTCCCTCGGACAGAAAAATGTGTCTCTTCATCTTCCTCTCCGGTCTCGGCTATAAATAAAACGTTCTGTCAGTGGATAGTTAAGGGGTTGACGCTTGGGTTGGAATGGCTTACTCTCTTGTTTAAAGAACCGCGTGTCTTCCTTCTCTTCTTCAAGCCCTTGGAAGGTTTCTCCTTTTTCCTCGTCACCTTCGCCATCATCTTCTCCTTCCTCGTCATCATCATCGTTCTTTTCTTCCTTTGAGCCAAACGCTTTTGGCTTAGTCGTGGATCCGAAATTCGCTGGTTTGGGAGATGCAAAGCTAGTCAATCGTTCGCCAGGTTTTGGTGCTGCGGCAGCAAATCCGCTAGCAAACGAACTCTTTGCAAATGCACTCCCACTGAAAGACGCACCAAATGGCGAAGGACCCGAGGCAGCAGCTGCAAACGGAGATGCTCCGGACCCAGTGGAGCTAGTTTTACCATCTTCTTCGCCTTTGGTACTAGGTTTGCTCTTAAAGATGGACGCACCGCCCCCAATTGCGCCAAAAGGAGAGGTTTCGGATCCTGAAAATGCAGCTAATTTCGAGGCTGCGAAGGCAGAAGGATTGGTGCTTTGCTCCTTGGTTGACTGCTCGACTGGTTTAGTAGTGCTCTGCTTCGACGCACCCAAGGACCCAAATGGAGAGGTAGCAGAAGTGTTGGAGAAAGGATTTGGCAGTGCAGACTATAAGATTAAAATGTAAGCGCATGTATAAGACGTCAATCAGCAATTATCCCACGGCCTACCTTTGAAGCAGTAGTGGTGTCCTTTGGCTCCTCGGTATGCCGGTCTTGCGAGTTGTCACGGTGACGCTTCTTCTCTGGCTCACCCTTTTCTGCGCGGCTATTAGGTGAAGCTCCTAAACTTTCCGATTCGGCATTCTCCTTGGAAGGGTCGGCGGTGGAATCGTCATTCCTTTTCACACTTTCGTCTCCTGCCTTTGAATCCAAGTCCTTGTCGAATTGGTCTCTGCTTCGTTTCTTCTTTGGGCTTTTCACCTTTTCTAGCTCGGCTGTGGATGCATCTGGCTCAGCCTCCCGTTCAGGGGTCGTTTCCATTTTCGAATCCCTAGAGCGCTTTCTCCTATGGCCACTTTCTTCGTAGTGACCTGACTGTCCGTCGTCGTTCATCAGGTCGTCAAAAGACCGCTTCTTCTTCAGGCGTCCACGCTCGGTTGTTGCATTCGTATCGGTCATGCTGCCTTCTGGCAACTCGCCGTTCTCCTCACCCATCTTGGTTTGTTCGGATGCTTGGTCTGGGTTTGCAGTCCCTGTTCCCGCAATGGAAGTCTCCTTTAGCTTCTGACGGACTGGTCGTTCACCGCCGCCGTCTTTATGGGTGTCAGAACACACTTTCTCGCGGGTGAATTCTGTAATAATTCGTTCGGGGGGATCACTAGGTAGAGTAGAACTCTTCGTACCTTCAGAGTAATCGCCCGTGTCAGGGTCAACGTCTTGCTTCGATTGATGCTGTGGTGGTGGTGACTGTCCGGGTGTGTTGTCTATTGAAATTGCAGGCGTCAATAACTATACAGGACTCCGATGTTCCAAGAGAACTGCACTAGGACAGTAATTACTCCAGTCACAAGCTCTCATATCAACATGCAATGGCTCTAGGAACTGCTCATATATCGCGTGAGGCGCTGGCCGCGCAACTCCTGCAAGGTGAGGAAAAGGGGGCAGGAAGGGGGCGGAAAAGAGGTAATGGCAAATGCAGACCTTTCAGAGCACCATTCTCCTGTCGCAAGCTATCAGGAGAGGCCATGTCAACTGCTGGATCTGATTCCGCAGCACGTAGTATCTTCTTCGAGGCTCGTCTGTCCGGCGTTCGATCTCTGGTCGAATGAGTGCTTCGGTCAGGTAGTTGGTTAGCGGGGGTTCAAGGGACCAGCGAAAAAGGGCTCCGACGTCCGCTTGTGTGGCCAGGCGAACGAGACGAGAGGCAGGCTGTCTCCGGGCAGAGAGTAGTCTCCGGTCGACAGCTTAGACGCGGGCGCTCGACGAGAAAGAGGCGGCTTCTGCCAGTAGAGAACGGTGGAGGAAGAAAGAAAAAGAGCGGGAACCAAGGTTGCTGGTTGTTAGTTGGTGTTGGTGTTGTTGCTTGCTAAGACCTTGCGATGTTTAATTTTAAGACTGGAGACTTTTTCTTTTCGCTGCTCGTCCGTCGAGTGGAGACAGCACATCAACTCCCGCTGAGATCGGAGGAGAGGGAGACACGAAGAGGCAGAAGAAGACACGACGACGACGATGCTTATGATGGTGCTTATGATGATGATGATGATGATGATGAAGAAGATGGTGATGGGGTCAGTCAGACGGCTTCGGCGGGCTGCCCGTGGCTAGGCTTCTGCCTGGGCTCGCAAGGAGCGGACAGGGCAGTCCAAGGCAGACACGGCGAGCAGACGACAGCGTCATGGAGAGCGGACGAGAGAGATCAATAGCCTATGGAATGTCTTGTACAGATATGAAGAATAGGTACATTACGAGATTATCTCGGTGCCGCCGGAGAGACTCCAGTCTCGGCCAAATATCAGCAGCACCAACACCGCTATGAACAGGACACGATATCAGTCCTCGAGCAAGCCCAAAGCCGCATCTGCAATTACTCTCCCTTCTGACGTCGCTGCAAAGCTCAGGATACCCCCCTTGGACCGGAAGTTGACCTCTATCGTGTAGTTGAAGCGGTGGTACATCTGTCCGTCCGACGTGCCCCTGCGCGTCTGGAAGTCGCTGAACGTGGACGTCGAAAAGGCAGGGCATATCTCTCCTACTTTGACGACACGGTGGTGGTCTTCTCGCTCCGGCGGCTCGTCCATGGTGCAGGAGAACATGGTGATGTTCTCGTTCAGCGGCTGGCCCAGCTTGAACGTACTCTGGATGTCCGCCTTCATCTTGAAGTTTTCGTCCAGTCGTTTTCCCTGTCACAGCCGGCAGTCAGTCAGGAGCGCCTCATCTTATTTCCTGCGACGAGAATCAATCTCTGAATGCATACTTTGGGAATCACCCATTCCATCCTCCCGCTGCACATCTTCTCGCCAGTGAGCGGATCAGTGTACGCATTTACTTCGGGGTCGATGCCTTTCCTGAATCGTTTCCCCCAAGACCAGCCATAGTGCGCTCTACTATGAGTGATAACAGGCTTGAGTCCTTCTAGGCCGCGCAGACATGCACCCTTGACAATTGCAGCTTGACTATTTTCAGTTAGCAATTGCATATGACGGGAAAATTCACCTCTCGGTGCTGCTTACCAGTCCGGTGGACATGTCACAGAGCCGATGTTCTTTCCTTTACACCATTCACCTAGCTTGGTATTGAGATAATCTGAGTCCCCAAAGCCTCCAACAAGTATAAGCCGCTATAAGTTGTCAGTTGCTGCTTGATTGAAGAAGCTCTCCCAGGTAGGTAAACTCACGTCAATTCTCTTTTTCTTTTTCTCAGCAGCTTTTACCTGTGACTTGACCAGAGCTATAACTTCCTTCACGACTGGATCGAACAAGCGCTGCATGTCATACTTCGAAAGCTTTACCACCAGTTCATCATCATCATAGTGGACACTTGGTCCAACGTCCATCCGGATAGGCCCAACTTCCACTCCTCGATCGTCGTTAGGACCTCCAAAGTTCCGCTTCGCACTCTCAAAGGAGTTCATGAATCTACTTCCCGGTCCTCGTAACCTCATTGGTACCGAGGTATATTCCTCTCCAAAGGTCTCTTGCATCCACTGGTTGAAATTTCGGTCGATATAAGTTGACCCGCATTTTCCTCCTACATTAAGGAAAATGGTCTGGTTAGCTATCAAAGAATGAATCTCGTTATTATGGATAGGCGGAGATACCTATGCCAACACAAAGCTCCTCAAACTCTAGCCTTGGCTCTGATTTTAGAACTATATATGTGGTGATGTCGACCGTACCGCCTCCGCAATCGCATATCAGGATACCCTCGCCTGGCTAAATCCGGAGTCAGCTAATACATGAGCCACCACAGAATTATTGATTGCATACCTGGACTGGATCAATGGCATTTGGTCCCAGGTGTGGTTTTATTGCTGAAAGTGCGGCGGCTTCGGGCTCCTTGATCATGAAGATAGAGTCATATGGTCTTGACCCGAATCCTGCAGCTTCTGCAGCTTTCCGTGTGGCTAGTTGGGCTTGGTCTGACCAAATCGCCGGCATTGTCAAATATATCTCCATTGGGGTGGCATTGAAAACACCGGCTCCCATCTTTTTCTCGAGCTGGTGGATAAGGTATACATATAACTCCCGGAAATAGTCTTCGATCACAGACTGTGCACTTTTCCCCTTTGGCAGACTCATTAGGCCGGATCCAAAAAGATCCTTCAACGATGGATCATCATAACCTGTTAGCTGTGCACTTTTGTCTAGCAACAGCTTAGTCCAGGAATAACACATCAAGTTTGGAGAGACCTGGAATCCCCATTGATCTGCTGGTATCTTGTTTTTATTCTCTGATGCATAGGCTATTCTTGACGGGACCTTCCATGTTGAATCCCGATGTCCAGGCCAAGTATTGATGACATTTATGTCTTCCAATCGTGTCTTGGTAGATTCCGCCCAGCTAACGCCTATAGCATGAAGGTTAGATGTTTCGTCCTCTAACATCGTGCTTCTTGAATCTCAAACCTGAATACGTGGTTCCATAGTCTACTCCCACAATTATTTTGTGGCGAGAGCCTGTGTCTAGCGCATCGCTGTCTGTCATTGAGCTGGATATCTGGCAATGTGCCTCAAATCAAAAGTGTAGGTGCTGGTGTAGAGATGTCCAACAACCGCAGATATCAGAAATTGTAATATCTCATCAGCTCAGTGCAACTTGTCTTCATTCCTGTTTGCTCATTTCTCTACACAGGAAAACAAGGGGTTTAAAACCTTCGTTAGTCCCTGCCCACACACAGGCATCTAAACACAGCCTTCTAGTATCCCCCATGCCTATTTCCTTAATTCACGAACCCCGCAAGACCGAGCATATTTGACAAGGCTGTGATAATGGGCTTGGGCGCCTTGCATCATGCAGATGTGACCCGAACATTTTGACAACCGACTTCGTTAAGTTTCCACCAATCATAGTGAGCATCAGACGAAAAGATACCGCAGCACAGCAAGTTGATAAAAGCAACCATGCAGACATGTCAAGGGGCAATGCAAACGGGTCCAAAGAGATAACCGCCTCCGTGTTCTGACCCTTCACTTTCGTCAATGTTCATGCAGCCGAGTTGCGGGGACACAAGTGGACTGTCATGCGTGCATAGCCAGCCTTGTCTAGAGTCTTTGATATATCACACTCAAGAGCGCAAGTTCTCTGCATGATATTTCACGCTTCTATCTAAGCTCTGCTGACTGGATGGCTGTGGTGGGGACAGTGAACGCGAGGTCTATTAATACTTGTTGACCGATATCTCCTTACTTCAGTTTACGCTGCCCTTTCGAAAAAAAGGCTTCGTTTTTCAATGTTTAACTGGTACGGTAATGGGTAAGTCTTTACGTCGGGCTCAAGATCTTCCAGACGTCAGTATTTAACTACTTATGAATCTGAACTAAGGCCTGGATACCCATCAAGCTGTCTAGAGGTCAACATTGTCCCCCGATGCTGCCAGTTTCTAGTCCATGGTTTTTGTGACACTCATAATACCTGATGATTTAAATGCTGATGACTTGTATAGTGTATGGCTGCGAAATCGTCCAAAGAGCCGAGCATGACTGAGCTACAAGGGGGCCAACCAGGGTCTTTGAGCAGACTCAATGATCCAACCGTAGTTGAGATAAAACCACGCCAGCACGAGAATGGAAAACCACTGGCCGAACCTGAAAGCGGCCCAAAACCTCCAGCAAAGAACGATGAACAGCCACACAATGGGGAGCCAACAGGCACAGACAATCGTGGAAGTGTTTCGGCAGACAGGCCGCAAGTGCACGGAATCCCGGATGGGCATCCGTATGACCGTGGAATTCGGGTAACCCACATTTGCTGTGATGTAGAGTCTTCATCAACAGGGAGTGTGTGGTTTTCATCTCGACGTTCCAACAAGTCTCGCGAGCAGGCAATGGAACAGGAGATCCATCAATTACGATCAGAAGTTGGACGCCAGCGTCAAGTCATTACTGAGCTACAAGAAGGAAATTCATTCACAAAGGACGAAAATTTCCAACTGCGAGGGAAAATACGGGAGCTCAATGGCTTAATTCGCCGGACACAAGAGAGAGCTTTCGGAGAAATTGGCCAGGGAAAATGGGCTTCCCAGCCCGATAGAGATGTCCGTGATGACCTCTCTTTATTTCAACGTCAACTCAGAGACTGGAGCAAAGAGTACGCCCTGGATTCCGCAAGTAGCCTGCAGGCATTAAAAATGAGCGAGGAAGAGAAGGACGAGTTTCTGTGCAACTTAAGCAAGGTGGTGACACTCAGTGAAAATGGTAGTATCCCAGCAACGCTACGGTCAGGGAAAATGGAACGCCGACTACCATCTATCCTGCTAAACGCCCTGGTGGCTCATGATATCTATACTCAGATATTCGACGACCCTTTCTATTTCTTGGGCCAGTGTAGCAGTTCGGATGACCAAGATTCCTCGGTTGATGGAACTCCTCTTGTTAACGAGACTCTAAACAGAATCTATGCGGAGCTAAAGAATCGTACGAAACCCCTCTTTCACACCGCATGTTGTATAAGACCACTAACCTTTTGTTCCCATAGTTGATGAACGGGAAGCTCATATCTGGCGGTCTCAGTTACTTCGAATATACAATCCACCTGAAGGAAGTTCTCTCGGTGAGAAAGAAAAGCTAGCAGCTAAAAAGATGCATTCCCGAGTCCACCGGTGCAGTGACTATTTTGCCACCATCTTTCATACGGGACCAGCTAAATATCTCTTCCGAAAGATTTCCAGCGAGCAGGAAACAACCCGCCTTAATAAGCTCCGGGATATATTTATCGATGCCGGTGAGCTATCGTCCAGGCTTTGGACTCAACGGACTTATATGAAGAGTCAAAATCTTCCATCCTTGAAATTGGAACAGTTCAAAGTTTCATCCCCGTCCATGGAAGCCCACCCTTCTCAAGGCCTAGACGATGACGAAGACAACAAGTTAGACGGCTCGAGGGTAGAGGTGGTCATACACCCCGCTCTCCTCGCCTTTGGTAATGATGACTGTGAGAATTACCATATAGCCCGCGTCTGGGCTAAAGCTGTGGTTTTGCTAAGAGCAACAAGATGATATGTCCTCCATATATTTGTTGTATTATGTGTCTTGTTAACCTCTACTCCGTACAACCCTTCATTTTTTCATTCTCTGTGGCTGGCTGCTTTGGTTTTGCACTTTGCTTCCCCCCTGAATCACACCTATAGCAACCGTATTATTAGGTACTCAACCCCCCTAACTAGCAGGTGCAGTCAATGCTTGTATATCCACTAGTGAAGCGTTTGCTTGTCTGTGAGTTAAAGGCATGGAGGCCCAAATTTGTTAGAAAGAAGCTTTCGGAACCCCTGGACTGTACGAAGTATTCAGCTCCATTCCCTGCTCAGCTTTCTCTCACACAGCAAGTCTCTGCTGCCCAAATCTCACTGTGAACCAAGGTCAGGCAGGCTGTAACTAGCTACATCAACAATCTACCGCTCATCACGATGCAGATGACCACGGAGCAGGGCGGAGTCGACCCCTCACGCTCTCGCTTCATCTCGCTTCAGGTTAGCGAGTCTGTACCATGCGGGTGAGTTCAGGCATACCTGATGCCTCGAAAACGAATATGGTTGAGATGCATGCATTCTCACAGCCTCGCGAAGAGAGAACTTATCTCGTTTTAGCCTCGCTGCGGCCAAGGCACCCTAGTTATCGTCCTCCTCGTATGACGCATGGGCAAAATTCAAAGGCAAGCTTGTCTGGGAGGCTTGTGGTGTTTGCTATATAGAGAATCAGTGTACCGTTTCCCAAAATATGGCAGCAGAACTGATCAATATCGCACTTGTTACTGTCCACATAACTAGTATCAAAGAATATACATATCCATACCACCAACCATGAAGGAGCGCCAGAAGGTCTTTATTGCGGTGATGGGGGTGACTGGGTCGGGGAAGAGCACTTTTATACAGACAGCTACTGGATCTGATGATGTCCATATTGGCCATACGTTCAAGTCTTGTAAGCTACAACTATCATTGTGGTTATTGGTCATTGTTAACATATGTTCATATGTCAATTTTTAGGCACCGCCGCTGTCTCTGCCCATACATTATCCCTGGACGAATATGACGTTACTCTGATTGATACCCCTGGGTTCAACGACACATTTCGCAGTGAGACGGAAGTCCTCAAGGAGATTGCCAACTGGCTTGACTATACATACCGCAATCCTCCACACGTCATGCTCACAGGCATAATCTACATGCAATCGATAACTGACCGCCGCATGTATGGCTCTACTCTGCGGAATTTGAAGATGTTTAGGCAGCTTTGTGGCGAAAGTCCTCTACGCAATGTGGTGTTTACCACAACCGGCTGGGGTACTGCAGAAAAGTCGGGGGAGCTATCCAAAGCCCTCGAAAACCAGGAGTCCCTCCGGTCCGATCCTGACTTCTGGGAGCCAATGATCAGAAGAGGGTCAACTATGGCTAAGTTTGAAGACACAAGAGCCTCTGCCCTGGCTATTATCATGAGCATTGTTGAGCGCAACCCAATTCTCCTCAAGATTCAGGAGGAATTGGTAGACGAGAACAAGAACCTCATTGACACCGCCGCCGGACACACAGTTAATGAAGAGATGAAGAGACTCGAAGAGAAATACACGCAGGACATTGCCAAAGTTCAAAAGGACATGGAAGAGGCCCTTGCTGCTCGTGATACCGAATACCATGCAGCTCTCCAGGAGGCCAAGGAGAATTATGAGCGTCTTCGTGATGAAGCTCAACGAGCCCGGGACTCTCTACAATACGAAAGGCGTAATGAAAAACGACGCCTCACCAATGAGATAGAAGGTATGAAACGGCAACTTGAGCGAGACAAGAAGAAGCATGAGGAGTATTTGGAGCTCAAGTTCAAGGCCCAGCAGATCAATGAGGAAATGATGTATGAAGAGATCGTCAAGAAACTCCGCGCAAACGGCCATCTTCTCCGGGATGAGGAACGCCAGGTATTGGAAATGAAGATCCAAGAACTGGAAGCTGCATCTGTCAACGGAGGAAATGCTGTCAATGGTAAAAAGAAAAAAGGTAAGGGAACCAAACTCCTGGTTGCGCTTGCACAAGTCTTGGGAAGTGTCACCATGGGCTTATTAGGATTTCCCATGCTCTTTGGAGATCCCATTGGGACCCTTGCTTCAATATTCTAGTTCACCTTTCCTGCTTTTACTTTTGGAGTTGTATCTATCATTCTAACTCGTATGAGTAGTTTACTAGGAATGTAATAAGGGTAGTAAGATATATTTACAACATTGATCGTGGATGGGCAATAATCTAGCTGCAGCTTAATACTCGAAATTTTACTTTTCTCAGCTGCAATTTAATGTTTCATTAGTTTATTACTATCCGCTATTCGAGAGTCAAATTTTTATTATAAAAGGTCGCCTTGATGATGAAGTAACATTATATACAGGAGTGGCGAATATATGCATTGAGATGGTCTGTACCGGCTAGTGCAGCAAATATTAAAGGTACGCCTTCCAGGCGTATGTAAGTGAGTAGTCTATAAGCAGAGGGAAAGCAACAGGGCCAAGGTCCAGCCTAAGCAAAGGGTATAAAACAAGGAGGCAAGTCATTGGTCAACCTTTTGTTCAAACTCCAGAATCGTCCTGAAAGTGACCACTTGGGTTCCAATAGTTGGTTTTATCTGAGTGCCATGCATCCCATTTTCGGCAGTTTTCTTGCATAAAGTCAAAATCGGGATTATTCAATGTCAAGGCTTTCAAATCCTCTTTGCGTTCGAGAACCTGAAGCGCCAGTCCTGCAGACGCATGCCATGCAATATGGCAATGTAGCAGCCATGAGCCCGGGTTGTCTGGCTTAAAAGCGATGACAATGAACCCTCCAGCAGGTAATAAAGTAACTTCTCGGCGTGGAGGATTGTCAAGTTTGAGGTTGACCTCCGTAGAGTCCCAAGGTTCCATAGATTGCTGTAGAAGTACGAAGTCATGACCATGCAAGTGGATCTATATCATCAGTGTTAGCTCTAAGGGGATATTGTTGTCAGGGGGATGATATCAAATTGACTTACGGGATGGGCAACAGCCACTTGAGAGCTAAGTGGTTTTAATTTCTTCCCTGTGATGACGAGATAAACCCATTTATCGTTAACATAATCGTCTGCTGGATATACTACCCATGTTGAAGGGAAGCTGTCCTTATCGAGGTTCTTGATAATAGGCTCGGAGTAATTAATCCACATTGGGGATGGCCCAAACTCCCAGTTAGAGACAAGGTTATCTGTATCAGGATATCCAGGCCGATGCCATTTGCCAAGTTGTACATCGGCGGGTTTCTCGAAGGCACCGACCATATTGAGACCCGGGTCCGGGACGGTCCATTTCACTTTGGGTACTAACTTTTCTAGTGGTTCGTCACGGCAGTCTAAGGAGAAAGCTCCTATTTCGGTGGTTGGAGATACTCCATCGTCTTTGTTGTAATAAATAACGCCAGTTCGGTCATCGGTGCCTCTGCCAGGAGCAAATTTTGAACATCCCTTGGCGGGCGTGGTTCTAACCCAATATCTTCCGTTTTTCTTTGCCTCCTCTTCAGATAGCCCTTCAAGGATAACGTGATAGCGCTGGCCTGCACGGATATAGTTAGTCACGTTGAGTTACGTGGTGCATAATTGAAATATCACTTACCAATCCCAACGGCGATGTGGTCAGTTACATAAGGCTCTATTGGAACAAAGTCTGACCCAACAACTTGGAATTTGTGGCCGTCAATAGAAAAGACGAATGTCGTGGCAACCGAAGTATTGATCAGTCTGAGAAGATACTTTTTGCCCTTTTTAGAGTGTTAGCAGGTTTCGATAATAATTTATGGTAGTGGTACTAACAGGTTTAAGGACAGTACGGTATTTCTTCTTCAAGTCACCAGTTTGGTCGTAGTCGCCTATCAAAATATTAGCAATTCGTGAATTTAGCATTGAATTGTACACGTTTGGCAGGGAATTTTACCCTTTCCGTTCAGAATTATACTGTCCATCGCAGGTGGCTTTCCTTCCAATTCCTTGTGATATTCCTCAAATGCACTACTGTGGAGGTGGTCCGTCATCAATAGCGGGTCAACAGCTTTATCATAACCCGCTGACGTTGGCCCATGGATTGTCATTGGCCCAAAGAGGCCATCTGCATATTGTAGGGAATAATGACTGTGATACCAGCTGGATCCATACTGGCTAGCCTTGAATCTGTAAGTCATTGAGGAACCTGGAGGAATAGGACATTGAGTGACGCCTGGTACACCATCGTTGAACATGTTTTCCATCATCCGGATTCCATGCCAGTGAATAGCAGTTCCGTTATGTTTCAACTTGTTGGTGACGGTAATTTCTAACGGTAACGGTTAGTAAGTTAACTTCCATGGCTTGTTGCATTTAAGTCAGGGTTATCATTACCAAGGTCATCCCCCCAGCACGCCTCTAGACAAGGTATTAGTATTATATCAGACGTAAAGCGTATTTCTAACATTGAGCCACTCACGAATCCACGGTCCAGGATATTGCTTATTGAACACTTTAGCTTGGTCAAACATTGTTCCGTCCATGTTCACGGACTCATCTGTTACTTCTAAGTGGTACTAAAGGATAACAGTTTAGATTCATTTCAATTTCTTTTAAGAGGGGCCGTTGCAACTTACCTTCCGTGTAATCCCTTGGGGAACATATTTATCATTGTCTGTGTCAATATTATATTCTGTGATCTCCCCTGGCTTCGATCCAACATATTTTAACCAGTCGCCATTTTTCTTATTGGAATAAGTCCAGCCTTTCATGGACGGATATTCACATCGAATCAGACGAGTGTTGAGATCAGTGCTAGGAAGAGGATTGAACATAGGGAAATCATCTCTGGGGACATTCCTTGAGGGCGGTCCGTGAGGTTCCGGCCATGCCAGCGCACTTCCGATGTAAAGAGCAGCCAGGCCAAGACGTTTCATTGTGGAAAGCGGTATTAAATTGAGAGATGCCATAGTGCTACACTCAAAAAAAGAACGCAGGCATTGAAGATGCCGCACTGTTCTTAAATGACATTGGTACAAGTCAAAAAGACGTAAGAAGACAACTGTGGGTGATCCCCGTTATTTATCAGTCTCGTAGATATGCCTCGAGGGAAAAAAAAGGGTATCTAAAACCTTCCACGAGACTGCGGATCCTATCACTAGACAAGAAAATATCCCTACATGCCCAGCATAAACATCAGGAGAGCCAGAGGCTAATGGGCATCTGCGGAATCATAGTGATCCCACAGGCCAGCCACGTTTTTCACCCTGGTCATCCAGGTCTGGAGGTATAAAGCCGAGTCAGAGATAATGTGGCTGCCTGGTTCAAGCAAAAGGAATATTAGACCGAACGAGATTCAGGAGGAAGACTAGAACTGCTTTCATGGTTCTGAAGAGTTATGGTTCTAAAGAAAGCAATTGGCTTTACCATCCAAGCGGCAAACTTGAAGGAAGCCCGATGAATTGCTGAGAAATGAGACCATGGAGACCCAGGATTATCTGAAAAAGCAAAGGTAAAAAGAATGGAGACAGCTAACAGACGCATTGCGGCTTGCAAGGCGATCCACCCGCATCCGAGCAGTCATAACATGTCTCTCAGAATAACTCCTAAGTCCTAGTACAGACTATGGAGAACAGGCTAAGTCCTTGTTTAGCTACACCTCCGTAATCATGCCACTTCATCTAGTGGTACTCTGTATACAAAGGGGGATTCTCCATGGCACGATACGAGCGGACATTAGTTATCACTTCTCGAAGAAAAGTCAACGCCATACTGCATGTTTTTTTGTTTCGACTGCTCGGGGGTGTCAAGTCCTTGTCATATGCTGCAGCCAAAAAAGGTTGATATGAAGTTTGTCCCAATCAGCATCGGCTGGGCATCCTTGTTCTCGAAACGCCTGGCTCTCAGCCGCCAATCGTGTCCGGTGTGGACGGAAATGGAGACCTTGTAACGGAGGTTAAAACTGCCGCGGTCTTGCTTCCGGGCGCTCTCCCGCAGGGCCCCGGCTCTCTCTGCTCATTACCGTGCATCGTACAAACGAGCTGCTCGGTTTAAGCGACGTTTCCCCTTGGCTCAATAACTGTCCGGCTTGGTCGTTTCGCTGGCAAGGCCGTGAAGAAACAAGCTGAGGTTAAGGCGGCCGAGGAGTTGGGTTACTTACGTAATCCCCACCTTTCCCTTAACTCGACGTCACCCGTCAAACGTCAAACGTCAACGCATTTTGACGGCCAACAGCAGCATCTGCAGTCTCCCGCACTGTGGCTATGTACACACTCGCAGACCGGAGTGTTCGATTTCGCTGCCAGTTGATAGTCATCTCTTATTGCGAGGGACTCCCTGTCTTAGATGAAAACCTACCCTGCGCCTTCAAGCTTTGTGGTGTTGTTGTGCTGATTTCCTATAGGTCAACAGCTTTCCAATAAATTCGGCATGCATAGCAATGAACGAAAAACATCGGGCCCTTAGCTTCACCTGTTTCTGTGTAGTATTCCCATGAATCGAAACATGTCGTCCTCGTGATTTAGTTGGGCCCTGCATATTCAGCCTTGTTGGGGAAGAAATCGGCTGAAGTTGCACTCCATACTACTCCTCCATCCTCTTCCAACTGGGGACTGCACAGGTTGATTGCTGGTACGCGCAGCATCTAACGAAATACTGAATTTGCTGGCAACTGAACTGCACCAGGAAATCTCGCTGTCATACTCCGTACCACTGGTTCATTGCCGCAGATCTTGTACGCCACCAGCCCGATTACCGTCCAATCAACAAAATCCGGCTGTTCTCTTGAATAATATGGAGCGGGCTCGACATCCTTCACATAAAATTTTCCAGACAGTAACCGTGGTAAAAGCATAGTGGAGCAAGATGCAACGTTCCCTGCAGCACGATATAAATAAGCCTTTCTCATTACCTTTCACCCTTTTCTTTACCCCGAGAGACAATCCCTGAGCTACGTGGTGTCTGGATCCTGCGGTGAAGATCATCACCATGGTAAATAATCCATAACGGAGCTGAACATTCCTAGCTTTCCATAAACCAACTCTGACTGTGATCCATTGTCCTTGCGGAAGTGGCGAGAGAATCAACTTCGCCGCCATCCTGTGCAACTAAACATACCATACTATATAGATAATATATGCCGTGACACTTCCCCATTCCATTGCACGAAAAATGGCTCAAAGCCAAGGAGTAGAGACAAATGCATTATTACGAATGAGACGATGGAGATAGACGTTAAAAGTTAAGCCGGTTCAGGCTCCGGAAAATTGCCCGACTCCATACCCGAGAAGCCCGCTCAACTAGAGACAGATTGTAGCTGGGGGCTGTTTTCCATACTGCTTACAAGGGCTTAATATCAAGGGACCAAGTCGATAATAATAACTATTTCATTACAGAGCAAGAAGTAAGACAAGGTATATGACATATGGTACAGCACGCGGCCAAAATGTGGAGGATCAAGGAAACAAACATTGAAATGAGAGCAAAGAGCGAATGAACTCCCAGTCATTATTATATCTGTGACGGTTTCGAGGCGATGTTGAGATCCTGATCTCTCTTCGAGAGTGTCTTGTCAGCAAAGTTCCACAGCATCCAGGAAAGCGTATAGTCTTACCTGCTTCTACACCCTTCTTAACTGATAAAGCATAAACACCCAATACCCATGTAAAAGACTAATAGGGGGTAGACAGCAAGGACCACCCGGTTCTTGACAACTCCCGAGCCCCCCAAGATGCTTACTCCCGCCGCCAGGGACCAGGCCACGAGGACGAGATAAACAGGAATGCGGGCTATAGTAGGAATGTTAAGAGCGCTCAGGAGTGCAGCAATAACCAGCGGGAATAGCGTATAGCCGATGAGACAGACGGATTGAAAGAATGAACTGAAGGTCGGCGTTAGTCGGGTAAGTCGGTGTTAAACAGAGGGAGATGGAGCAAATGCATCGCCGCGTAACGTAGACGAAGCAGGAAAAGTAAAATCAAAACTTACATATTCCCACCGAGCAGCTTGATCTGCAGAGTGACAACAGCTTCACCAATCCACACGATGCAGAATACTCCTGAAAAGACAAGGCTTGACTGGTCACCCTTGCCCATTGAAAGGAACATACTCAACAAAAGACAGAAAATTAATGGGCCCCTGGCAGGTCACCGGACGTTAGCCAAAGGTAATATCGACGCGATCAAGGGGTCAAGAAAGCCATACCAAAGATCCCAGTTTCTAAGCCCTTCACTCATCCCACCTTGCAGGACGACATCTGCATCTGGCAGTCTGCTCACGAGTCCGCGCAGAGCCCCAATACTCTCGCTGCCAAATCCTGTTGCCTCTCCTCGTTCCGCGGATCCTCCACTACCTCCGCCTCCGCGCATCATCATTCCACCGAGTAGGTATTGTGGCCAAAGAACTTGTCTCATCTTCTCCCATACTGCTAGGAGATCCCGGGAGAGCGTATCCCAAACAGACTCATCAATTGTATTTTGTGGTGCACGGCGGTCCTCTCCGGGTATGGATGAAGTGAGGTATGAGCTGGATACGGGATTTCGCGAAGCTCCTCCGGCAGCCGAAGATGATGAAATGTTTCCAGTTAACGGTGTACGGTCAGTCGTCGAGCCCAGCGGATCATCAGCTTCGATGGCTATAACGCAGCTGTTAGAACCGATATATCAAGAGTTGGCATGGGATAAACATCTACCGTCGTCAACCAGCTCATGGTCCAACACCGAGTCCTCGTCATGCTCTATGATAAATGGACTCTCTGTCCGAGGTCCTCCGCTGCCGCTGGCCATCTCTGGTAGGAAGGAAGTATTAGGATTGGTGTCGTAATAATTGGCTAGGTATCTATATCGTAAGTGCCGATGGCCGGTTGTATATGTTTCAGAGAACGGGCAAGCTGTTGACGTGGCTCGTAGGCAGCTCCGTTTTGCGATCCTTTCCCAGGCACGCCGTCTCGGATCCTCTAAGGAGCCTGCTGCCTATCTGTCTAAGCTCCAAACCCGATGGAGGTGGTCAACAAAGCGTAGAATGGAAAAGCTGTTGTTGCCTGCAATCGAGCTGCGGCCGGTTTGCTGTCCTGGCTTTGCGATTTGGCCTCTGGAGTTCAGGTCGGGCGAGAGAACTCAATCACGTGACTGATATCACATCCAAGTGCCAGGCGGCCTTGGAATCGTTGCTAGGAGTTGATATTAACGACATGACATTGATATTAAACTGCTACATATACAATAATGAATGAATGAATGTAAAAAGAATCACTCCAAGTGCTGAAAGCGTTGATCAATTTGAAGTATTAAAGAGAATATAATAATCCGCAACTAAGAAGGAAATATGAAACAGTAAAACAATTAAACTATAAGAAGCCCGATATCCAATCCCGAGTGCCTCTTACGTTCAGCTAGCTTTGATAGTAGCAGGATTCAAGCCAGCTATAATGCAATTATGATCAAAAAAAACATGCAAATTTGTAAGGAGTCAAAGTGTCACGCCATGCAAACCCCCGTTACCCCTTATCCTTTCCAGCACCCGCCGTTATTAGCACCTTTAACATCACTATACCCATGGAAACCCGATTACTGTTAGATGCAAGTCTCGCCAGAGTTCTAACACCAGATATATCCCCTGATGCGAGTCTGGGCCCGGAGAAACAAATAAAGCGAGAAGAAAATTCGTAAATAGTTCGTATCGTGATAAGACAACGCCGTCACATGGCGTCGACAACAACAAGAGTATCAATGGCATTGTCAACAAGAAGCTGGATTTCCATCTTCCACCGTTGATTCTGCCAGAGATCCTTGGTCCAAAACTCCCAGCCGAACTTCCGGGATCCGCTGGTAACATCAAACTGTAAATCCCAGTCATAGACACGAGCCATTCCATTAGGAGTTGCTCCTGTAGGATTTCGCTTGTGGCTAGTTACTGCAGCACCTGTAGTACGAGTGTCTTCGGTATTGACTTCCATGCCCTGCTGGATCCTCCATTCCCGTTGAGCCTGCTCTCCTGCACGCTGCGCAACTGCTTCCTCATCCTCTGTTTGGTAGAGGCCGCATTTGTTGCATTCTGTGCAGGCGGAACCCGGAATTATTCGGAAATGCTCGCAAAAATGTTTGTAGCCTTCTGCCTCCTCGCCAATCTCGTCATTGTCAGACTCTGCATTTGCTGTACCATCTAAGAGTTGAATGCCCCCTCCGCCATTGTTGTTTCGGTCATTTGATTGTTGTCGACGTTTCGGTCCAAGTGCTTTGCGGCATATATAACACATAGAATAACCGCACACGCAGGTAAGTTTGTTGCATCCAGAAGATTTGACGAACGATAGTCCACAACATGGACAAGTGCGTTTGATAGCTGCGGTCCGAGCCGCTTCCACTGTAGTTCTTAGAGACTGGAGTAATGGCTCATGGCATGTATGTGGATCGTTCCATGCCTTATGGCAACGCATACAGCTCGCCCGGGAACATGTCGGGTTCCCACATTTGAAACGCGGTGATCGTCTCCTCAGGCAGATATTCTGCAAAGACCGATGGAAAATGGTTCTTAACGCAGAGGGTGAAATGCAGAGAAGAAGAAGGAGAGGGAGTAGAAAGAACTGAAAAATATCAAGAAGGAGGATGGACACTGCTATACTTGTAGCGAGGCTGGCTTTGCGGAATTGCCAAGTTATCCCTTTGACCGATGGGTGAAAAACGGGATCTACCTCTGCATATGAGCAGAAAGGGCAGTGAATCAGTTTCAGGTTTGATTTGGCGAGAGAATCAGAGGCAAGACGAGCTTCAAATTTCCGGTATGTTTCCATTCCAGATCTCTCTTTCAAGATTGCTCTCTTAACCAGCTCGGCATCCAGCGTCCCTTGGCATGTCCCGTTGGCAAACGGGGCGATACACCATAGAGTCGACTTCTCGGAACTGATAGACTTATCCCATCCTTGACCAAAGAGTGCTTCTTGAAGGGTGCGCTGTATGCAGTTAAAGCAGATGACATGGCATGCCTCGGAGCATGTTGATATCTGTTCAAAGGTAACATCCGAGAGGCAACAATCACACTCGTAAAGAGCATCAACCACCTTTGCTTCTACTTCGTTCAGATCTTCGGCTTTCCTAAAGTCTTCCTCGACCTGTGTCTCTCGTCTTTGATTGACAAGCGGAAGTAAGTACGTAGAATGAATCTCTTCATCTAACTCCTCACACCCCGTACTTTTCAGAACGGGCTCAGGTTCGTCAGTAGAACTTCTCTGCCAAACCAGGTATGGAGGCGGATCATTCTTATGCGGCGCCTTCTTCTTTTTGAAGGAGAACATATTCCCCAATGTAACGCGCCATGATTTCCGAGATAGGTCCAAAAGAGTTGGCCGCGCACGAATATATGAGAAGTTCCCTTCTGCAAGGACAGCGTCAATTGTACTTCTGCTCAGAGATCGAAATTCTGCGGCCAGAGCTGCCCGGACAGCGTCTTTGTATTGATCGCTCCGGAATAGTTCTTCCCTGGGGACTGGCTTGTTCCTAGCATCAGGGCTACCCTCCGTGGTAGAAAGGATGCCAGTTCCCCCGGAAGTAGAAGAAACGTTCCATCTCCCCTTGACCCATTCTGATCGGTATCTTAATAGCTGCTCAACACTAACTTCCAGCCTGCTTTTGCCGTCGAATCGTGTAAGCAGCTCTCTGAAAACCTCTGGATGTATGTCAGGGAATATTCTAGCCAGTACATTCAGTGCATCGTTACGTTCTCGTAGCTCACGGTGGTTCTCGTCTTCCGTATCGTGTGAACCAGTCAATATATCAGCTGCTGGAGTCGTGGTGGTTGTCGTTGCTGTAGTGGTGTTGGTGTTGGACTGCGAACCTGGAGAGAACGGGTCGCTGCGAAGGGCTTCTGCGAGAGTGGACGAGGCCGTAGGGGACAGCTTTACGGTGATAGCAGTGGCCGGAGAAACCACCTTTATAGATCTCGAGGAGGAGGACGCAGTTGAAGAGGAGGCTGAAGATGATAGCGGTGCTGGCGTTCGTTTATTGTTGCGAGGTGTCTTGTTGCTCAGGAGAGAGAGTACCATGATAGGCGATCTGCTGCCTCATTCCTAGGGAAAAAAAGCATCGATAACGAGAATATGGGGGTGACAGGCGAGACGACAGGTCGACATAAAGATAAGTCTTGCTGGGTGATACGTACGCCTTTATATCGGCCTCCCGGAAAGAGTTCGACGTGATGTTGTCTTGAAAGTACTTTTTTTCGTTGAGAATCCTGGGTCATCCCTGGGTCAATGACGCAGTGCTTGCCATCAGCCGCATATCGAGATTACGAAGTCCCCCCTATCACAGGTATTACATTGAAGAGCCGGAGGCCAGGTTGAATAGAATATATCTCCTAGATTTCGAGAGAAAATAAGAGAAAACGAAACATGGCATAAGATACAATACACCTAGTCACTGAGCTTGCCGTGACTTATCCTTGATATAAAAAGAGCTTCGTGAAAGAGCAAATATAGAAAACAAGACGGCCTTTCCAACAAAAATAGTGCGATAAAAAGAGCAATAAGTGATGATTAAAGCATCTATACTGAGTTCTTTTTAGTAGAATCATTTACAACTTGCCCTTTGGGTTGGAGACGAGCTCAACACCAGCGCCGGCGATAGCAGGCTTGCCAGTCTCGACAACAGTGGTCTGGAAGACAACCACGTTGCCCTCTTTCCACATCTCCGTTCTGAGGGTCTGGCCTGGCAGGACGACGCCAGCGAAGCGGACCTTGAGGTTCTTGAATGCGCCGTACTTCTCGTAGATGTGCTTGCCGGAGATACCTAGGGAGCAAAGGCCGTGGAGGATAGGAGTCTTGAAACCGCCCATCTTGCTGAAGTCGGGGTCAAGGTGGAGAGGGTTGCGGTCACCGTTGAGACGGTACAGAGCAGCCTGGTCTTCGCCGGTCTTCTCCTCGACAACAGCATCGGCCTTGCGCTGCGGTGGTTTGTAGGCAGCGGTGGCAGCAGCTGGGCGGGAAGCTGTAGACTTATTTGAGCCGCCGAATCCACCGCTTCCACGGATAAACATGGTGGACTCGTTGTAGAAGAGATCTTCACCAGTCTTTGCATTCTTGGTGGTGTAACCCATGACAACAATAGCGGCGTTACCTTTGTCGATAACATCGATGAGCTTGGGGTATGTGACGGTCTTAGCCTCCGTTGGGATTGGGTACTTCCTGATCTCGAGGTACTGTTCACCGTGAAGGAGCATCATGGGCGAAAAGTTGGCAACAACGTCACCCAGGTTCCAGGGGACAGCAGTGTTGAACCATGGAATAACACCATAGGTAGGCAGAGCCTGGAACTCATCATGGTTCTCATACACGAGTGGCAGCTGAGTCCTCTTGGCTCCAACGCTCAGACTGTAAAGAATAATATCCTTATCAGCGTAGTCAAAGGCAGTTCCCTCTGCCTTCATCTCCTTAGCCTTGGAGATGTTGTCCAAAATGGTCTGGTCGCCACCCTTAGGGGCCTCTTCCTTCTTAGATTCACCGACCTTGTTGTTGATGTTGGCCATGATACTCTCAGTACCGGCAAGAGTGTCGTCGGGATGGTCAGCACGGCCATCGTCAAAGTCGATGATCTTAGCCCATGTTTTGGCAACATCCTCAATGGTAAGCTCGGCATCGACAGGGAAACCGTGACCTCCAGATCGTTGCCATCTGGTCTTACCAGTCCAGCCACTGCCACACTCATAGAGGCCCTTGGTGGTAGGCTCAGGAAGGAGCTCAGAACAAAGAAGGACAACTAGAGGAGCAACTTGGTTGGGGCTTAAGGCCTGGACAAGCTCCTCAGGCATGATGGTTCTGGTCATGTCAGTACCGGCGTTGGGGGCGATGGTATTGACACGGATGTTGTACTTAGCACCCTCCAGAGCGAGGGTACGAGAGAGACCAAGAATTCCGAGTTTCTATAACTTATCAACATTGAATCCAAAGATAAAGGGAAAAGAGATTTGTAATACTTACAGCCGATGCGTAGTTGGCTTGGCCAAAATTTCCGTAGATACCGCTGGTAGAGGTGGTGTTGACAATACGGCCAAACTTCTGTTTCAAGAAATAGGGCCAGGCAGCCTTGGTGACGCTGTAGGTACCTCGGAGGTGGACATTCACAACCGAAGTCCAAAGCTTGTCATCCATGTTGGTGAAGGCTTTATCACGCAAGTTACCAGCGTTGTTGATAACAATATCAATGCGGCCGAAATTGTCAATAGCAGTCTTAATGATAGCTGGACCATCCTCACAGGAGGCCTTGGATCCAACGGCCTTGCCGCCAGCCTTTTTGATTTCCTGAACTACTGGCTCAGGGTCCATAAGGTCGTTGACAACAACGGATGCACCATACTTAGCAAACATGAGTGCATACGATCGGCCAAGTCTAAAATACTAGTTAGAATTGATGTTTTGGCACTTGATAACGAGCTATCACTTACCCAGCTCCAGCTCCAGTAACCAAAGCAACCTTTCCAGTGAAGTCTGGCTGCTCAGCAGGAGGGTTAGCTGGTAGCTTCATGGACTCTTGGATCAACTCAACGTAATCAGCAGGGCCGGTTGGGTGGGTTGGCTTGGAGAAGTCATTGACATCTTCCCATCTCTTCAAAAGAGCACCCGGGGTAAAGCTGTCATCAGCCCTCATAAGAGCACCCTTGGAACGCTCCCATCGGATCTTAGCAACGTGACCAGCACCAGCCTCGAATATGCTACCAGTCTCGGTGGTAGAGGAATGGACGAGGTATGCAACGATGGGAACGACAAACTCAGGCTTTAGGTTGGCCAAGAGCTCTGGGGGCATCACAGTTTCCGTCATGCGACTAGCGGCTACCGACTGTTAGTGAGGCTCTTATTGTGACCCGGGTAATAGTATATTCACACTTACCAATTGGTGCAATGGCATTGGAGTGGATATTATATTTGAGACCCTCCTTTGCAAGAGTTTCGGTAAGACCAACCAGGGCAAGCTTAGCAGCTAGTAATTGGTTAGTACATTATTTCTGTCATAATAGCAATCCAAAAAGCAAAAGCATACCAGAATAATTGGTCTGGCCGAAGCTGCCGAACAGACCGGCTGCCGAGGTAGTGTTAATAACTCGGCCAAACTTTTGTTTCCTGAAGTGAGGCCAAGCAGCTCTAGCACACTGTTCAGCTCTGTTAGCTCCACCGTATAGCTATCGCATGCCCGTAACAGCTCTAGAATCATACCTTATACGCTCCAAAGAGATGAACTTTGTCAATCAAGTCCCAATCCTGGTCCTTCATATTCTTAAAGCTGACATCTCGGAGAATTCCAGCGTTGTTGATCAGGATATCGATGCGGCCAAAGGTCTTGATAGCGGTATCTATGATCTTGTCGCCGAACTCAACACTGTCGTAGTTCGCAACGGCCTTTCCGCCAGCTGCTTTGATCTCCTCGACAACGACATCGGCAGCCTAGATGGGAGAATAAACCAAATTGGGTCAGCACCAGAGCTCGCTCGCCACGGTAAACAAAGGCTTAAAGTATCAGAAGCACTAAGATTTGACGTACCTTTGATGACTGGCCCTCTCCAGAATGTGACACACCGAGGTCATTGACAACGACACCAGCGCCCTTGGAAGCAAAGTACAGGGCATATGCCTTTCCTAGGCCGCCGCCAGCGCCGGTCACGACGACGACCTGGTTATCGAAACGAAGAGACATGATGAATAACGAGGCCGCAGTAATGGGTGTAAGGGAATATGTATCTGGCCTGGTTTTGAGAATGATAATATACAAGGAGAGGAGGTATTTGGAGACAGAGCAGAAGAGAAACAGGAGGAGAGGAGAGTCGGACGAGGCGTGGGATAAAAGGAAGCCCGTTGTTGCTGCATCGACAAGCCCCGGCACGAGACTCGCTGGACCTCGGCTGCGGCGTTACAAGGAGTTACCTTAGCGCACCGTGTTATTTTTATGCAAGCATAAGTACTCTAAAGTACCGCAGCTTGTGCATCATCAGCGTCACCTCAGCCAATCAGCAGTTAGCAAACGCGATGACTCAGCTTCATGGTCACATGATGCTAACTTTGCATGTGAAATTGATGCTGAAGGGAGGGAGGGAGAGACAGCGAGGTGTATGTGTAGGAGAGGATACAAACACTTGGGGGAAATATGCCATTCGAGTACAGCACCAGGGATAGATGATTTGCTTTTCAGAGTGTCTATTTACAGGCTGTCATGCTGCATTTACTATCCAAGTACGGACTACAACTCTGCAATATAAACTACATGAACTACTTTTTAAGGACTGGTTGCACTCAACCGAGCCTCTTCTAACAGGCATAGTTTATGCTACTTATCCGAAGTATAACTAAGCAACATTTGCCGGTATCTCCATAGCCGACCCTGACTCTTAGCACTTAAGGGGACTGATCACGTGATATTTAACCTCGGCACGTTTAGCCGTCGCCTTATCTGCGTTATCTTCATTTTGACTTTGTTTACCCCATGTTTTTCTCCGGAGGAACAGCTTTCATGAGCTTGAACAAACGCTTAAAATGAATGCACCTATCGTCGACGATAAGTCCGAGCATTGCATTCCATTTCTGCTTAAGCTATTGGAGGCACATAGGTTGAAGCATGGGAATAGTCCCAACGCGCCACCGTTCTTCGTAGGATTGAACGGTATCCAGGGCGCGGGGAAAACGGTCCTAGTCAGATACCCTTCTCTCAACAGTTGATATTAGTATCCTTAAACTCTCGATTGCTTCTTTACTGCATAGAGCCTCCTCAGATAAATGCTGCATTTTTCTAACATTTAAATTCTAGGTCTCTACACTTCGATCTACCCTCTCTACCACCCCCTATAACCTACCTACAATCACCTTCTCATTGGACGACATATACCTAACACACGATGACCAACAACATCTTGCTGCTACCCATCCATCCAATCCCCTTCTACAACACCGTGGCCAGCCGTCTACTCACGATATACCCCTTGGTAGCAAGGTGTTTGACTCCCTGCGGCGAAATGAGCCCACCAAAATACCTTCGTACGACAAATCCGCCTTCAATGGCCAGGGGGATCGTGCCCCGGAAAATACGTGGGAAATAGTAAATGATACTCAGAATGGACAGCCATTGATTAAGGTTGTTATATTTGAAGGATGGTGTGTTGGTTTCCGCTCAAGACCAGAGAGTGAAATCCAAGCAGAGTGGGAAAATGCCGTGAGGCGGCGGGAACAGGATGATACCTATAACGGGCAGCTTGGCCATGTTAAACTGGAAGACGTCATGACCATTAATGACTCTCTGAAGAAATATGATGCGTTTACTAGGTACGTGGTTATCTAAACGGTGTTATACTGAAACTAATGATAATATAGCCAGCTTGATGCATTTATACACATGTAGGTAAACGTCCAGATGCTCTAGTTTTGCACATACTGATGACATGTTCTTAGTGATGCTGAAGATACGCATAATGTATATTACTGGAGACAACAGCAGGAACAGACATTACTTGCAACAAAGGGGAAAGGGATGACCTCAGATCAGGTCACGAAATTCGTCAATGGATGTAGGTAATATCTAAGCTCAAGAAAAGTATGCTACTCACTCCCGGATCTCAAACTGACAAGCTTCCAATTACAGATTATCCATCATACGAACTATATACAAACCAGCTCAGAAAGGGTGTATTTCGGCCCGTGGAGGAGAAGGGCGACGAAGATTGGAAAGGCAGACAGCTTCGGCTCATCGTTGACAAGCAGAGGAGAGTAAAGGAGGTCCTCACTATATGATCACCTGGACGTCTGTAGACATACTTGCATTGATATAGAAGAAACAGATACCCCCCAATTGTTTCAAGCCATCTATACTACTCTTAGCTTAAATTATCATCGGCCAGAATCAAGCAGACATGCTAAAATGGAACGCCAAACGAAACATGAAATAAGCCATATTACACAACTGGATACACCTTTGATATGATGGCAGGGGATATGGAAAGAATGAAACAACAGAAAGTAAATAAAATGCTGGTACTGAGGACTAGTCATAGGGCTGGTGTCCAAGCAAGTACTGGTGATATAAGATGATCTCCATTCAATCAATCTTCTTCTGACGGTTATCAGCATGAGACGACGGGTCGTTATTGAACGCGCTTCTACGCATTGCAGGAGTGTCAGAACGAGAGCTAGACGTTGCCTGGGTCTCGCTGGGTCCGTCCATGAAAATAGTAGAGGGAGAGTGAGAAGGCTTAATAGACTCAGGCGCGTCGTTTAGTTCTATTAAATCACCAGATGCCCCGGCAAGGCCGAGATTTGCTAGTCGTTGGCTGAGAGGCTGTTGCTGCTGTTGTATCTCGTTTATCCCTGCCTTTGCTCGCGTCGCAACTTTTCGAAACCAGCCTTCAATTGCTCCGCCGACATTCTCTAGGCCTGCCGTAGATGAGGATGAGAATACTGCGGAATCAGATGAATCGAGCGATGCACGGTCAAGATTTTGCAAAGAGGCAAACGTTGGTGCCGCATCATTGGGTGCAGGCTTGATGGTCAAGGTAGGCAGATGCGAGTTGACGAAAGTAGTAAACTTGTCTATCGGAGGACCTGGACAAGTGGCATTTTCTAGCGTCCCTACACCTCCTGGGCCGGATAAAGTGATGCTGCGCTGCCTTCTGTGTTGCATAGAGCTTGAATAGCGTGGTGATCTGGTGCCGGCCATCGAGCCATCACGACTTATATCTGATATTCTTCTGGAAGATGTAGAATCCCGTTGCTTACGAGAATGGGATTGCAGGCCAGGTAAATCTTGGGTGGAAGACGATGGTCCGGGATTATCTTTATAAGGGCTTAAACGCAATTGGGATTTCCTGCGGGCTCGAGGGAAAAATCCCAAAGATCGTCTTGGAAGTCGACCGATCTCAACAGGTGATGAGAAACCGTCTAGCTTTACCCAACTGTGGTGCGTCCAAGGAGTGCCACTAGTCGAGTCGTTGTCTGTCTTAGATGTATCGAGGTCTGGCTGAGAGTCTCCATACCCAAAATCACAGGAGCTGGAGGCATTTGAATCAGGAACAAGCGAGCTGGTATCATGATCTGGATCGTCTTCTCTGGAATCATCATTCCGTTTCCGGACTTCTTCTTCGGGTATTGGGAGGCCCTTGAGCGTACACGACTCAACAGGTAGAACAATGCTCTTCCTAGACTGAATGCTGTCGCTAGGCCAGAAGCCGTTCGACTTTCTCAGCACCGCCAGCTCACAACCATAACGAATCGACACTCCCGTAAGCGTATCACTCGACTGGACAGGATGGATATACACCAACGCATCGCCTTCTTCCTGTGCTGGCGTCGAAGTGCCAGTCGATCTCTCAAATCCATCACCCGAGTCTCTCCGTTTATAATTCCCCCGGCTATCGGGAAAACTGTCCCCATTGGCCTGCAATAGAGCTTCCCGCTTTTTCGCTTGTATGAGTTCCTGTCTCTCCCTCTGGGCATCGGGATTAGCCTCTCCAATAATTGAACGCGGCGGTCCCCAGGATGTAGGTCCAGGCCGTCTATTTCTCGCCAGGTCTCCTCCAACAGATCTCGACCTTGGTCCGAACGGCTTTACCGGCTCGCCGTTAATCAAAGCGCTTCCAGACCCGATAATATTCGACGCAAGACCCTGCAACGACGACCAAGGAGAGTCCAGAAAGTCGGTAGCAAACCCATTCGACTTTCCACCCCCTCTTGCGTCTTCTCGCGTCATACCACCGAAACCAGCCCCACGACCTCTCACGGTACTTGGGCTCTGGCCATCATGTAAACCCGTTCCACCACCTCCCGTACGAGGAAGTCGCTTGCTCGGTATTGGAGACACCCCTCTTGAGGAGTAAGGAGAAGACCTAGAAGTTCCGCCATTTGTGTGCAGTGAACGTTGCGATGTATTACCCGAAAAGCCAGCTGTCTGTCCATCGTCATCTGCACCATCGAACGAAGGTATTATTCGTCGAGTACGGGAGCGAATGGTCGAGGTAGCGGAGTCAGAGCCATTTCCATGCGCCGAAATCGAGGTCCAGGAGTTCGAAGCATCGAGGAGATTGGTGTCGTTGCTCATTCCTGATCACACAGCGCTAACCAGTATGCAGGACAGTCATGTAGATCAAGCTGTTGAGCAGGCTAAGTTGTAAAGTAGCAGCTCTCTCACTCTGTGTCTCTGTGTATTCCTCGCAGTATGCTCGTTCTGGGCTTTCGGTGGGCGTACGATTGTTGTAAGGCTATCTGGACATGGGGAGCAAAGCCGTCCCAAACCGGATAATACGCGATCGATCGTCTTGCAAGCGGGCTGAAAACAGGAGTAAACTCCCCTACGACCCTCTGGCACCGTATAGAGCGTGATATACGTTGGAGTTCGACGCCGAGTTCGTCATTTAGTTGGCTGACGGCGGGAGGCTGCTGCTCATTTTCTGGCCAAGGCGTACGGAGGGACGGGGGACACCTAACTAACTATCTAGATAGTGAGGGAGTAAGGCGAGACACCGCCGGTGCGAGGTAAGCTTCCCGGAGCAGGGGAGTCAATGGGCCTCAGGACAGGTAGGCAAGATCGACGGCAAGGGCACAGCTGTCTTCACAAGCTGTCCTCGGCTGGTGCAGGCAGTCGTTTGGCTGTTTGATGCTGGCTTTTGCTTGTTCGTCGTCGTTGTCGTCGTCGTCGTCGTTGTCGTCGTCGTCGTCGTTGTTCTTCTTTGCTGTCGTATTTTGGCCACCAGCTCGGCGTTTGCGCAGGCCGGCATCACATGACTCGCCCTCGATCTACAGGGGGGATACAGAAAAGGAGAAATGATACGAGCAGATTTTCATTGACTTGATTACAAGTTGACCAGACGAGATGCTCGCAGTTACAGACGGTCAATGGTAGAACACACGCTCAGTCAAAACGCAGCTTGTTAGCAGTTAGTTACAACCTCACAGAGTATAAAAATAGCCAAACTTGACGGTTAACTAGTCCTTTAGTTCAAACCTCTGCCGCCCAAAAAGTTCATCAAGCGCCTCAGGATGGATATATTTAATTGAAGACAGAAGAAAAAGCTAACTCACCCCTTTCCCATTTGAATATGCTCCAGAGAGTAAAAGAGAGAGAGAGAGAGACGGTATACAGCAGGGCAAGGAAAAGGGTATCTCCTTGTAAATTATCGACGGGAGGTAATTTACAGATTTTCAACAGATAGATCGGGTAGACCGTTGATGCCGAAGAATTGGAACCTGGACGGTGTCAGTACAGTGCTAAGGACCATGTCAGTAGATAAAGACCAGAATACATACCAGTCTTCGACGTTCAGAGTGGGCGGGATTGGCCCCTGTTGTCGAGAAGAATTACTCCAGTTGTCATCCTGGCTGGATGCATCCATGGGGACATTCGGATCGAACGTCTGCATAGGCCATTGTCCCTGCATCGGTACTCCCTGACCCATCTGGTGCTGTGGCGACATGCGGCCCAAACCAGCCATGAGAGTCGGACTCTGCGCAGCCCGTGGCGAAAGATGCGTTTGATTCGGCATACCCATGGGCATAGCCGTGTTGTTCAAACTAGGCATTTGAAGCTGTGGGTCAACATTTGTGGAGGAAGGTGAGAAGCCGGGGAAAGACATGTTGGTGCCGTCCGGGAATAGTTGGTCAGGTTGAAAGTTTTCCCATAAAGATTGAGAGATGCTGGGTGAGTTGCGAGTGACGAGGAATAGATCTGGTGGAGACTGTGGAATTGATAGAGCTGGGTTGAAGGGGGAAGTTGGACGGGTATTGCCTGTTCCAATGCCAGTGGCACCGTTGCCGGTTCCGACGAAGGTATTATCTGTCGGCATACGTTGATGCTGTTGGTGCTGCTGTGTATTTCCAGCTGCAGGTCCAGACACGTTTCCCGGTAATTGGCTTGGAGTGATTGACGGCGTTGCAGCTGGAGTCTGTGGCCTCGATCGTTCATATGATACCTGAGCTGCAGGAGGCCCGTTGGGCATAGTTATATCCATTTCGTCGAACTTCCTCTTGGGTGGATCAGGCCGTTTCAGCGCCTCTTGTTGTTGTTGTTGCTGCTGCTGCTGCTGTTGCTGTGACTGTGGCTGTGGCTGTGGCTGTTGTTGCTGTCGTCTTGCCTTCTGATGGCGTTTACCAGCAGCTTTCTGCAGCCTTTCTTCAAGAGCTTTGTTGCCCAGGATGGATTCGAATAGGGTATGTACCATTTTGGCAACAAGCCATACTTTCGAAACATCTTTGAGTGCCGACATGCATATGTTGATCCTCTCCTGGCTTGTCGCAACTATACTAGGGACAGACGACCGCATTTGATATACATGCATAATCAGTGCAGAGAACAAACTATAAACACTGTTGGCAGAAATCATATTAGTCAACGCCGTTTTATTCACCTGTAGATACGGGGCGCTACTCACATGAACGCAGGTGCAAAGCGAATCTGTTGATGCTTTTGTAGGCTCTCTGTAATTGATGTGATCATGGCTGCAGCTTGGAATGCAATTGTGCGGGAAGGATATGATATTCCATCGTTTCCCGCGTTCTGACCAGCAGTTGCAGGAGGCATATGGGCTCGATGAAGTAGACATAAGGTGGTACTAGGCACATGTCAGTATAAACTCCTCTTCAACAATGCTAGGTAAAAAAGGCTTACTAGTAGTTTGAGTGTAGCAGAGCAGACCAGAAGTGGTGTCGTGATCGCTCCCAGTATACTTCCTTGGGACAGTTCTGTAGCCAGTCGGCCAACGCCATGTCGCTGTGTGTCAAGTCAATGGCGTTGGTGCGTCTTGACTTGGAAGCCACTGAGTACTGCTGTGAGAGAACCAGACCCATGATTTCGCATAGCTTGACGTATTGGAGGAAGAACTGAACATGAGTGGAATCAGGTGGGTAGTCTGCTGGCCCATTTGCATCATCTTCAATGAAATCATCCTCCGTGAGCATTTCCACGTCCGAGTCATCTGTGTTGATGTTTACTGGACGTCCCAGCGCAACCGCAACAGATCGGTCTCGGGTGAACAGCGTCCACCATACACGTTTCCATAGACGTTTGTCTGGCCGACTTAGCTGAGATGTTTCCACGCTAGAAGACATTAGCATTTCAGCAGTCAATGTACAGATAAGACGGGAGGCGAATTACCTTCTATGCATTCCAGACCCCTGGGCAATGATGATTGCAACCCTTGTCCAGAAGAAAACATTCTTCGTTACATCTAATAACTGTGTAAGTATTCCGATATAATATAACATCAGTGAAGGAACAGGTACGCACCCTCGGGACCTTCCCAGTACCAGCCCATCAACAACAAAGCCTGGACGATGGTAACTCTATCATCTTCATAGTTAGCATCATACAGCGCTTTTGCACGCTTATAGAAGGTCATAGCGGCCGGTGTAGTGGATCCATTTGCATCCATGAGCTGCGGATTGGTGCACACCCTCGAACCAGCTAATAAAATCGCCTGCAAGAGCAACAGAGAAGGCGGATTCTTGGGATCCCGGTACTGTCTCATGAATCTGCTTCTGTTGATTAGCGGTACGACCGGAGCGACCCATTTGAAGTAAGCGTCCACAAGCTCGTCGCACAGAGCACGAGGAGGGAGTAAGAAGGCACCACGTTGGTTGAGGATGTCTATCTCGAAGTTATCGAGTTCGGTGAGGCGAGAGCGCGAGCCACGCAGGCCTTCCGGTAGCGGGTAGTGGACGACATCTGTGGTGCCATGGCGGTCTTGGACGAGCAAGGTGAGGTTTGATGATTCGCCTAGGTATGCGACACGGCCAGCCTCTGTGATGGGAGCACGGGCAAACTTGGGTTTCATGAACTGGGCGTAGGATGTATTGTGTGATGCCTGCTGGGCTTGCTGGGCTTCCGTAAAAGTTGTGACTGGCATGCCATCTGCAGGCTTCACTTTGCTTTCAGCCTTTTCATCTTTCGAGTCGTCCTCGTTACCTTGCTCACGGCGTTCCCTGTGTCTGGTGTGTTAGAAGGGAAAAAAAAAACCCCCCAATGACAGGGCGAAAGGAAACCCAAGACGTACTCGCTTCCATCCTTGGACTTGGCCTGGTTCTTCTTCCGCCGTGGAGAAGGGATCTTGCATTCGATCGAGAAGGCGACGCAGTTGGTGCATGGTACACCAAGGCTAGCTGCATCGCATCGAACCTGCAGGCCGTCTCGTCAGCACATCAGTCGCCAACCAACACCGGCCAAACCGCCCCAACCAGACAAAGAACTAAGAACTAACCTTTCGAGCGTGGCATGTCTACCAAGATGGCATCATGTTAGCACTTGACCTGACCGTCTTGCATTTGTAGATAAGATAACTAGCACCGCCCAACGCAAGCCGAGATGCCTCGGCTCAAGGGGGAGAAACGCGAACTCTCCACCAAACAAACTGAGAGGACCAAACGTCCGGAACATACCTCGCAGGCCCGCGATGCGCGTTGTCTAGAGGAGATACCGAGACGCAGTTAGCAAATAACAGTCGACCCGTAGAACTTAAATAGAGCCGTCTCGTTTTCTCGGGGGCCCAAAAAAAGGAGGCAGAGCACTCACCGTCTAAAACTCATCTGGTTGCCTGAGCTTGTCGTCGTCTGCTTGCTTCCGCTTCCACCATCCTCTCCGCCGTCTCCGCGCGGACTGGTGCCCGAAGTGGCACTTCTCGCCTTTCCCGCGAGCGACTCACGCTGTTGTAGCTGTGCTGGTTGCTGTTGTTGCTGTTGTTGTTGTTGCTGTTGTTGCTGCTGCTGCTGCTGCTGTTGGACCTCCGAGTCAGCCATGACTTTCTGGCCTGTATCTGTCTCTGGATCGGCTGTTGCGCTGCTCATCGTCGACCGCAATTCGAGTGAGAAGGCGATCCTTCCATGGAACAGCCCAGGTAGCAGAAAGTCGAGGATGAAGAAGGAAAACGAGAACCAAGAGGAGGCTGCGGAACGCTGGAACGGTGGCACAGGACTTCAAGGATGCAGCAAGCTATAGTTCCCTTCTCTTTTAACGGCACGAAGCGAGGGTGTAATGGCGGTTTCTGGGCTGAACAACGAAATAGGGCGGCAGTGTGTCCTCTTGCGCCCTCCTTTGCGTCCTTTGAAGAGGCCGACACACGGTTGATCGATTTGCGCAGGGGGGAGGGGGTCGCTGGCGCTGTCTGTGTGTAAGTACGCCTGTCTGCCAGGGCGGTCGGTATCGGTCAATTCAGTCGGCCGGGATTTTGCGATTACGAGTTCCAGGGGAGTTGCAAGGAGAAGAGGAGGAGCAAGACGATGGGCAATTCGAGCTTGACGGCGAGCAGCGAGACGGTCACTCTGTACTCCGAAGCGTAAGGCGAGTCTTCTGGGGGAGGGAGTTGGGAGCGAGACAGGACAAGGGACGGGAGGCGGCGCGGCTGGTTCGGTGTCGTGGCGATTGAGCGCTGACCTACGGGCGCCTTTCTACTGCTGGAGAATATTATAGTCATAACCATTAACTAACTCACTAGCTAGCTAGTTACGCCGTTACTTATAGAGAACACCGGGTTCATATAACTAAAGGAGCTGACGCCCGCACCCGGGATGGTCCCTTGTCTACCCCAGACTCCTCCCAGCGCTCCGGAGCCTTTTCGTCTCGTCTCGTCTCCTCTCTTCTTCTCCTTCTCCTCCTCCTCTTCTCGCCTGTCTTCTCGTCCCTCTTTTTTTTGCTTGTCCTTTTTTTTCGCTCTTTTCGCGCGCTTCGTTTTCGTTTTTTGCTTCTTTTGCGGCATCACATGGGGATTAGGTAAGCACGATAGTCTATAAGTGACGGCGCTAGCTTAGGTAAGGGCTGCTCCAGCATTCCTTACTGGCCGACAGTGCTTGCTATGATGAAACCATGCCTTAGTCAGCATGTTTATAACCCTGTCACACGACAGCAAGGCTTAACCTCGGCAACTTTAGCCTCTCATGAACATGCTCCTCCTTTCGACTTCCACAGCCAGCTTCAAGTAGAGATCAAGAAAAAAAAGGACATCAAAGCGACAGCAAAGTGACACCCAGAGCGGCAGAGGAGCGAAAAACAAGCCTCATGGGACGGACAACCTCCATACCGGCCTCATCGGCCTCGCTAGCTGCGGTGAAGGCTCGAGGGCTGCCCTACTCCTTCCTCCTTTCGAGCGGTGTTCCGGCGTGACCCTTGCCTGGACTATAGCAACTAATTTGAAGATCTCTGGCAGCCAACACAGGATATATAGTTCATATATCAAGGGTGTAGGAGTTACAAGTCAGACAATCCAATAATGTAAGAAAAGAAGGAGTCAAATTATACATATATATTCAAGAAAACTTAGGGTACAGTTGAATGAAGCTATCAGCACTTCGTATGTACTTAATAACTTCCAGGTATGTCCAATGCAAATCCAAGGATAATGCGTCACAAGCCATATAACCTAATCGAGTTCGGGCAAAGGAACACGTCCGAAGTACAGTTTAATAGATCCCCCATTTGACATTCTGGCCATGGGCGTTCCCCCGGCACGACATGTCGCCCTTGGCAGCAACCCTGCCGTCTTTGGCAAACTGCTTAATCGCGTCTGTGATAATATCAACGATGTCCTGTGCGCCAACGTAGAAGGCTATGTTTCCGTTCACTTTAGTCGCTTCCACACCAAATTTGCAGGTTCCAAAATCAACGAGCTGGCGCTGGTTCTTGCTGACAACTTGAGTAGTCCACTGACCATCGGTTCCTTCAATGTTCTTAATTATTGTCTTGCAATCAGACACTAGCGGGGACCCGCCGTTCGTCTGGTCCTCGAACGTTGAGGCTTCGCATTCATCCCTGGCTAATAGTGGGGAGCACGGATAGTTTTCCAACGGGGTATCAGGCTTGTTGTTCAGTCCCAACCATGACTTGAAGGCTGCGTCCGGGCGGCAGACAGGCACACGGATGAAACCTGGCGTTGTGATATCTTGACTTACGAGCCTTTCGCGGGTCCCAGCATCGCTAGGGTCAGCTACATTGCCACCGTTTCTGCCTCCATTCTGTTTGTACGTGTTGACAGCTCTGGGCTTGAGTTAGTTGCTTGTGCCAAACTATGGCGACTTCCTAAAGGGACGACGAACTCACCCCTTAACTATATCATCCAGAGTAACACCCTTGAAAGAGTTCCCGTGGTTCAAAAACTCGACCCCAGGCGGTGCTGAGAATTTGTTGTTTCTGTAATACCCGCCGCTACCGCGGGGATGAGGTACAAAGACACGTGCGTCGCCTTTTGGTGAAGCTAGATAGTAGAGTTTGTCGTCAACGCAGCTAGCTGTGGCATGCATAGTTTCCACAGAGAGGAAAGAGTCGAGCGGGTCGATTGTGCCGCATAGATAGCCGGAGTCAATGATAAAAGGGAATGTCCCCGCGGCGGTCCAGATGGTAGGGATAGCAAAACCAAAGACAATTCTCGCAATACCAGCATCATACATGGGTGCATCGGCTCTAGTATTCAAGACACTAACATCATCTTGATTATCTTTTCGTCCATCAATGAGCTTGCCGTCAGAGATAATGTCTGTAAGCGTAGTTATCGAGGTATCACTGCCGTTGAACAGGTCACGGAGAGCGACTGCTGTGATATTGCCCCAGGCATAGATGGTTTCACCAAGATAGTTGGAGAACTCATCTTGCGTCGCTGTGGACCAGTCACTACTGTTAATTCAACCACCAAGCGTCAGCCATACGATTATTTGGGCTAACTGGCAGCTAGGGCTGTTGCAGGGCAAAAACCAGGGGATAGGGCAGGGGGTAACTTGCATCTTACGGGTATCTAACAAGCTTGTAGCAAGTCTTGTACTTTGTCCGATAAGAAGTGATGTGGTAGCCTTTAGTTCATCATCTCGAGTAGGTTTCCCTACAAAATATGCCATGTCCTTCAGCCCTTTTTGATTTTCAAAAGTCAGTCTTTTTTTATTTCAGTCAAACGAGGCGCGTGAGCTTACAAGAATGAAAAACAAATCCGCCAATCGCAGCAGTCCCGATAGGGAGTAGATCTATCATGGCTAGCAACCACTTATTGTCGGCAGGAAGTGTCGGTAAGAACTTGTCTGTGAAGTCAAATACAGAGCTGACTAAATCGCTGGTAGCTCTTTGCAGATTTTTATCGATGTCGTTGTACATCTGCATTGATGGTTTGGCGTCGGTTAGCTGGATTCTAGATGACTGTATTATAGGTATTTGTCATAACTAGAAGATTCAATTAGAAACTTACATTGTGAACCATCACCAAGGAGTTCCATATTAGAAAGGCCGCTGCACCTGTGCCTTTCCCGTGGAACGTGTCGCATGTTCGGGTATTTTCACAGCTCGCGTCGTATAACTTGCCGCAGTCTGCGCCTTCTGGCCCACTGAATGTAATTGAAATAGATGCTAGGAACGCTTTATTCTCACCGCTTGATCGGGGCTTATCGACAGTCTTCCATATATTGATCGCGTCCTGCCAAGCGTGATTACAGTCCAAGCTTCCCCACCGCTGGGAGGGAGGCAGACTACTGCGATCTGCAGCTCCCGGATCTTCGCAAGTTAGTTCAGTCCAGTTCCCAGTTCGCTTTTCAACCCCGTAAGGGTCCTCTCCTGGCCTGCGTTTCTGTAGGAAATTGCTCCAACCCCCAGCGTTGGCAGGGCGGTTGTGATAAGATGCTGAGTCAATGGCCCAATCAGCGGTGCCACCCATATTTAACGAATTAAATAGAGCTGTTCGTGATTCTTTGACTTCAGCACTCAGATAGTAAATCCATCGGGTATTGTCGTATACAAGAATATTGCTATTACTTGCTCCATCAATGTAGTGCTGATTGATTCGACCTGGATCTTTAAGTATCTCTTCAATCTCTGCATTAGCAATATATCCGGCAGTCTGAGCGCATACGTCTTTTGCTGCGTTGGAGGATTGGGGCCCTCCAGTGCATAAGCAATCCGGCGTATGACAGCCAGTTTCAGCCATTGCAACAGATCTCCCGTAGCTAGGCATGCTGACAACAACCTTATTCGAGGGGACACCAGCCTTTGTGATCTGCAACGCCTTTATTAGTTTAGGTCGTAAGGAGGATCAATTGAATGGTTATATAGAGCACCAACCATGGACAGAGCGCTAATAGTCTCAGTTAAGTTAACGTGGCTACGGAGACACGCTCCTGATGGGCATCCAGACTGTGAAAATGTGCCATGTGAATCCCACTTGAGATAAATGCTTAGCTTCAAACAAGTTTCCAAGGTGATGGGATCCGTATACTTACTTGGCCGTGCAGGTCAAAGGTCATGTAAACCATATAATCTACAATTTCCCCAATCTGGTCCATTGGGAAGCCCTTTAAATACTGGTATGAGGCAGGAGCCGCAATGGAAACCGATCTTTCCCGCAGCAAATCTTTTAGAAGGACAAGAAAAGCTAAATAATTTTCACCTTCATCCCTGGACCTAGGATGGATAGCCGGAAGGCCAGGAGCCTGAGTATATCATGTTAGTAGGGAATAAATGACTTTGTTTGTTTCTAGAAAGGGTTGAACTAACTGATGGGTACTCCAAATCAATATTGACTCCATCAAGGCCATGCTTCTTTATAAAGTTAGCAATGTTAGTAGCCAATTGTAGTCTATTAGCATCCGTAACACCTTCACGAATAATAGTATAAGTCACTGGATCATTGGAAATTGTCCGACTACCAAATGATAAGATTCTTTTGGGGCCTTGGATAAGTTTAAAGCTATTAAATTCATCGGTAGTCATAGTATCTCCAGTGTTGATCTCGTAGTCGGGTGTAATTGAGCCAAAATCAAAGTGCAAGTGTGAATATTGTGAGGCATCATCCTGGAGGGTATTCTGATAAACAGAGCTACGGCTAGAAAAGTTATAGCCCTTGAAATAGCCGAGTTTTATCAAGGACTCACGCGGTTTACCGTTAATGATTGAGGTACCACAGTTTGAAATACATCCATTGGTGCCAGGTCCAGTAGTTCCCGCAACACCAGTACCAGTATTGATGCAAAACTCTTCGGTAGTACCGCACTGGGATTATATATTAGCAAATGGTTTATCTTATATGCGGGACAAACGGACGGGGCTTACCTGTCCCCAGATATTACAGCATGCATTTAGCGGGCAAGGGTTGAGACTGGCGATATCGCTATCTCCAGTTGGTACCTTAGTTCCAGGTACCTGCGGGCCGCATACAGCATTAGCTGTAGGAGCTGGAAATGGTGGTCTCCCTATACTTAGGCAAGCAATAGTGCCAACCCAAACATTGGAGCATCCATTCCAAGCCCAGGTTTTCTTGTTAAAGTTTTCTAGGTCATCATTTGTAAGGCCGTTCGCAGCTGCAACGCTTGAGCAGCTATCATCAGCCTGAAATGTGTGCGTGTAGCACGATCCGTCTGGGTTAGGCTTGGGTTTAAAGTGCGGAAGTGTCCCCGGTGTGACTGAATTGAAATCGGAAGCGGAATCGTGTTTGATTATGTCAGCATCACTGATGCCATGTTGGAGCCGGCGTTTGGCCAGCGTATCGGATATAGGATGCGCC